TCGTTCTTAAATTTATCTTTATGAAGGCCCGCTAGGGGATATAAAGTTCATCGCAGCCCTTGCCCACATTCATTCGGGTGACATTTTCTCTTCCTTGCGCCCCTGAGCCCAGGCAGCTCAAGCAGCCTCGTTACCATGAGTTTACTTATTTTTAACACAACTCGGGAAAGGGTAGTTAGGTGGGCATGTGTTGATAGTTAAAGATTACTATCTCTAATTTATCTGACAAAGCCCAGATGGGTTGTAAAGATAAGCAGTAATATCTAAATAATTAATTCCTTGCCACACCCATTGTTTGTAATGAAATATTGGCGAGAGTACATCACACAACATCAAAAGCCTGGCAGCGCACACATACTATCTCTGAAAGTGATTTTTTGACTTAATTTAATTTATATTTGTACTTTCAATATTCATTGCGGCAAAATGTCTTCAGTTTCTCAAAGTAGCATTCCAGCCGCAGCAAGGAGAACTTCAGATGTTAGAAGTCTTCAAGCAACAGTGGAGAAGTGAGTATATCGATATTCCAACTAAATTTAACACTATCATAGACTTTTTAGGTATATAACTTTTATTTATTGTTTGTTGGCTTACGCAACCATTATTGTATCTCTTTGATCTCGTTCCCTAAGCAACCTTGTTCTAGGCAGATATACATATTACATTCATCAAGAGGTGTTATGAACCACAGAGTCCCAGCATTATCAAAACCTTAAGGCTAATGCTGATGACTGGTGGAAATTAAACCTGTGCCTCAAAGTCATAAGTCCTACGCTCTACCCTGTCAAGTCCTGCTGCATCCTATTTCTAAACTGACAATTACCATGAAAACTGTATATTGCATAAGAAATTAGGTTGTGTGAGTGAACTTGAGAAACATTAGTGACCTGTGTCCAACACATTGTTTATAGATTCCATTACCAGAACAGTGAGTAATTTAGAAAATTTGCACTAACATGATTACTAATTCAGGCTGGTCCAAGAGTCTTTGAAGAAAATAAACATCACAGAGCAACATAGGAATAAAGAGGTTTCAAATGAAAAACGAGAACAGGGAATCCAAACAGATGTTTTTTACGAAATTCCAAAACCCAGAAGGAAACATAAATACTTCAGGTAAGATATGCAGACATAGTAACTGCAGCCATGTTTTCCCAAACACATTTGGCAAGTTTGTAATAAGCAGGGTACAGTATTATAATTAAATGTATACCTAAATTTAAATGTTCAAAAACGCCAATATATCATCATTTGTTTAATTCACAAGCGCTTTCAGAAACTAGGTTTCTATTGTCAGGCTGTGTTTAAAACTCAGCCTATGACTATAACTATAACCTATAGCTATAAGGGTACAGTATTATTTTAGTCAGCGTAGCAAGATATTCAAAATGTTTTTAAAACAATTTTGTCTCTAATTCATTTCTTTGCATCAACTATTTGGCACTAGTCCGTAAGATAACAAAAAATGAAAAAAAATTTTGTTTTGTATAGATGTTTTTGTAGCTAAGCGTTTTACCTATAGTACCTGAGGACCGAGCTTTGCTCGGAGCACTTTACTCTGAAAGTATTCATTGGTCAATGTCATCTGTCCCAAAAATAATGTTTTGCAGTCTAACTTCTGTTAAAAGAATAATATCAAAGTTGACTGAAATAATGAGAAAAAAGAGTTTTTAAAATTTTGTTGAGCCCCTAAACGGCCTAAACTATAGAAAATACCTAGTATTTTCACGCTGAATTTGAAAAAGGCTATCAGAGGGAAAAAATCTTCACACCTTCCTTCCCTTGAAGTATTAGTCAATGCAAGAACTTGGGCTCGCATCAAAACTACAACCGGAACCTTTCATTTAACCACTTTTTTAAATGTAATTTCATTTTCTGGAAACTTAGGACTTTTTTCCAACTGAAAACGATTTACACTAAAATATTAGTTAGGTGTATTTTAAGACGGAAATTAATCTCTTGACACTTTATAAATCATAATGTACAAAAAATATACTAAAGTAATGCTGAAGGATATTGATGGATTAGCCTCTAAAGCAAGTGTATATAGGCTTTGACATTTGTCGGTTTGCGATATTTATCCACAGGCGACACGCTACGGATGCATGCTGATCCAACCTTTAACCAAATCAGATCCCATAATGTAAGATGGGGGACATAGGGTAATGAAAATTTAAGTTATTTTTGTTAAACTCTTTCAGGAACAAATCCACTGGAGATTCTATTATAAGGAAGCATATTTCAGACTTTTGGACAAATATTAGTCTGCCTGGCATAAAATATATTGGTGAAAACGGACAGAACTCCTTGGATAGGTTTGTAATAAGATTTGTGTGTGTGTTTAAACTCAGATAGTTTATAAGATAATAGTATGAAAGTGAGAAGATATAATGTAGTAAACAAGGAAGAAATGCCTACTGATAATCGTTTATCAAAGGATATGTGTCAGCATTTTCTTGATAACATTGGAGTTTAACAAACATCTCAAAATCAAGCCACCATTGGCATAATTTTAAGTAGACATGGGGGAAAATACAACTCATCCTCTATGTAAGTTTACAAAATAAAAACATAAAAATCCTTAAAGAAATATGCCTTTACCTTATGGTGGTAAAGGCAAAAATATGGTGCCTGCCTTAGAATATGGTGGTTGGCTGTCAACAGATCCATCCTCATACACAAAGTTAAAATTAAAGAAATATTGTGCTGGTGAGTTCCAATGATTCCTTGACTCTCATCTCAGTTGTTTCTTTCTTTTCAATTTATACCAATTGATTCTGTCCACAAATATTTGGCCAATGGTTATTATAGTGAGTAGGCAACAAGCTTGCCACACATCCTCAGCTCATGTCTCTTAGTCTTGCTCAGTTTCAAGATTCCCTAACCCTCATTGCAAACGTTCCTTTCTTCTTGCAGATATTTCTGTCCACAGATACGTCTGGCTACTGGTCCTCCTAGTGAGCATGGTGGTCAGCTTTCAATACATCTTCAACTCATACACCAAATGGAAGTCCTCGCCTGTGCTGCTGAGTTTCAATGACTCCTTGACTCCCATTTCCGCAGTTCCTTTCCCCGCCGTCACCGTGTGTCCCGGTCGACAGTTAGGTGACAGATTTGTCACTGATGTGGAACTGGCGGCTACAGAATGTACTTCTAGAGCTGCCTGCAGTGCCAGCCAGTAAGTAACCCTCATGGAACTCTGGAAAACTTTCCCTCTGAACATATTTCAAGAATTAACGTTTGGGAGATTATTGTTTTGTAAAGCTAACAGGATGAAGTTTATTGAATTCGTACAGTTTACTGAACTTAACTGGTATTGTATTTTAAAAAGTTATCAAGACAGAATTTAGTAACAAATGAGCAAAAATATACAGTTGGGTAGAATTTTTACATTAAGTTTTTTTCTCCAACCCTAACACTACATTTTATAACATAAAAATTACTTGAAGCAACATTTTTCTGCTACTCTTCAATAATGAACACTAAAGTCACATTTTGCAACAATAATTAAATTTATTTAACAATATACTAGACATTAGGCTATTTTTTTAATGAAATGAGAACTTGGAAAGGTTGGTTGCCAACTTCTGGAGAACTCCCCAGAATCCAGAGAGTAGGAGTTTGTTCCAATATTTTTTCATGTTTCCGTTTGCAAGGGTGGTAGTGCTGGTAGCAGTCGGTGAGTAGACGACGGCAGCAAATCGACGAATGCTGAGCACGCTCTAGCGGCACATCACGGAACCTTCGTTTGTCAGTCTATATTTAATTCTTTTGTCTATGGTATAGGGATGAAGGAATTGTCCACAACTAGCTCACCGATAATAAGAGTTCCAGGCATGATAATAACGTTATATTACTTATTCCTTCAGAAGCCTCCTTGGGAGGAAGAATCAAGTTATTTATATATAATGTGAACATTTGTCCTCTAAACTGCCTGGAACTCTTTTTCTAGATGAGTTAGTTGTGTATCTATACCTCTTTTCTATACAAATACATTAATTTTGTGCATTTCTTTAATTGAATAATACATTTAGTAACCAAACCTGTGATTTAGACCATGCCTTTTTTACAGGTGGGATTTACTATCTGGAAGTCAACTTTTGTGCCCAAACTCTCCTCGCTTACGGAAAACCTCAGAAGAAAAATATCTAGAAGGAGGTATAGACAACATTATAAAAGGAGTAAGTTGATTATTTATAAACCAATCTAAATGTCCAACTATCAGGATCAGTTGGTCTAAGTCTGTAACTAAGGTAAGCAAATTGTCTTCTACATTCAAGCAACTTTACATAACTAAGGATAATAATCATATGTGTGTCTGTATATTATTTGGATTGATTACATATTTAACTAAACTCCTATTTTACAGATTGTGCAAATACAAAAAAGTTTTAGAACACACATCTTCTCAAATTTATAATCCAATTATATTATAAGATGAGCCTAAATGGAGTTTGTCTCTCCAATTAAGTTTTACTTGTGGAAAGACGACAACCAAGCTGAAATTGTGAAAAAATTGGTAACAGAAAGATCATAGATTAGGTAATTTTTCATTCTGTAGAGAAACTTGGTAGGTTACCAATTTAATTCTAAGCCATCGTTTTACCAACTAAAAACTATTTTCAATAGTTATTTCTATTTGTGTAGCTAGTGGACGAAGTGGCACTTTGCTGGACACGAGAGAAACGCTGAACCAGCTGATTGTAGTCGTAATATCTTTAAGGCAGGCTTTCTTTACTATAATCTGTGCAAGGAAGCCCACTTTGTTGGGACTGTAGGAAAAGATAATTGCTCATTTGTAAAATTAAGATATTGCGATTGTTCTCCATGAACCTGAAAATTAAGAATGTTGTTCTAATGTCTATGATTTTAATGATACGTTAATGGATATGATTTCTAACCTGATTGCAGTTAGCTTCAACCTGCTTGGAGGATACAACATGGTACAAACTGAACAAAGATGAATATTCCTACAACTGCACCACAAGTTTTCAGACTCTGTTTGTAGAAGGAGAAGTCTGCTTCACATTCAACATGCTTCCAGCTGATCAGCTGTTCAAGGACAATGTGTAAGTTAATGTTTTCTTGTGTCTGCGCCAGTGGCATCTTTAATCAAGTCAATCCAAACTTAAAGGAAAGCATTCTAAACCCATTTAAGTTTTAAGTTTTGTGGATGTGCCGGGAATTGAACCCCTCCCTCCCGCACCAAAGTCCGAGACAGTAGTTTGTAAACCATTACTAACGTTACATTATTTATGTATATTCAATATTCATTTTTTTCTTGTAACATCTCCTAACTTTTGTTACTAGAAGATTATTTCAATTATTTCTATTTGTTTGTGTCTGTAAAACTTTATTTTTTTCAATGATTTCCCATAGTTGTTTCTACAGTTTACTTATTTTAGCAAATTTCCCAAATAGTGAATAAGCTAAGTCTCATGATAGGACCTAGACCCGGGACCGCTTTACTTTTTTCATATACCTATGTATATTTCATATTAAATAAAAAAATAGCACAATAACTCAAGCAAAACCTATCCACTTTTAGTTAAATTTCGTATAAACGTGTACACATACGGCTTATTCAAGCAAGTTTACAAACCAACATTAAAAAACTGAGAAAATAAAAAACTGTCAATTTAAAATTCCTATGTTATTCTTATGGACCTATTGGAGTTTGGCGTTTGCTAGTACCACAGACAATAGACCATGGATATACTTTGATCAAATTTGAAAAACGTATTCATTTCACATTAAAATATTTGCATTTCAAAAGAAACACATTTTATTACATTCCCTGTAGTAGCAAACCTAAGTAAGTTACTTGTTAAACATTGAAATAGGGAATACATCTGACAAGGTTAAGGAAATATTTTTGTGCAAATCCAATCGAGCAAATTAAAATTCCCTCAGTCTGCAGGTTTGCTGCGGTGAGGTAATTATTAAAAAATAACAATATTTTTTGCAGGACCTTTCCTATGGTTGACCCAACTGGACTGGAAAGTAAGCCGAACTGGACCTTAGATAACATGTTAGAACTTGCTGACCTTTTGCAAACTATTCCTCGACACATCGACTCCAACGGTCGCTGGGCTGGACTCTATTTCGAGATGGAGAAAAGAACACCAACTAAACAGTCTTTGTGCGGACAATCTGCAATCACTGCTAAGGTTATGTTTTTCTTACTATCTTCATTCAACAGGTAAAAAATTAGTTTTGTCGAATATGCTACCATTGAAGAATTAGAGCTATTTTTCAACCTATAACAAAAAGATCTTAAATTAATAAGTAGCAAACGATATAAATGCCATCGGCTAGTATTAATAACTAAAAGCAGTAATAGTGTTGACTAATGGTATAGAAAATAATTACATTTTTAAAGTTGTCATATAGTAAAGTGGGTTTCGAACCAGTGGGTTACAGGGTAGGCAAGGCATATCAGCTATTAGTGTAACTGGCTCAGTGTTCAGAGGCTTGAACTAATCTAACTGTAGTTAAAAAACACATTACAACGTTGTGTGAATTCATACAAAATCTTTAAATTACATTTTTGAAAGAAAGGTGGGGGCAACTACAGTGTATCATAAAAAAAATCAAATATTTAAGAAATTTTGTGTGTGTTTGTTCAGAAAAACGTGAACGTAAGGTGAGTGTAGAATAGATACCCTTGACCTTCGTAGCTTTGATATTGACAAAGATAAGCTCTTAAGCCAGGTCTATTTATTGAATTCCTACAGCCAAGAACAGAATCTAGTTTTGAACCATCAAAAGGACAAAAGATTGAAAGAGAATCTTTCTGGTTAGGCAAAAGCAACCCAGATATTTTTCGAAATTTCAAACCTTTTCATTCCCATCAGTTTTTGTGTTGCTAAAAATGTTTTGAAACTTTACAAAACTCTGTTTTCGCACTCGCAGGTTGTATTCCACCACCCCGGGGAGATCCCACTGCCAGACACCCACAAGTTCTACGACCTCCCGGTGTTGAAGGACTACTTCATCCACCTCACCCCTCGACTCATCACTTCCAGCGAGGAGCTCAAGGATTACACTCCCGGAGATCGTAGATGTCACTTCTCCCACGAGAGGACATTGTCCTTGTTCCGCAGTTATTCCCAACGCAACTGTCAGCTAGAGTGCCGAGTGAACTGTTCTCTGAGTCTTTGCGACTGCGTTCCGTACTACTTTCCAAGTAATTAGTTGTTGTTTAATGTAAAAGTAAATGATTTATAATATATTTTAAATTTAATTTTTTTTTTTCTGTCACAAAAAGCTTTTGTCTGAGACTATGTACAGTACAACTGAAGGGTCGTCCTAGTCATTGAAGATCCACATATAAATCCCAAAGTACGCATGAACTTTTGAGAAAACTACAAGTCACACCCCCATAAACCATATATAATTAAAATGTTCGTCATGATGAGAAACCTTGTGTAAAACTATCCATTATTTCATAAATTGCCCTTTAAGGTCGTACCTCCTTTCTAAAGGGAACTTTCTATATACCTAATAATAAAAATACCTCAGTACTTATTTGTATTTGTATGTCATTCTTTCCATTTATTACCTTATTAAAATCAGGTGTGATTATTTGTTTGTATTACTGTATTCTGGTTTGTTTATTTCAGCTTTTAACCAATCAATAGCTTTATTAATACTTAAGTCAAACTGGGTGAAGCCTGTGGGTAACAGATAATAATAAATAAAATACATAGGGACATCAAGTTTGAAAACAAAGTCATCGTAAAACGTTAAAAAATAAAATACTCAAAACTGGACATTTTCAATGCTGAGCCAATCCAGAGTCCGTAAAAGACCAAGGAGCACACAAATAATTATTCAGAGAAGGAATTGGAGAGTTGCAATTTATTGCCTAGCAGAAATACTTTTTGAATGATTATTTTAATGGACAGATGCTAGTTACTCTTCCTGTTGGATTTGGCTAGTCTTAATTGAGCATACCAGGATTGCAATTACCTATCTCCAAGGACAGGAAAGTGTGTTCAAAAGTTTTCTGTGTGAAGAAAAGGTGTAATTTGTCAAACGCAAGTATTGTGAACTTTAAAAATAATTAAGACTTTTCTTCTCGTTAGTACCTATCTGAAACTGCCTTACTAAAGTAATGTTGCGACCTGTTAAAATCTAAGTTGAGCATACAACACTTTTTGCAAAATAATTTATGAACAAAGAACTTGTTTTGAAAGTAACATAAAGGTAACATGAATCGATGAATGTATATAAATATACATTCTTCATAAATTTTGCAGATAGAATTGTTTCAAGAGAAGCTTATTCCATTTATTTTACAGGACATAATGACTCAGTGAAAATCTGTGGACGGCAACATACAGAATACTGTGTTGAACTATATTTAACAGGTAATTTTACAATCAGGAACAGGACAGTATGAGATTACTGAAATTATTTTCTTTTTGTAAGAGATTATAAGTTATTGAAATTTATTGGAAAATAATCAACTCAAATGATGAAGGAGGTTCCAGAAAAGGTTTCTGATAGATTGTAGCTGAATCAGAATTGACTTGTTCATTATCCTATTTGAGCTTATCATTAATAGCCTAGCGTTTACGGTTTTTAAGTTATAATGTTGTTACGTGGATATAAAATAGTATTTAAATTCATTTGATTTGTAGTATATCCGTTTTAAATGTTATATTGTAGAATGCAAAATATGAAAATAAAATTTGAAATAAAATTACCAACATAATTCTATTACTAAAATTCTTTGTGTAAGGACAACATACAGCTTTATTTGTCTTGAGTCAAAATATAGTTTACTCAGGTTTATCATTGACTTTTATATAAAACAAAGGTTAACCAAACGCTACACAAACTACTACCAGTGTAAAGATTTTTTCTTCCCAATAAAAAAAAACATAAAATCATTTTTATAATTTAAAATGAGTGAAAATCTTTTACCATACTGTAATTGTAAGGACACCATTTAAATAATCCACTCACTTGAATATTGCACCTCTCGCAGCGATCCTAGGTGGCCGCTACACGTGGAGAGAGATCGTCCTGGACTACCGTGAATGGGTCGGTGACAGGATACAGAGATTGTTCAAGGATTACCAGTACAATCGTAGAGGCACTGGCAAATGGAACGTAACGGATCAGCTGTTAGAGGACACTTATCCTGACTGCCGATGTGAGTGTCCCGTGGCTTGTTCATCCCTTACGTACGACGTGGAGGTGAACCAACAGCCACTGCCCGAGTGAGTTACATCATAATTAGCTTGGGAAACTAAAGGCGTTGACGTTAATTTGAAACCCTACTGTGTACTTTCAAGATTTTGATGTATTATAATACAGATAATAATTAACTTTGCCAGAATAAAACATGTTTTAGTAGGATGAAAGATATAGCGGTAGATGGGATTGTAAACTTATTTACTTACAGAGACTACATAAATCCGAGTCCTGTTTTAGCCTTGCCTGTGACCTCCGCCATGTCAACTTCTCCTCCAACTCTCCGAACATCTTTAACTAACTGGTCTTTCCGACTTAAACCCTTGAACTCCAGGACAAAAAATTATAAAACATTTTTTTACACACACACACACAAACACACAGTAAAGATAAGAAAAAAGTAGCAAAATGCCAAATTTGAGGTAAAAGAACTCTAACCTCTCATAAACTTCCAGACGAGCCATCAGCTGTCGCACCAAGGTCTACCACAGACAGTTGCACACCAGACCTGTCTAAGTTCCGACAGAAGTTAACTCTTCAACCATTTTTATAACCATCGGAAATGTCTATTGGCCGGTTTTAACCTTACTTCTGTTATAATAAATCCTAAGAACTTAAATCCTTCAGCCATTACTAAACACTCATCTAATTATATTTTTCAGCTTGGGTCGAGTAGACAGACGATTGGCCATTTCATTTAAGGAGCTTGAGTTTACCACTGTTTTGCGAAAAGAACTTATCGGCTTGACAGACTTTATTGGTACGATTTATTGGTATATCAATCTTTTCTTATAAACCTACCATGTAACTGTAGTGTCAGTGATAGTATAATATGAGGGATTACATGTCCAAATTTGTTGACACTTTAATCATTATAATATTCCTGCAGTGAAACTATTTTAGAACATCAAGCTAAATTAGTTGATGTATATAATATGCATATGAAGCTATAAATGGCCTACAGATAGAGGCCATTCAGAGAAGAGCAGATGCTCGTTTTATTAATAGCTTTAATAACTTGTGCAACAATATTTTGGTTATATATTCTTTTTAAATTACATTCCCTTTTCTTTTAACTTAGTTGTGTTCTCCTCGCCTACTGAAAAATGTCTGAAAGTTGTCTCTTTTTAAATGTTGGAATCACAATTCAGATTTTCAATTTTAATATTTTAAAATTTATAAACAAACATAACAACGTGTACGTTTACACACCTTACAATTTGCTATCACAGTAGTGTCACATTTAGTTGCTATCATAACAAAATGCTATCATTTAGTATCACATTTTGTTAAATCAAATCTACCAACAATCATTTAAATTAGGTTTAAAATTTTACTTTTATTAATTTAAGAATTGTTTTTTTTTAGCCGACAGTGGAGGTGTTTTGGGAGTTTTCACCGGATTCACATTCTTAGCCGTCGTTGAACTCCTGTACTACTTGACTCTGCGTTTGTGGAAAAACATAAAATATTCGTGGGAAGAAGTGGAAAACTCGGTAGAAGATATGGAAGCTACAGATTTTCACTAAGACTAGCATTTGTAAAGAGCAAATTCTTTTGAGTCTTTTTGTTTGAAATTTGTTTTTGGTGGTGTAATTTGATGTCATTTACTAAAATAATTGCCAATATTTTCCGTAACAAATTATATTTTAAGACATTTTGCGACCTGGAATCTGATCCTTTGGTTAGATAAGTGTTTTTTTATTTATTTTTATTTTTTCACTTTTCTTTTGTGGTGATTTGATGTAATTTAAGAAATTGTAAAGACATTTTTGCTAGTCTGAGTTAGTTTTTAAGAAGTTATTGTTTATGTTTTTTTTTCCATCAGCTTGATTTTTTTCACTTTTTCGGGGTTCCGGAACTGCAAGTTTTAAACTATGTTAATTTAGTCAATAACCGACTCAAAATATTCTATAGATTTTGGGAAAGAAATAATACAAATTTTAACAATCAGATTGCAAATATGTTCTATTTATAATCTCTCTCTCCTTTATTCGTTCATATGTACGAGACATCACTAAAACTATAAAATATCAATCCATACACAATCCAAAATAAGATAAATTAAATATAAATGGCAAAATATGATATAAAAAATATAAGCAATTAATTAAATAGAACCATAAGTATATAAAATGCTATACAAAATAATATTCAATAGTTGAATTATTAAAAATATCACAAATAATTAAATATTTACTAAAACTGCAAGATTCAGAGACAAATTTATATGAAGTTAAATTTTACGGGTTTTACAGTAAAAAGTAAACATGGCAGTATAGTAGTCTACTTATGAATTGTAGGAAAACACAGTTAGGTATCCTATGTTGATTTAAATGTTGACTTTTTTGGTCCAGTTTGTTACATTGAATTTCTATGATTTACAAAAAACATAAAATTTGAAATTGTCATTTTTTTTAATCACTACAAAGTCTATCAATAAATACAGTTTTGTTTTGATTATGAAACATGTTTTGCTAATGTGAGGATCTTTTAGGCAGCCCTATCTTACCAACACTACACTGAAACTATGGAAGATCTTCAACAATTTATTTTTGAGCATTTAAAAATGGAGATCAATAAAACATAGCCTCTAAAGGTTTGTTAACACTATATGTCACTTTCTTACCGGCTTCACAACTTGACGGATTTATTGACAGGAACAACAACCTAATGTGACATTTTAAGATCTACTTGAACAAATAATATTTCATTGAAGACAGAACCATGAAAGTATAAAACTAGAACCGAAATCGAGTACCAGACCCATGAACTATTTCAACAACTAGGGAAGACTAAGAAGATTGGAGTTTCACAATTAGACACTTCAATTATTCTAATCCTCAAACAAAATGTCAACACTAGTGAAAATTACTTCTATAGACAAACTTGTCTTTAAAGACCTTAGAAGTAATTTGAGATTTGAAAATCCAAACCAATACCATATCAGAATCAAGTATAATGTACAATTACTAAATGGCAATATCAGCAAGATATTTCATAGCTTGCTATTTTAAAATCAAGCAATTGCTGTAAATGATCACATGATGACTAATATGGTTGAGCTAGTCGCTTATGACACTATAATTAGGATGAACCCTTTAAGCTAGTTTATAAACAGTGGAGGACTTTATTTGTAATACTAACAGTAACAGTAGAGAAGACTAGAGTGGACATTGCTTATCAACATGTCATCTCAAATGACACAATTTTTAGACTCTGAAATTCTGCAAACAGCAGTGATGTGACGTATACATTGGTAATATTTTGTTCTTAACAGATGTAAAATTATTTTACTTCAAACATCAAGAATGCTTAAAACAATCTTAATATGACACAATTGGCAGTATTCAAAAGTAACTTAACGTGCACATAAAAATCTACATTCATTTCATGCCTGAGTTTGAAAATGTACATTTTAATAACAAAAGCATTTCCGTTAAATATTTTAAGGTGTAAATGGAAATGGGGAAAATATTACTGTGGTGTTTATATAGTTTATATAGTTAAAATTCATTCACTTTTATTAATTTAATTTTAACCTTTACATACTACTCTATCAGAGAATAATTGGAGGAAATTCCTTATAAATTTGTAAATATAAAACATGAAAAGTAAACTCCCTCTAGAAATAACAGCAACCGAGTGGAGGAAGTTCATTTACAACACTTATGCAGTCATTTGGTAACAAGATATATACTGTGTCGGTGATAAAAAAATATGTTTACGACTAATAATTGTATAAAATAAAATAAACTCTATTAATCTACCTATTGAGTTAAAACCTCAAGCGATTCTGTTCATAAATGTGCAGGTTTCTTACAAAATATGTACAATAAATACTTATTTACACGCAGCGAGAATTGTGAAATATTCCTATCAAAATGTCTGCTGCAAATCCAGATGAGTATTACGTCTGGCGCTCCAATCGGAAATCGTAATCATACTGAAACAACAAATTTCAATTTACTTTCCTCAAGATTCCCCTCTACAGCAGTTTGGATCTGTTTGGTTCAGGCTTTAGATGATTCACGTCTTGCACTCACACGTCACTTTACCATTAGCAACGAAAACAATTTTACAGTTGTTATTGCTTCAATTCTTCATTGTTTAGAATACTGAAGCAGTTTAACAACTTTGCACACATGGTGAGGTCCCAGATTTGTACCGGACACCAGAATAAGTTAGGTACTTTCCTGTTAAAGGGAACATTCATTATTACATTATTATCGATGATTTTTTTCGATATATCAATATTAACAAATTGATCAGCTGACAACTACAATAAATATTGTTCAGTATATGAAACTGTTCTAAAAAAATAACCTAACATAACTAACCAAACTTGCTGTAACATTTAAAAATTCCGTATTTAATTTGCCTTTTCTATTATCAAACCCAAACGGAATTTTTAAATGGTACAGCAAGTTTGGTTGGTTATGTTAGGTTAGCTTAGAACAGTTTCATTTTTTAATCCATATATTAGACTATTTTAGCCTAAACAAGATCAGTTAGTTATTGTTGTCAATTTGTAATGGATCGGATCGGAAAACAAAAATATCGGGAGTGTTGCTGAAGGTCTAATTAGACCTTCGACACACATTTTGCAGTTTGAACTTGTTTCTGAGGGTCTAATCTGGTAGTATGTCGAAGGTCTAAGTCCCGGAAGGTCTAAGAGTACAGTCAATGCAAAAAACTCATCCACTGATACTGTTTTAGACCTTGGGCACACAATGTATATTTTGTAAATAAATTATTATAAAATGAGAGTTGCTGAAGGTCTAATTCCCTGAAGGTCTAAGATTCGAGTCCCTGAAGGTCTAAGATTCGAGTCCCGGAAGGTCTAAGATTCGAGTGCCGGAAGGTCTAAGATTAGAGTCCCGGAAGGTCTAAGATTCGAGTGTCGGAAGGTCTAAGATTCGAGTCCCGGAAGGTCTAAGATGCGGGCGGGCATTGCGTCGCCATAGATGAAGGCTATACAAGCAGGCAATAACGCAACAACTTTTAGAGTTGTAATATTCTTAGTGATAGTTTTAATAACTCTCACGTCTTTTTTTTGCTAGCTCGTTATTACAAGTACTAATAAATGATTCAATTTCAATGCCCTCCTTGGAATTCCCTGTCACAGTGATATTAAAGTCATCGGCATATAAACATACGTTGCTGTTTACGGGTAGTAAGTCAGGTAGCCCTTTTACGTAACAAAGAAACAATAAAGGTCCTAAAATTTACCCCTGTGGTACTCCGTGTTTAATTTTTAAATTTTGAGAGTTAAACTTCCGGATATAGTTATAGTGATTTTTTTAATTGTTGAATTTAATGGTGTGCTCAATTTCTACAAATGGCTCCCGATTTCCCAAATATGAATCAAACCACTTAGACTCTTTTTAGTCAGTAATTCCTAAATTATGCGATGCAATTAAGAGTTTTTCACTGTCAAAAGTCCTAGTCAAGTCAAGAAATATACCAACCACTTTTTGCCGTTTGTCTACTGAATCTATTATTGATTGAATTAATTCTATACCAGCTGATATGGTGGATTTTTCTTTTTTGAAACCGTGCTGCTCTTTATCAAGTTGACAACAAATATTAAATATATATAAATGTATATATAGGCTATATATATATATTTATATATATATATTATATGTGTACAAGTATTATTTTACTTTTATATTGTAAAATTAGTTATTTTCACATGCAAAGTTCGGATTTAGTTGGAAATTGATTTATCTTATTGTATTCAGTTAAGTTTGTTTTATATGCGGATTTCCTGTAAATATTTTTTAATTTTATATAGTTACTAGTTGTGTATACATTAAACGCTATTTCAACAAACAATGTGGTTGTTTGTCAAAACAATTTGTATTTGCTCCATATCCCCCCTGAAATGAATGTCAACATTTGTTAGATTTTTTACATTAGGCCTATTGTGTTTTTTAGATAGTTGTGTATTAAAAGAAAAATACCCCCGCCGCAGCAAACCTGCCGTCCAAGCGAATTTCCATTTGGCCGAATTGATTTTCAATTGATCTATTTAAATAACATTAGGTTTAACGAGTACCTAGGTTTGCTGCTACAAGGAAACTAATAAAGTAGTGTGTTTTTAGTAAAATATTGATAGCTTACTATAAAATAAATAAATTTGCCAAGTTTGATCAAAATATATCCATAAACAAGCAAACTACAACATTTTACAATATTCTCCATAAGAATAACATGGGAATTTTAAATTTACAATTTTTTTAGTTTTCTCCGTAACCAATAACCGTACAAAAACACTTTGATATACTGAAATGTTTGTTTTTTTAAGCTCTTTAAGAAGGTTTAGAGAAAAATTGGGAAATTTTGTGTTTTGAGGGTAAAAAGTGAGAAAAACCAATTTTTACCCCATAAAACCCCCCATAAAACCCTGTTCCCATGGTCCGATCATGCTGGATCGCAAACTCATTCAAGTTTAACCCGCCTTACACCTTCAAACCAAATTTCATCAAAATCGGATAAAAATTACTCAAGTTATCGTGTTCACGGACACATATATATATACATACTAGCTGACCCGGCGAACTTCGTATCGCCTAAGTTATAGGTTTCCCCTAAGACAGACCGATGGAAAGAAAGTACCGTTACGTTTAATTTTCAAGATGATCTCGTTCGCTCAATCACGTCCTGGTTGAAGTTCGTTCGCTACGCTCACTCACCTTTGGGTTGGAGCTTGTTCGCTACGCTCACTCACCTTTAGGTTGGAGCTCGTTCGCTGCGCTCACTTGCCTTCAGGTTAGCTCGTTCGCTACGCTCACTCGCCTCCAGGTTGAAGTTCGTTCGCTACGCTCACTCGCCTCCAGGTTGAAGTTCGTTCGCTACGCTCACTCACCTTTTGGTTGCAAATTAGCTGTTGTCATAAATGTAAAAGAAATAATAGTGCTGCACCCTGTTGGTAATCCTTGTAACTTTAATGCTATTGAACATCATAGAACAGAACCAAATTGTTTAATTGAAACAGCTGTTAAGATTCATTAATTCCATTTCTCATAAGGTTAACATGGGAAACTCCAGAGCCACTGGGGCGGAGCCCTTTTAAGAATTTCGAAACGGAATATAGTTTACGTCCGATTCGCATACCTACTGAATTTACACACCAAATTTCATAACGATCGGTGAAGTCGTTCCGGAGGAGTTTGCAGACAAACACTGTGACACGAGAATTTTATATATTAGATATAAAAATTTGAACGAATGGTGTTTTTGGCCTCTGGGGACATTAAAATGAAAAAGTAAATCGGTCCCGGGCCTAAGTCTTACCATGAGACCTACGGTAATAGCTACTTCCCTATAGGGAAATTCGCTAAAATACACTGTTTCAACAAAATTCAATTCACTGGTTCCAACTTCAATAATCAACAGTAAAACCTTTAGTAGGAAAATATTGTTTTCATCACTCCGTAACCAAAGTAACTATTTTTTATAACAGCTGAAATCATTGAAAGTAGCCGTTTCCCATGCTCTAATTTAGGGCGAGGGAAAATCAATCAGCTGATTTTCACTCGCTCTAAATTTACTTTCCCTCGTTCTAAATTAGTTATCCATTTATTCACTATACGCGCTAGTGTTTTTTACGGTTTAATTTCATGATTTGAAACAGCTTTTTTATTGTTGCTCAATCTAAATCCATACAGAAACAGGCATTAGTTTGTTTTGTTGTGTTTTTAACAAAGTGTTTCAAAGTATACCTAACATTACTGAAGATTTGATGAAAACTGCTTAACTTATCACATTTCCCCGGATAAATCACGGGAAGGATAAGAAGATAAATACAGAAAGCTTAGACACTGGTAAAAATTACAAAATGTTAAGTTAATTAACGTGACGAAGTATTTATTAATACATTATTTATCATCTAAATAATCTACAATTATGAAACCATATGTAAGTTGTGAAGTGTATTTTCAATGGTAAAGAGTGGTCTAAAACTATTTTATTCCTACTGAGATATGTTATTCCGAATGTGTATATTTTTGCGTAACGTGAAGTTGTGCAGTAAACTTTCTTTTTAGGGAAATAATTAGAGGGTGAGGCCCTGGGGCCCTTTAAAGTTTCGTATTTCTCCATAAGATTAACATGGGAAACAAATATTGTTATGAAACTCCAGCTGTTGTCAGAAATTAAAAGTGAGAAGAAGAACATATGTTAATTGTAAACAGTCAATAAGTTTGCTAATTTAACAGTTAGTTTGCCACAAACATTTACTTACTCGGTTGAAATGAAATAGTTACTATTTGAATTTGGGTTGGCGTAATTATTACAATGGGAAAAAACGAGAGAGCCTGGATAAATTGATATACTAAGAAGAAAACTGAATTTTAACACTGTGCTGCATTTCTTAGTAATCATTGAAAGAGACGATTTGCAAACTATGGAAACATAGGAAAGTCATAGAACACCACCAAGGGGAAGAAATAGAAATAATGTGTGTTATAAACACTAAAAAACAAAATCAGCTTTTGAAAAATGATAAGATATTTACAAGAAATGTTGATTATATCGATCTGTTATGTACATCTTGAGTATTCCATAATCTTTGAGTCAAATCTTTTATAGTCATAAAAAAATATGACTGTTATTCGTTTTAAAATAACGCCTGTAATACTTAGCAATTGCTCGATTTCGAGCAACAGGGACACTAGTTAATTATAAAACATGTTGATATAGTATGAAATGTACAGTAAAATTCAAAAATTATATTCTCTACTTGTTAGTCTACTTATAGAGCTAACTGTACCCGCTGGATTGAATGAACAGTGGAGTGAATGGACAGGCAAATAATTTGTAAAATTACTTTTTGGAGTGAACCATCTTTGAGTGAATGAAACATCTCGATAATTACAACTCTAAAAGTTGTTGCGTTATTGCCTGCTTGTATAGCCTTCATCTATGGCGACGCAATGCCCGCCCGCATCTTAGACCTTCCGGGACTCGAATCTTAGACCTTCCGGGAATCGAATCTTAGACCTTCCGGGACTCGAATCTTAGACCTTCCGGGAATCGAATCTTAGACCTTCCGGGATTCGAATCTTAGACCTTCCGGGACTCGAATCTTAGACCTTCCAAAAATTAGACCTTCAGCAACTCTCATTTTATAAACATTTATTTAAAAAAGTTATATCGTGTGCCCAAGGTCTAAAACAGTATCAGTGGATGAGTTTTTTGCATTGACTGTACTCTTAGACCTTCCGGGACTTAGACCTTCGACATACTACCAGATTAGACCCTCAGCAACAAGTACAAACTGCAAAATGTGTGTCGAAGGTCTAATTAGACCTTCCGGGAATTAGACCTTCAGCAACTGATCCAAAATATCGATATATCGAAACAAAATCATCGATAATAATGAATGTTCCCTTTAACAGGAAAGTACCATAAATTATAATTGACAAAGAGTGGTTTATTTAAACTTTCCTGAAAGTTATGAGAATTGGTTGATAAGTACTTTAATCAGTGGGAGTATATAACGAATTTGTACAGTTTTATACTGTTAGGTTAGTTTTGGAGTAGTATGGCAAAAATATTGTACGACACTCATCCAAAATGTGTTTACCCTACTTAGTATGGTAATCCCACTAGTCGGGTAAAGACCTATTTTCCGGATTTGTAGAGTAATAAACCATTTCCCACAAATGTTAAGTTTTAGGTATGCTATCTTATTTTTAACAAGAGTGTAGGTAAATAAAACATATCTTAAAGAGTAGTTATAATCTTTTCATCTATAAGTTATCGGTCCATTAAGACACACTAAAGTTTAGTAACCAAGTTCAGATAGCTCCTCATTTAGTTGAAATAAGTCTAATTCTTTACAAAATAATGCAAAGCAATATTATACTTACATCACTGTCCAGGTCAAACTGGGTTCTTACTTTGATGGTTGGTATTCCGAGCTGCAAATAATACACAATTAGACCAAGGAAAGTGAGTTAAAGTAGTTGATTGGTTTAAAGGGTGGGAAGGGTGTTTAAGCTACTCTCATGACTAATGTTTTGTACTTTGTTGGGAGAAATAGGTTCATTCACCTGACAAAGCTACAAAAATGTAGGTAATCAGACCATTTTCCTTCAAATGTCACAATAGTGTATGAACACAAGAACCAACAACGTTGCTACTTTGGTTTCACAGTTGATAACAATAGTGGTGCCGACTGAACGACCAGCTCGCCAAGTAAATATTGTTCTAATAATTTCAAACTCTTTACTCACATTCATTGATGACTGTGTGTTGACAAGCCTAGGGTTCAATACAAAAGGGATACCTTCCAAACCTGAAAAAAAAACAAATCATTCAGCTCAGAAACGGATAAACAGTTAATCCATAGTGTTTTCAACGTAGGTACTCTAATTAAGATTTAAACAAAAAAGTCTTCTCATCCCAGATAGAAATAAAATATACAGTTCTTTAAAACAAACAAAAAATATGTTTAAAACAAAACTCGGATAAAAGCTTTACCATGATATGAGGCAATGGTGCTGTAGTTCGATTGGTTGGTGGGCGGAGGAGGAGGGGCAGGTCGCTTTGGGGTCGGTCGAATCAAGTTCTCATAGTCATGGGGTGGTGACTCATCATTAAATGTGGTCGGGATCCTTGGGGCTGGTCTTGGGATCACATCACCATTCTTGAATGGGTTTAAACTGAAATATGACAAAAAATTTAGCAATCACAATAGTATTGCTAGTCCTGAACGTTACTAGTCCTGAAATTAGGCATTTACCAGACGAGTGTGGTCGTTCCCGTGCAAGACAAAATCAAGTGCCGGTTTACCATAAGAGACTGGTGAACACATGATGATCTCGTACATTTTTTATGGAAACTACGTCCCACTTAACCAATTTTTATGTTTGAGGTGTCATTATTTAATGCATATGATCCAACGCACATACGGATAGTTATTAAATAATAAGTTGAAAAGGTTCGCGAAAACTGCCAATTAACGATAAAAGAGTTATCGCTTCAATTCCCTCAAGTTTCACAGACTTTGTTGTTTGAAATCATCATACAACAAAGCGAAAGCTCCGTTAGCGCGAATCAGCGGTTTTCGCAAACCTTTTTAACTTTAGCAACCAGTTTCACAATACTCGGGCGTCCGCTCTTCGCTTCGTCATGACTCATGAGCGTCAGTTCGGCCATTTTTAAACTGAATGCACCATTTTTGCACAGAAATTTTGTTCATTACGCTGTTCCCGTAAATGTCACACACTTGGGGATATGTGTCTATTGGTTTTAAGATTTTTGCCACCAAAAACCATATCACTGACCACACCTCACAACTGGTGGGATTTTCAATCGAAAAGTTGAAATTGGGAAATAGGGCAGCGGAAGGATGTTCACGTTGTCACGGCTGGACGCCGACAGAGTTGCCGAGTGTGCACACATCAAAATGTACCAGATCGGCACGCCCAGTGTCAGTGTGTGCGTATGTGTTCGTACCAGTGTCAGAATGAAACATTCCTTACTTTCTGATTTTACCTTGTATACACAAGTACAAATCATTGATATGCTATAACATTTTATAGCATACTAGCTTTAACTCGTATATCGAGAGGAAACAAACCTAACCTAACCTGTGCCCTTTCTATCAGTTATGCACAATAAGCTGTGGTTGACATGGGCCCACTATTTCCCAACCAAAGCTGACCTAACATAACCGAAACTAACCTCACATCAAATTCATTTGCATAATGCAAATATTAATCGTGCGACTCTTTTCTCAATTCAATAGCCTACACGTAATTTTTTTTTAAAGTTACAAAGCAAAGAATCTCAATTTCATCTCAAAGGGACATTTCTTAGTGCATTCTATACTTACCTATAGCCGAGCAGTGGGGCTGGATTAGGAGGATCTCCATGTATAGGACCCGTTTTGAAGCAGATGACAATTCCATTTATTTCACTGAAATAATTGAAGTGCTATTATAGTAGGTAATTTTTTCATCAATTTTTTTTATCATTAATAAGTGTCAAATAAAACATTATTATATTGAGATCATTTAAAAACTACAGAGGTTGTCCATTTTTGTTCACTGTAGACTTAATTTCTATTCAATTTTACTACAATAAGCTTCAATTATTATTTGATTTGTAGTAAGATTTTGTAATAGGTACATTCTATGTTGTATATAAAACTATTGGTTTTACAATCTATTAAAACGTGACAGGATTTTTTTTATTTCTCGATTCTGAATCAACCACTTGACGGATTTTCATGATTTTTGTGTTGAAAGAAAGATAATTTTGAGAACTAGGGAATGTCAAAGCCAGAATTTTAGTTTAGGGTTTCAGTTTTTTAGAAATTAAGTTTTAATTTTTTTAAAGTCTTGCAGCCGACGCTAGCAATTTAAAGCCTTTTCAATGCTGGTTTAACTAACAGCTAGTTATAACTGTCATTGAAACGTTTATGTCACGAGTTGTTTGTTAACAAAAATATTGTTTATTGGTGTTTGCCTACATACTATTTCACTTTAAAATGTAGTTTTTCCCTACCGTGAAGGATCTGCGTTATCAGGAAATGTGTTATTTTGAACTAAACATCTCAAACACTTGCGTTTAATCAAGTGTTGTCGTGAATGCAATCTGTCTAAGCATTTAGTTTATGCTTTGGAAATTTCAACTCATATTTGGGAAATATTTTTTCAGTAGTTTATCACTTAATTGTTTAAGATGTAAGTGGTTTACGTGTTACTTTTTTTCTGTATGTTTGAATGTGAGTATGTCGGCATACTAAAATTTTGAAAGCGTCAATCGGTGTCTAGGTCTCTATAAAACTGTTTGATAAGCTACAGGGCGCAGTAGAAACCAAAGTCGACTCATACCATACCATAACTATCCTCGTAGTACTGATGATTCAGAAACTTGGGCACTGACCAAAGAACCAAAAACCCTTAATGCTGGGTTAGAGAATAAGTGCAGAGAAAATATACAGACCAGTTCAAGATATCGGAGGTTAAAATAAAATAAAACAGAGCTAAGAGAAATGTATTAACCCCCAAATATAGGGGTGCTTTACAGAAGTAAAAGGCTTGGATTAGAGGTGTGCGGATAGTGAAATTTCATTTCGGATCGGATTCGGATCGGATAGTTGAGGCTCGGTTCGGATCGGATCGGATATTGGGAGGTTCGGATTCGGGTATTTTCGGATTCGGATAGTTCGGCGCGGTTAATAATAAGCTGCATATGTATTTTTAACCTACAAAACAATGTAAAGCTGTGTAAATAAACTTAAATGACAATTTTGAACTATAGAATTTCAAATTAGCCAAGTCCACAGTTTTCTCTCTCTTGAAAATCACAATTCACAACATTTATTTTCAAAAGTTGGTTGCTTGAATTAAGTACACTAGCAGCCGAAATCTTCACAAACACCTTAGCTCAGCAGGACTGGTGTCAAACGTTTGGGCTTGTTTACTTGAGGTTATGATTTATCTTCTTTCCTGGTTCTCACAAGCCAAGGAGTTCGATCTCAAGTTTATTTTCACATTGTATTTCCTTACGTTTTTGGAACGGATTATTGGGCTTAAGTGGCATTTTGTGGGTTTGCCAAGTCTAGAATCACTAATGCACTAAATTGGCTCTTCACGATTTGATGTTGGGCAATTAGACTTTATAACTCTGTAAAAGGTGTGTATCCCTGAATTTATAAATTGCATTCTACACATATTCACTGCCAAACATAATTCAGTAGAACCTTGATGAACCGAGAATTACACTAGCCTAGACATAACTTCATTACCCCAAGTAAAATACCAAGATAATCTTTATAATTGTATTTGAATCGTATAATCTTAGTTTGTTAAAAATGGATTGTATGTTCAACAATAATTGCAGTCCATTATTGTTAAGCAGTATGGTCCCAAATTATTGTTTTTGATTTTGAAACATCACAGTTCATTTGACAAAATTATAATTGAAGCAGCCCAATGTCAAGTCACGCGCGCTTGTGCAATAGTTTGTTTACAAGCTTTCTCCAGACCACGGGGGAGGGGAGGGGAGGGTCTGATAAGCCGTCTATTGTTCACCCCCAAGAAGGTCCGACCCTCATTAGTGCCGCTCGGCTGCACTCAAGTGTTTTACCCCCTGCTGTGCGCTATGTCATAAAAGCTGATAACGACGTTGAATGCGTGATAAGGGAAACCCAAGAAATAGAAGAACAAAGAGAAAGAATAATGACGTTGTTATCTTTATTCCCTTTTTACAATCTCCGTTATTTTTTGTTATCTTTATGTAAGATTTTATGATTTTGTTTTATAGGTTTATAAAATAATTCTTTTTAACTACGGGAATATCAATTTATAATTTATCAACGTGCTTCTCTTCTGAAACAGCAATACCGGATGCATAATAAAGGTCAATGACCTAAAATATCACGATTGTGCAATATTGTATTTTGATGTTGAAATTAAAATCACGACAAAAGTTTGTATATATCCATGGTCCCTATCGTTTAATCATTTAATATGTACACAATAAATGCTAAATAATCGTGGTTAGTTCTAACTTTATTTTTTATTATTCAAAGTTTCTACACAGTAAGACAATCCAAAGTCAAACCGGGCAATGAATGCCCAAAAAACAACGTATCTTGTCCTGTGATTGGAATACCACTCGCCGGCCAGTCCTTTCGGTTTAGGGAAGTAGTGCAAGTCTATATATAGCTTCAAGGTCTTACCCACCCCTTCCCCCTCCGGTCCTACTTGACTCACTACCCGCGCTCCTTTCGAGGTTATTGCCCAACCCCTCCCACCCTTCTATTGTGTTGCCTTTCTATTGTTTCTATTCTGACTTTTTTTCGGGAAACATTTAATCTATTGTTTACGTAACATCACAGTAGTAGGCTAGATTTTTCTACTTTGAAACAGTACTGTAAAAAAACTATTACGCAGCGCCCCTAGTATCAGGAGCGAGACAAGCACGAGTTGACTTTCATTTGACCATGGTAGTTCTTTTCTGCTTTATGTCTGTTCGTTCCAGACGAATCTAATCGTAAAGCAAAACAGCCGATAACGACTAAACTAGTTATCAGTATTGCATCATACGGCTTCTTTGCCGTTTGCTGTTAGGTCGTTGGAAACGTATTGCTGTAATTTTGTCCTGGGAAACTAATGGTGGTTATGGAGGTTTTCTGTCCAAAACGTCAAAATATATGTCTATCCGAAAAAGTCGGATATATAACGGATAGTGTCGGATATCGAATTTGGGCTCGGTTCGGATACGGATATCCGAACCGAACCGAATCCGACCCGATTTTTCGGATATCCGCACACCTCTAGCTTGGATGGACAGGCTACATAAACTTTTAAAAGTATATTCCAAGGAGTACCACAAGATAGACGGGAAATACCAAGTTATGAAATGCATCCTCAGTCTGGGATCTAAATTTTGAAGAGGCAGGGGATAGAAGAGAGTTCATATTATATTCGGATGGAAGAAATAGGTGGTCACGTGACAATTGTTTATAAGGTGATCGTACCCATTAAAACTGCCAGAATTTGTCTCTATGCGTGTAAACTAGATCTTCTAAATTATTCCGTTTTAATTGGCAACTCGATTCCCGTATGTAGGACGGGCCACCAGCTTGTTTATTTAAATACAGAAAGGATGAAAAAATAAAAATGTTCTTAAAAATCTGTCGTTAATACACCTTCCGTTGATTAAATAATGTAAATATGGAACACTAAAAAAATATTCTCATTGATCACTATTTAATTGAAGTTTTTTTTGCAGACTCCTGAGTAAAAGAGCAAATAATTTCTTTTCATGGAATATTTGAATAGGCCTACTTAATACAAAAAGGGTTTTGTCTGTTAGGCTACTTTTTTTTTTATATTCGGATTTTTTTATATTATATTGTTAGGCTACATCCTACCTTTTTCAGCCACGTCCTACTTAACCAATTTTTATGTTTGTGGTGTCATTATTTAATGCATATGATCCAACGCACCTACGGATAGTTATTAAAAAGGTAGGCTAATTTCCTTTAGGGCTTCGCCCTCCTCACATTTAATTTATTTCTGGAGTCTATTTTCAAAGATCCAGCAAAGTTTATGTTGACTAGGCTCACTTTCATTAAAAAATTGGGTATTTCATAAAAAATTATTTTAAGTAGGCCAAAGTCTACTGAGACCTAATTGAGGTAGGTATGTCAATCACTCATTATTAATGTAGTAGGTATGTAATACCTAAATATCTATTGTAAATTAAGTTAGGTAGTAGTTATATTCATCTAATAGCCTAACTAAACAAACACGTTTTTCAGCATGTAAATGGGTAGTGGTATTGCATTGGATTCATTTTGCCTCGGAAACAAGTTTTCGACCTTATTAAACTGCGCAATCAGCGTGCATGTGTCCTGTCCTAGCTAATAATTGGTTGTAGGCCTATAACACACTTACCCCGCAAGAGAAAACCCTTCCGGTGCCTTCTTCGCTCGGCCTAGCAGTATGATGTCTGTGATTGCAGAGAGAGCAAGGTTCCGTCTAGTGAGTCTGTAACACATTTGCCTCTTACGCCACGCCCTTTGTTCTGCAAAATAAAAAAAATGCAGGACAAAGTCAGCTCTTGATGATTGTCCTAATTAGATTAAGGCAAAGTAAAGTCAATCTAAACTTTGATTTTGAAACCACATGGAGGCCTATCTATAAAATAATAATTAGGCCCTACAGAAAATTTATTTTTCAGAAATCTTGTAGCCTATAGTTGGCGGGACCAAGTAACAGTTTCAGTACAAGTGGCCATTGCAATAAACAGTTAGTAAGTAAGAAAACTTCTATGCTTTACTAATATTTCAGAGGAAATGGATCATAACTTAGGGCACTCCCTGTGGGACTACACGGTTGGATCCTTAGGTCCGTCTGCTTTTGGATAAAGCAGTGAAGGCCTACTAATTTCCTCCTTGTGCCACAGGACAACTGAGCCACCAATTCCCAAATCAGCCCAATCAAATAACTAAGTAGTGCCATATAAAATCTTCCTCTGGCCCATTTCATCTCCTCTTCTGTAACTTAAGATACACATAACTTATTACACTAATATATAACTGCATTATGCACACAATTTTCTCATTTTGTACATTAAAGTATGTAAACTTACACCTGGAAGGAGGCCCAAAGTGTGCCAAGAAACGCATTCCTATATCGCTCAAAAATAGACTAGTCCCACAGTAAGGTAAGGTTGATTGAGAAATCTTACAGGAGCTTCTGCTTGTCAGTAGGCCTAGGGCCTAGTTTAAAGTGGAACCTCGATAAGAAGACCCTCGATAACAAGTTTCTCTATAGATAACAAGTGTATTTTTCAAATCCCCTTGAATTTATTTTACATCTAATCACATGTTATTGCAAACTTCCATAAGAAGTCAACCTTGACAACAGTCTTATTAAGTTAACAGACTTATTTTGTTCGGTAATCCCCATGAGAGTCTTGTTATCAAGGTTCTACTGTAAGGCATTTAGCCTACTTACCAGAATCAATGGTCCTAGGGATGAGACAACATCCATCGGGAGGTGCTTCCTTTTCATTAATAACACCAACAAACTCGACAACATAGTCAGCAATTCCCTCAGTCTTGCTCAAACAAAGATAGCGTGTGACTTTACGTATGAAGAAGTTGCTTTCCTTCCACAAATCAGCATCAGAGTCCTGATCATGTGTGCGAGAAACCTGAACAATAACCGAGGATACAAGTCAGTGGAAGATTGTTAGGTACCTTATTTATTGTTTAGCATTATGCATTAAGTAGAGTATAAACAGCTGTTATTTGCTCTCCTCACTTAGACGGACACGTCCAGAGCACGCCATATTACCATCAGTAGATACCGCTCAATTAACCTTAGATTCATAATTTAACCTTCGTTTTACAGCCACTTAGGAATCTCTCCAACAAAAACTGATTTCATTTTTGGATTCAGCGTGAAAAAAACTGAAAGTAGGCAACTAAAAATTAGGTAATTATTTACTTATTAAGTACATCATAGGCTATATCCTAATGTAGACAAACTATATACTCATTAATTGCCAAATGAGGTAAGCTTTAATACTCAGTTAACCTGTCGTCAATCTGTCATATAGGCTAGCCTATTAGCGTTGATCCACAATATAGGACTGATTGGACCACAAGTTAGTAGGCCTAACCTCATTTTATGCCTAACTTAAAGTTCTATATGTTAAAACGGGTACACTTCCATATCTGTTGGCACAAACAACCGAATGAAAATATCGATCGATATATCGATTATTCGATATCGTTCGGTTAGTTAGGTAAGGTTAACCCTAGCAGTGGCCAATGTTAGAAGTGGGGAATGGCCAACCCATTTTGGCGATTTTGCAGACCTTTTTTTGAAAATTCGTAAAAATTCAACCGTACAAGTAAACCTAGCCAACCTCATATTCATTTTGTTTGGAAAGAACAGGAGAATCTAGAAATAGTAATATCATAATGATTTAGACAGTGTATTTTATTGATAAAGTGAAAAAAATAAAAAAATTTGAATTTTTTTTTTGAAATTTCAAAAGCGGCCTTGGTATTTTTTTTCTACGGATTTCTTTATGGGAAATTCATTATATACATTTTGTAGAAAATCTAATTCCCTACATAGAAATATATAACATGTTAGGAAAATATTTTTTTTTTATAAGTTTTTGGGGCGAAATATAATGACAAACGGAGAACCGAAAAAATTGAGAACCGTACAGTGTTAGTTTATGTTGTAAAAAGTTCTATAATACATGTGTATACTAATAATGATATATACATGTTTGTAAAGCTAATGAAGTAAGGAATCAAAAAAAGTCAAAAAGTTTATGGTAAAAATAATTTTTTACCTATAAACATACGTATATAAAATAATGTTTATATATTTTAGCGATTTCTCGAAAAACAAAATTCACAGTACTTAGTATACAACTTTTGTACCAAATTTTTTTACTTCAAACCAACATAATAATCTTGTAGTGTATTCAATTACCAACATAAAAATGTATAACATGTTAGAAATATTTTTTTTGTAGGTACGTAATAGGGACATAATAATACAATAACCGCAAAACCGCAAATAAGTGTAAACTATAGCCTACAGTGTTTGCTTGTGTTGTGAAACATTATGTAGGCTGATGATATGTAGCCTACATATTTGTAAAGCCAATGAAGTAAGGAATCCAAAAAAGTCATAAGTATGATGGTAAAAAGTTATTTTCACCTATGATTATGTAGGCCTATCAATTTGAGAACGTTTTGAATTTTTTGCGCATTTCGAGAAAATGGAGTGTACAGTATTTAGTAGCCTATATAATTTTTTACCAAATTTTTTACACCCAAACCAATATAAACATGTTGTAGTGTATTCATTTACCTTTATAAAAATGTATAACACCTTGGGTAAATCATTATAACCCCTCTGAATGTCAGAATCGTCATTTTTGGACATGATGCTAACAAAATAGCCTACAGTAGTAGGCCTATTTAGTATAGGCTATAACTTTTTTACAAAATTGTTTACCCTCGAACCATTATAAACATGTTGTAGTGTATTCATTTACCTTTATAAAAATGTATAACACCTTGGGTATATCATTATATAGGTACAACAATCTCTGAATGTCAGAATCGTCATTTTAGGACATGATGCTAACAAAATACAACCTTTTATGAACACTATTCCACACAATTCAGTAATATTTATGCTTGAAGATAACTGTTATACACACACACAACACTTCACTTACACTAACACTACGAACTAATAACATATTTAGTAATAAATCGCGGATAAAACTATTACGGCAACAACACAAACAAACAATGGCAATACAAGACAGCTGACAGACTGTGGCAGTAATGACTCACTTCCGTCGTCTACATCACTGTCTACATGCGAGCATACAGAAATAACCCTGAGTGCAGGGCTGCCACTCTCTGAATCTAAATTTCTTCCTCTTCAAAATGATATACTATATGACTAGTAATAATAACTTTCACTGTATATAATTCGTATTTTCCATACTGTCACCAGACGACTGTTGGCCATTTGTTAGAAATTTCGAAAACAGCTGTTTTCATAAAATCGTACCGATTGTGCAATCAATATTTAGTTATAAATATCACTACCACAATGAAGATAAAATCAATGGCTATCCAGTGGTATCACCCGCAACATCCCAAGACGAAAATTACCCGAGCAGGGTAATGCCAAACAAGACGTGTTTTGCCAGTTCCCAAGTGTCGGCTGCAAAAGTCGTACCGCGCCAAAATTTCATTTGATTTCTAATCGTCGTGACATTGTTATATACCTGCTACAGGGTTTGTTTATGTAATCAAATGAAAGTTCAGAATGTGATCTTTCGAATGGTATATATATTATTCTAATCTGAGTTGATTGTAAGTGTTTTTTTTACCGTTAAAAAAATGTCGGCCCATACCGTAACCAGACGACTTTGGCCATTCTAAGCATCAACGTCATACCGTAACCAGACGACGGTTGGCCACTGCTAGGGTTAACCTAACCTAACTAACCAAACGATATATCAAATTAAACAATCGAATAATCAATATTACTCATTCGGTTGTTTGTGCCAACAGACATGGAAGTGTAAGTTACCCGTTAAAACTCCCAGAACAGGTCCTGGATTAAACAAAATAAGGGTAGGCCTAGGCTAAGTTATCCAACATGTTAAGAATCATCTCAATTTCTGTAAAATATTGTAAAACTTACTACATTAAATCCTGGGGGGCATTTGGCAGGATCTTCCACAATACAAATCGCTGTGATCGGTTTATCATCAGGAAAAGCTTTCAACACTTGGTGCATCATTTCATCAGTAAAAGTAAGTAGGCTATATAACTTATTAAGTTTATGAAGGCTTTGACGAAACCAAAACTAAAACTGAGGATATGGAACTATCTTTTTACACAGTTCCAGAGGTCTTGCTTAATAGCACCTAGGCCTAGGGCCTAGATCTTACTAGACAAAGGCTCAGCCAAGTCTATAAGATACAATTTAACTTAACAAATATTACGTTTCTAAACAGTTTTATATCATAGATTTAAGTAACAATGAATCACCAATTTCAGCGTAACCTCATCAAGATTTGACGCAAGATGTTTAACTTAATCGCAGTCGATTTTTTACTCTATAACCTGCAAGAGTTTAGCGGTCATCGATAGAGTCCGTTTAGATTTTTAAGATGTTTAAGGCAAACTAGCAATATACCAACATAAAAGACATGACAATAGATTATATGAGTTATTTATAATGAAAAATATCTAAACAACATAGCACAAACTCTTTCTTCAAGTTACAAACGAATAAGGAATAGGCCTACAATCACATCACAATCATTATCATCATTACCATTACACTGACTGACTTCGACTTGGGACTTGACTTGGACTTCTTCCACTTCCACTCCACTGCAGCCCAGAGTGAATGTCTAGTCCAGAGTCCGACTCCAGTCCATTGAGATATAGATTATAACTAAACTGGAGTCACTACTCTCTGGTTAAACATTAGAGAAAAACGTGCCACTGTTTTTGCTGGTTTGTTTTTGGCGTTTCGTGTTGTTAGGTTGGCCGTGTGATCGGTTGGTGGGATGCTGTCAAATTCCAATTCATTCTAACCTAATCTTACTATTCCTTTGAGGTTAGGCCTATCCGTTATTTCAAGGACTTTTATAAAAAATACCCCCGCCGCAGCAAACCTGCCGTCTAAGCGAATTTCCATTTGGCCGAATTGATTTTCAATTGATCTATTTAAATAACATTAGGTTTAACAAGTACCTAGGTTTGCTGCTACAAGGAAACTAATAAAGTAGTGTGTTTTTAGTAAAATATTGATAGCCTACTATAAAATAAATAAATTTGCCAAGTTTGATCAAAATATATCCATAAACAAGCAAACTACAACATTTTACAATATTCTCCATAAGAATAACATGGGAATTTTAAATTTACCATTTTTTTCGTTTTCTCCGTAACCAATAACCGTACAAAAACACTTTGATATACTGAATTGTTTGTTTTTTTAAGCTCTTTAAGAAGGTTTAGAGAAAAATTGGGAAATTTTGTGTTTTGAGGGTAAGAAGTGAGAAAAACCAATTTTTACCACATAAAACTCCCCATAAAACCCTGTTCCCATGGTCCGATCATGCTGGATCGCGAACTCATTCAAGTTTATCCCGCCTTACACCTTCAAACCAAATTTCATCAAAATCGGATAAAAATTACTCAAGTTATCGTGTTCACGGACACATATATATATATATATATAAATCTATATATATATATCTATATATATATATATACATATATAAAAATTTGAACGAATGGTGTTTTTGGCCTCTGGGGACATTAAAATGAAAAAGTAAATCGGTCCCGGGCCTAAGTCTTACCATGAGACCTACGGTAATAGCTACTTCCCTATAGGGAAATTCGCTAAAACTTATTTAAGACATTGCACGTTAAAACCTGTGCATTTAAAGTTATTTTGAAACATTATAAATTGTTTTTGATAATAAATAAATAGGCTACTAATTTATTTACCTCTTTTCAAGCTATGTGGTGAAAATAGGCTAGTCAAGTTTCCTGGTTTGGAGATATTGGTTTAGTCTTGGGTTTTCTGTGGCAGGTTTACCTATGGCATTTTATAAAGAACAACCATCGGTTTATGATCTTTTTAAAACGGGTTAATGTTGCTCGTATAATAAATAATTAAACTTATATGTTGACATATTTTTGTTTGCTATCAACAAGACAATAGGTTGACGCCATCTTGATTTTTCCTCTAATTTGACAAACCCCACCAACCGATCACCTGGCCAACCTAACAACACGAAGCTCTGAAACAAAAACAGTGGTACGTTTTTAAAACACAGAGTGGTTACTCCAGTTATATTATTATAGCTCAGTGCTCCAGTCCACTGCCACTCAACCCTCCAGTACACTACGACTACACTCACTCAAAGGCGGCCGTGCTCACTACCCTCACTACAACTTCAGTTTCAGTTCAGTTCAGTTCAGCACCTCTTTGTCTTGTCTTGGCCACTGAGCTAATTCATCTCAATGGTCTTGGCATTGGCTCAGTAGGTCTACTTAACTTGGCTTGGCAGAGTTTAGTTATAGATGGTTATAAAGAAGAGAGGACTCAGTCTGACTCTGACAACACGGAGGGGACTGAGTCACTACAAAGTTACAGGAGCCTCAGTAGGGACTAGGGAATAGGGAGGCACAATTTGTTTTTCAGGATCAATTTTGCCAACAGTGTCATTTAGAGGCTTTTGATTGACTATAACCATAGATAAAACCGAAGGTTTAGTAATTGAAAAATTATTTTTGTTCATAGAATAAAATTATAAATGCCTGAAATTCAATTTTATACTTTTGTATTTTGAAATTAAACCGTCATAACCTAACCAAACCAACCAAACGTGCTGACAATGAAAAAATCTAATGAAGGTTTATTAATCGAAAAAATAGTTCTGTTCATAAAATAAAATTATAAATGCCTCAAATCCTATTTTATATTTTTTTTATTCTAAAATTAAACTATCATAACCTAACCAAACTAACCAGACCTGCTAATAATGAAAAATCAAATGAAGGTTTAACCGAAAAAATATTTCTGTTCATAAAATAAAACTATAAATGGGTCAAATTAAATTCCATAATGTTTTAACTATAAAATTAAACCGTCATAATCTAACCAAACCAACCAAACTTGTTGATAGTGAAAAAATCCAATACAAAAAAATAGTGCTATGAGTGGAATTCGAACCCGGGTCCTTCGGAACATCAGCCCAGCACTCTAACCACTACACCACCGAGGCCGTTGGCATCAACAGTATCGTCGCGGTAATGATGTTCCCTCAGCCAATCAGAAGCCTCTAAAGCCAAAATAATACTGTAGGCAACACTAATCCTGAAATAAAAATTCAGCAGCAGGCACCAGGAGGGATTGGTTTAGACTGATTTATGTATGATGTAATTTGAAATGTCACATTATATGTTTTCAGACATATTGTAGAACCTGGCATTTTATGTATTTTCATGCAAATACCATTCAATCAAGAGCGGTCCCGGAAGGGGGGGGTCTCTAAGGAGTGATGACCCCCCCCTTCCCCCAAATCTTTTGCATTTTGCAGGATTCCTTCGGTGTTACGTGATAATGAAATTCTACAAGTCTCAATAATGCAAAACTTAACATTGCATGTTTATTTTTTAAGCATTTCTTGTACCTTGAAATAAACTGGGAAGCTTGAACGCATTAAGCTAGGTCAATTTAATTGTTTCAAAATAGCTTTAAAATGGCTCATTTAGTAGGTACATAATTTTCAACTTTTTCTCCGAAACCAACCCCCCCCCCTTTGCTGAGGGGAATTCCATACCTCCCCCCCCCTTAATATAGGTCTAAGATCACCCTTTTGCATTCAATGTAGTGTAAATTTAACCATGTTCACATTGACATCATAGGGCCACTTCCACCATTTGGACCATACAGATATTGCCTGATCGACAGCTATCAACAGCTACACCAGATGGCTAGTAGGTATCCCATTGAAAACCATCACCGCAGAAGAAGTAGCTGATTCTCTAGTAATGTGCTGGTTTTCCCGTTACGGCTTATCTTTGCTTATCGTGCTTATCTTTGCACATCACAACTGATCAAGGACGCAAATTTGAGTCAGCTTTATTTCATGCCCTTGGAAAGATCTTTGGTGCAGAGCAAATCAGAACTTGCAGCAATCACCCTTGTGCTATAATGGTTTAGTCGAGAGATTAAGGCAGCTCTCAAGTGCCACACTGATCATTCAACTGGCTTGAAGCACTTCCCATCGTACTACTCGGCATTTGCAGCGCCTATCATGAAGACCTTCAAGCATCTAATCTACCTAAAGACACAGTACGGGAAGAAGACCACTGACTATGTTGTTCGCTTACAGCGTCGCATGTCAAATTTAAGACCTGTACCCACATCTTTTTGCATGATAAACTGAAGACCTCGGTTTTAAAGGAGTTAATACGGTGCACTCACATATTTTTGCGAGATGACTCTGTAAGACGCTCACTACAACCACCTTACACTGGACCATTTCCCGTCGTATCTCGTGATGATAAAACTATAACTATATAATCAAACATGGTAAACGTGTGAAGGTGACGTTGGACAGAGTAAAGTCTGTGTATCTTTTGCAAGATCTTACTCCTTCAGCACATAAACCCATCCACAATGAACTTTCTGAAAATCCACCCTCCGTAGTGTTTCCACCCAAGGACCCAAGACTCTTCTGTCCAAGCCTTATGGCCCAATCTGGTCATACTGTAAAATTGAGAGTGCCTGGTCTTCCAGACACCGCAGGGGGCTATTGTGGTCACTACACATCCAAAAACAATAATTTTCAATGTTAAAAGAAATAATTTAGTATATTGAAGCAATGTTGTATGCCTAATGGTCACGGAGAAAATTCAAAAACAGTGTAATTTAAAATTCCCATGTTAATTCTTATGGAGAAAATGAAAACTGTTGTAGTTTACTTGTTTATGGATATATATTGAAAAAATTTTGCAAATTTATTTATTTTATCCTATAGGTCAAAAAACACTTTTTACCTTCTTGTAGCAGCAAACCCAGGCACTAATTAAATCTAATGTTATTTAAATTTGGAATAAATTTGTCTTATTTATGGAATTATTTTAGTAGAAATGTAATCAGACAAGTTGAAATTTGCTTAGTCTGCAGGTTTGCTGTGGCGGGGGTATTGTATATTTTAATCATTTGTTTATTATCTTAGTAGTCCTAGCAACCTAGGCTACAATACAAAGTTGACTGTTTAACATTGGATGTCACTCGAAATTTCTTTCTTTGTAAATCTATACTTCTATACTATTATATAAAAATCTAATGGTGTCTGTATGTGTATTACTAATAGGCTCAAAAACTACTGAACCGACTGGGCTTAAATTTTACAACAATATAGCTAGGCCTACCATACCAAGGACCATTATAGGACTAATCACACTTTGATACTGACCGTGGGCTTTGCCCCTTTGGCTTTAACATTTCGGAGGTGAGGATTTTAAAAGTAAATATTGATTTGTCTCCATGGCTGCGATGAGAACACTAATAATGTTTGTTTACATTTGCTTTAACATTTCAATGTAAACAAGAAGAACTGCTAAATTGCATATTTTACAATTTCAGACAGCTGATACAAAGAAATTAAATATAATATTTTCCATAACCATGAGGTAGGTTTATGTCAATGATTATAACAAAAATATTCTATAACCTGTATCAACTCCGGCTCTGCTTTGGATTTTTAATGTTATTGATATGTTTTCATGAAAATTACAATGTATAGATGGTTTGTATGAATTTGGAGGATTTTTTATAAATTCGAACTGCTTAACATGTGTTGGATAAACAACTTGCACTTCACATAGATTTTTTATATATAGGTAAATTTAGCAATTGTGTTTTACTACACCACTGATTAAATCAAACTAAGGAAAATATCATAAAACTTAGCTGTACACGGTGTTCTTTTGTTTCTAAAATCAATGAAATATTTGTTATTATGTTTACTTAATGGTAAGTGTGAAAATGTAAAGACAATGGACTGAACTAAATAAAAGAACTGGTTTCTATACTATGTTGTTCGTTGAAGTTTTTTTTAGAGTAAAATCATAGATGCGATGAAATATATACCGAATTACTATTATTTTTTTATTGTTCTTCTATGTTTTGATAATAATTAGTTTTGTCTATCATCTTAAATGCTCAATTTCATTTGTAAATTAAATAATATGTATCAAATCAAATCAATTTATTGACACAAATGATGTACTAAAGATATAAAACAAATGTGTTAAGGGTGTGGATAGGCTTTGGGGCAGAGCTGAATAGCAAAAACACTGTTGCGCAAGAAATCACAAACTGAATCATGGCTGGTAACAGAGCATGCTAACCTCAAATCCAATCTGATGACCCCAAAGACAAAGATGAAGCTATACAAAACTCTCATTAGGCCTGTTGTTACGTACAGTGCAGAAACCTGGTCCCTTTCCGCATTGAGCACAAAGGCCTAGGGTTGACTTTTGTTTGTAAAAGCGTTGGCGGATGTGTATATTTTATACAACAGATGTAAAGATCAAAATGTTTCTAATTCAGGTCCTCTTCCCGTTGCAAAGCACGGGTACAAAAGCTAGTATGATATAAGTTAATCTTTTTACCTGAATGATTCATTTTAGTGCATTCATCCGCTAGACACTCAAATTTACACGATAACTCGAGCGATTGTTCCATGATGAATATGTATAGGCTGGATAAACTTGAATAGTTTGCTAAAGCAAGATTGGGTAATGTGAACAGGGTGTTTATGTTTAAAAATTGTTTTTTTGAATTTTTACTTAATAAAAAAACAGAAATACCAAATTGCCATTTGCAGGCATTGTGTGGATCTTAAAAAAATAACTCAGTACGGTATACAAAATTTCAAATTTGGTAAATATATTTATGTATGAGTAAGTTATTTGTTAAGTCTTATATTAATCAAACAGGGGAAAAATTTGACATGTTTAGGGAAATAATACAGTAATAAATTAATCAAGCAAATGGTAATTCGTAATTCTCACTAGGTTTGCTGCGGGCTGCGGTTGGGTTATTGCCATAACTTAGGCTACCATTATATAGTTGATTAGGATCCAAGGTGTAATTTTTTACCAAATGTAGGCCTAACTCCTTTCAGATTGGAAAAACAAAAATGAAATAAACCAGTAATTTACAAGATCCTCTTACCAGTGACTAATTAAGAATTACAGGTTTATCACGTTCGCTACAGTACCTACTGAACTGACATATTAAAAAGCTGGTTTCAACTATACAGTAGTTGACAATTAGTTAACAAATCAGTTAAGTATGAGTAAAGTAAAGTCAGGATCTTCTTGGCAGAAAATGATTCCATAGCTGTACATGATCATTGGGCTTTTGTAGAACCTTGATAACAAGTCTATCATAAGGATTAAGAATAAGACTTGTTATGAAGGTTGACTTCTGACAAGGTGTGTAATAAAATATGATTAGTTACGATAGAAACTCAATGAGATTTTAAAACGACACTTTTTATCAAGGGTGACTTGCTATCGCAGGTCTTCTTATCGAAGGTTCCAATGTAAGTTTTTTATAGGTAAATAATTTGTATGAAAATAACAAAATATAACAATGCTGATTCATGACAAAATCTCCAACATTAAAGACAGAATTTGCCTTTATAACAGATTCTTAAAAAAACTAAGATATAGGTTTAAATCCTATGTCTTCGGAATTAGTTCTAACATTATCCACATGTGACCATTTCAGTTTGGGATATCAATTCCATGATTATGTCTATCGCCACTATTAACATGTACAGTCATAGCCTCTAAAAATACAAGGCCGCGTCAAGACAAAAGTGGTAACGACGCATCCTTGGCAAACCAAAACAGCGGTTGCACCAATTCATAACGGATTGTCTGACCAATTTTTATGTTTAAACGTTTTTTATCATCGTTGTTAACAATGCAATAGGCCAGCTGGTGTGACGTTGCCACACACCAACGTCACAGCCTTGTATCATAAGAGGCTACAGTGTGGTACAGTAAAATGCACATAGGCTACAGTTAAGTACCGGTAAGCATAAGTAACAACAACAAAAACTAAACACTGATTGTGCAACAACAAAAACTAAACACTGATTGTGCAACAACAAAAACTAAACACTGATTGTGCAACAACAAAAACTAAACACTGATTGTGAAGTTTAAAAAACAAATATTTTACAAAACTAGCTAAGTTTTCAGTATCAAATTCATTTAACAAGTGTCTTATGATAAAAAGGTTACTAAATAACATCTTGATCTGCATTGTACGTCTTATTAAATTTATGGAAGGTAAATAAAAGATACGTCTTATAACACTTAAAACATATATTTATATATATTTAAAAACAGTATAAGATAAGCGTAAATATATGTTTTAAGTGTTATAAGACGTATCTTTTATTTACCTTTCGTAAAAACGTTACCTACCTAAATGGTTTTTGGTAATTAACATACAGTATATCTTGGAACATTGGATCAATGAGAACAATATACTGGATATCCAGTTTTACAATTTGCATTTACTTACAAAATTATGCAGAGCTAATAAATAATATGTTACATTTGTACGGTATATGATTAAAAATTGAACACATAAATTAAGCTGTTTGTACACAGTAAACAGTTGAATCCTGACGAAGTCAGTTATAAACATTGATTACATTAATTTAATCCACTTACCCTGTGTGATACATTTACATCTTGATGTAGCAGAAATTGACATGTGTATTAAATTAAACAACATTAAGTGATTTACAAAATCTTGTGCACTTGCTTTGAAAGCACTTCAAAGATCAAAGTGTGATCAAATTTAGTTGACTTTAGTGAAAAAGGATAACTGAGATAAACCTAAGCAAGGAAATATGTGATATTTGATCGGATTGACACATCTAAAACATTTTTTTCTTAACTGCAGTGTAACGCTCCATGTATGTATCATATCCTTCTAAATTTGTGAAACTCTTCATTTCAAATAGATTTCCTTCAAGAGTTAACAGTGATACTTTGGAGTCTGTTAGCAAACGGCCAGGTATAGCTGTTAGCTGAAGGCAATTTTCTTCTAGTCGCAATGTTTTCAGGCGAGGGCAGTCGGCAATGTCACTAGCAAGAAAAGAAACACGGTTCTGATTTAGGTTTACTTCTGTGGCTCGAAGTGTACTCACATCACTAGGAACACTTTCAATTAAATTGTTTGAAACGTCGAGAACATCTAGATGTTTTAGACCACAAAATAGTACTGGGAAATCCTTTAGTTGGTTACCAGACAGATTCACATGTTTTAGGTTTACTAATAAGGAGAGGGATTTTGGTAAATTATTTAGCCTATTTCCTGCAAAGGATAAAGTTTCAAGTTTCACCATCATTCCAACTTCTTCAGGTAGTGTTGTTAGCTTGTTGTTATTACAAGTGATCAATTTCAGAGATGAAAAACTCCCTATTTCTTCTGGTAAAAATGTGAGAGAATTATCTGATAAATCCAAAGTTCTGAGTACAGGACTTAGGCTAATTAATTTCTTTGGAAATTCTGAGAGCTTACTTTTGGACAGATTTAAAACACCTGTTTTTTCAGCAGTTTCGTAATGGCGTTTCAAAGCTGTATTTCCCATTGTACCTATTCTTGAATCAAAATTACAAATCTAAGATGTGTTAACTAAGTAGCATTAAGTTATCTGTTTCTTCTTTTCAATAGTATTAGGATGAAGAACTTTCTTCTCAAACTCAATAAGAGTGACATATCACAATAGCCTACAAGCTTTAAGTTAGCACAATTCGACAGCTATTGTTCACTGATGATGCCTCTGTTGAACCTCTATCTCATTTTAACCATTCATTAGAGTACAATTTAAGCATAATGCTTGTATCACGAATCAAGAGTGTAGGCCTATTCCATTATCTCCTGAATTCAACTTTTTATTAACAGTTTACACAATCACAGGGGACACATTGCAGCACATTTATTCGAATCATCAATCGGACATCTTAGCATGAACATCTTCATTAATTTGTTATCTCACTCTACATATTATTATTATTACAGTAGTCGTCATCCATAACAATAAATTATTAACAAACTTCAATTAAGATTGAACACCTTTACACAATCACTTCTTTCATGACTGACAGCAGCAGACAACAGTGACAACACAGAGAAGAGCAGACGGCCATTACACTTAAGCTTTTTTTTTTAACTAAAACATAATACAGTCAGACATTACAGCGGTAGCGGGAGAAATATAAAATTTCATCTATCTCATACTATATGTGAGTTCATAGTGGTTCATATCACAAGCTAGTTATTACCATAGACTAAGCAACACAAGGCTAGACAAGAAAGAAATTACTTTCTATTTGTTCATTTTCTATTTCAACGTATCAAGTCAACTAGAGTTCTGGTTGTTTCAAATATTTTACAATATAGCCATCCTGAGTTTTAGTACTTATTGGGTTTGTTTAATGTAAAAATGGTGATGTACGTTGCAATAAACAAAACAAATAATATAATTTATATTACTAACAACGTTTTTAACGGCACGGTGGGGTGGCGTGGTGGCACCTAGCCGGAAGCGTGCACGAACGACAACCCACAAATTCGGATAAATGTGTGGTGGCAGATTGTCACAGTGGCACCTATCCAGGAGCAAGGAGGCGAGCTGATCTAGTGGTTAGAGCGGGTTAGAGGTTAGAGGCTGAAGAGCCCCTGAGATCTTGGGTTCAAATCCCACTAAATCGCCAATGTATTTTATCTCATTTTAAATACCACAACACCTAGGTCTAACCTGAAGTAATGTGAAAAATAATCCCATACTCGTACCTAGCGTCTTAGGGGAAAACAACCTATCCATGAGTGTGCAATGTGGAGAGTTATCGTATCAGATCGGAACGACAAAGTGGCGGTTTGTTGTGGTAGCACCTCGACGGGGACCCTGAAATAGTATATTTCGTACCTAGGGCCGAAAATGAGGTTTTGCCGGCTCGAGATAGTTTTTAAGTTCGAGACGAAGTCGAGAACTTAAATCGATCGAGAGCCGCAAAACCATTTCGGTCCGTGGTACGAACGCTATTTTTCACCACACTATACCCTATTACCACTATTCACCACAATAATAATTCACACTGATAGTCAACACAACTACAACTTTAAGGTTATGTGAAGAAATAATTTGAGGAATCAGCAAAAATAAAAATATATAGTTGCTAGGCAACGGTGACAATAACACAATTCTATTGAAATGCTATGGATTTTGATTATGTATTTAAAATGCATTCATGTTTTAAGTAAGTAAGCGGACAGCTGATTTTGCGGCCCCGGCCTGTAAAAACCTGCTCGGTCCCCAAATTATGGACAGCTGGCATCGCCAGCAAAACGTAACTTTCGGCCACCAATTAACGTATGTAATACAGCCAAAAACATGATAGTGTGGTGAAAAGGTTTTTTCACCACACTATGATGTTTTTGGCTGTATTACATACGTTAATTGGTGGCTGAAAGTTGCGTTTTGCTGGCCATGCCAGCTGTCATCGTAATTTGGGGACCGAGCAGGTTTTTACAGGCCGGGGCCGCAAAATCAGCTGCCCGCTTACATGAATGCATTTTAAATACACAATCAAAATCCATAGCATTGCAATTAGAATTGTGTTATTGTCACCGTTGCCTAGCAACTATTTATTTTTATTTTTGCTGATTCCTCAAATTATTACTTCACATAACCTTAAAGTTGTGTTGACTATCAGTGTGCATTATTATAGTGGTGAATAGGGGTAATAGGGTATAGTGTGGTGAAAAATAGCGTTCGTACCACGGACCGAAATGGTTTTACAGCTCTCGATCGATTTAAGTTCTCGACTTCGTCTCGAACTTAAAAACTATCTCGAGCCGGCAAAACCTCATTTTCGGCCCTAGGTACGAAACATGGTGGAAGGAAAAAACATGGGTACGAAATATACTATTAAACTTTATACCAGACTTTGTATCATGGATAAAACATACCTACCATAGACTAACCAACACAAGGTTACATATTGATAATATGAGTGAACATTCCAAACTACTTTTTGGGGTTTATTAGTACTCCATTATAGTATTAACCACACGAAATATGATTCTGACGATTACTAGGAAAGTCAGGGAAGTTTGTTGTTTAAATAAATTGATAGGTGGTCACACTGTTTGTCATGTTGAAGATTTAAGATGGTTGACACTATATTTGTTTTAGTGAAAATTTGTAATATTTATTATTTATAGCGTATTAAACAGTGTTTTAATATGTCCTCGTTATGTTTTATAGCAAAGAAAAATTTCTAGTCCGAAATAAACAGTTGCTGTCATGTCCGCAGCATCGAAGCCGGATAAACACAATCAATGTAAGTACCAATATTAATTTGTTCACTCCGGCATCAGCGCCCATCAAGCCGTGTTATTTTATTTTGCAAAGATTGATTTTACTAGGCCCTAGCGTTTTAGTATAATAGTATCAAAGCCAAGACTTTGATATTTTTCTTAAAACCCAAAAATTGTGTTGTCTAATTCCTATTGTCTTAACTCTTAGAATGCTTCCTACTCCTACTTAAGATCTTAAGGACCTTGTTGTATTCATTAAATTTTAAGTATTTTTGTTGCTCAAACCAATGTAAACTAAATATGCATTGGTTTTCTATTGGTGCATGGTTTGGTAACAATTAACAATGCTACAAATTAACAATCGACTTACATGGTTATTGTTTTGGACGACAACACAGTCTTAGTTATGGCCTAAGTATTGTAAGATTATAAAATATTGCAAATTATCATATGAAAGTCAAACTAACAATCAAAGCCTATGTTAGTATTCCTTTGCATTTTGTTCTGCTGAAAACCGCTGCAAAATTACACCTAGACTAGGCCTATCTCATCTTCCTATCTCGACTAGGCCTATGAGACGTGAGGACGCGCTAAAGTTGGTTGGCATAACTTACAGTTTAAGAAACAGGGCTGTTTCTCAATGTTTTTAACAAGGCCACACTATAAAAACAGGCCGTAATGCTCGTCCAGCATGACATCACGATAGAAGACGGCTATTACGTAATTTTGCCCTTTTGTGATCAGCTGCTTGTTTTAATCTTTCATTGGAAGATAAATAAATAAGTACTTATACGTCATAGCCGTCTTCTATCGTGACGTCATGCTTGACGAGCATTACGGCCTGTTTTTTTAGTGTGGCCTTGTTTTTAATCAGGCTTTTAATTTTGAAACTAAGTTAGGCCTAGTCGTGTTAATCAAGTTGACATTCGGTATTATTCTTAAGTCTCTAAAAAACGTGCTAACTTCTTAGGGTGATAGCCTCTGTTATATCTTAACTCATTACTTACAATTTCCTTGAAATATGAGATGGTCAGGTTCAATTAAGTTTAGGGGTACTATGATTTAAGTTTAAATGACCATGGTAGGTAAATGAATGTTGTTTTAGAATTTACATAAACTTAAATAAGTTAAGTGTTTTTACAGAGAGAGTGTTGGGAAAGCTCTGGCATTACAGGTGATCAAAACTATCAGGCCAAGAAACACAAAAACCACCCCCCTCTCCAACATTTTATATTGTAGAAATTGTTGAAAAATATAGGAATGGATATTGTAACTTAAGAATCCATCTCTCTAAAAGAATACCAGTAAGTTAAGATTTCCCTGAAGAAATAATTGGTTAGGCTATGCATTCTTAGCTAAACGCTATGTACTGAAATCTGTTTTTAACTCATAACTTATTTATTTGATAACTTACCTCACTATATGATTATATATTTGTAATCCTCATAAAATTTAGAACAAAGTGGCTATTTTCAAATATTTATAGGCCTATAATTTATACAATTTCATTGAGCGCAAACTTTTTTTTTTTGAAAATTTTCCAAAATATCTTTTTTTACCTAAAAATTTTTTTTTTAACAAATGTTCCTTATGTTTTATATATAATATTGAAGCCCATGATTAAAAAAAAAATGGTATATAGAACAGTATAATTAACATTGTTTTTAAGCTTCTCAGATCTGTTTTAATAAAACCTTGCAAATGAGCAAAAAATAGGCAGACACTAAGGCCAAAACAAGGGACACTCGGAGGGTTAAACTAGGTACAAGCTTTTTTGCCTTTGCATGGAGCTTTACCTTGTTAAATCTTTGGAATGCAAATACAACTCTCTCACCAATAACATGACTGTAATAGGTAGGCATACTTATTGGTATGTTACCACACTCCCAGCATTATTGCTTGAGTTTCACTTAAATGGTTTAAAAAGGCACTTTTAGCTTGTAACACATTTTTGTATTGAATTAAGTACCACAGTGTGCGGCAAAAAATCCTATCTATTTCCTGCTGCGCACTGTTAAGTGACAGGTCGTCTGAGGGTGGTGGGAGTAGGGTCGTTGGAAAGCCTACATACTGATATTGTAGTAATTAAATAGTGGTTACCTGAGTTATATGCGTTTGTCATCAAGTTGTTTTAAAAAGTAATGATTCAGTCATTGCAACTCAGTGGCAGTTCCGTGCATTCTTTAATTAGGTCGACATGGCGAGGTTCTGTTGTCATTATTTGCTCCTTTTTTGTAAATTTAATTACTATTGATGACATAAAAATACCTATGGAATTATATATTTCGGCATGAGTAGGCCTCATTAGTCTAAAAACAGCGTGAAAGTTGAAAAATGTACCCTAGGGACACGTTATGGTTGTTAATTTTGAGACTTTAAAAATAGGTACCAGTATTTAAAAAAAACACCTCTAGAACCTGGGCCTATTTAAAAACAAATAAATGTTTGTAACATGTTGCCCCAATCCCAAAAAATATTAAAACACACAATAATGTACTACAAATACAGTATATACAAAATAAAAGGCCAGGGACATTAAATTGTACGTTTCAAAATGTTCACTCTGCTATGCCATGCCTAATTGGAAGAATACATGGACCCCACCACCCTCAGACGCCTTGTCACTAAACAGTGTGCAGCAGGAAATAGATGTTTTTTTTGTTGCACCCTGTATATTCAGATTATATAGGGTAGGCTAATACCAGCCCAGTCAGCATAAAAATTTTTGGTTCAAAAAAATTGTTTTGAAATTGTATTTAAATTGTTTTAAAATTGTTGTTAGGTATAATTGATTAAAAATAGACAAATTTGGAATTGAACAAATAGTGTTTTTGGCCTCTGGGGACATCAAAATGAAAAACTAAATCGGTCCCGGACCATGAGACCTATGGTAATAGCTACTTCCCTATAGGGAAATTCGCTAAAAATAGACAAATTTGGAATTTTGACAATCTTAAAATTAGTTTTAAAAGGTTAACTTATATGCCTCCTGTATACAAATCCAATATTTATCAAAATTATAAGTAGGTACCGGTATTAGAAAACCCAACCTAGGCCTAGATAAATTATCAATCACATGCTAACAAAATTATGATTTAATTTACAGTATTGATTCAAAAATACCCCCTCCGCAGCAAATCTGCCGACTAATTCCATTTGTCTGAATTGATTTTCAATTTTAAATCTATTTAAATAACATTAGGTTTAACGAGTACCTAGATGTGCTGCTACAAGGAAACTAAAAGTCGGGTTTTTGGTAAAATATTAATAGCTTAGTGTAAAATAAATAAATTTGCCAAGTTTGGTCAAAATATATCCATAAACAAGCTAAGTACAACATTTTTAAATTTAAAATTTTTTGAATTTTCTCCGTTACCAATAATCGAACAAAAAAACTTTGATATAGCAGACTAAATTATTTGTTTTTTTAACTCTTTAAGAAGGTTTAAAGAAAAATTGGAAAATTTTGTGTTTTAAAAGTCAAAAATTAGAAAAACCAATTTTCCCCCCATAAAACTTCCCGTAAAACCCCGTTCCCATGGTCCGATCATACTGGTTGAAAATGTCATAAGTAGACAATACATGTTGTGATTTTATTAAGTAAACCTCTGGGGACATCAACATGAAAAAGTGTTACTCACCTATGGTAATAGTTACTTCTCCTCCTTTTAGGGAAATTTACTAAAATGTTAAGGATATTCTTAAACTATTTCAGAAATGGAATTTGAGTCATTGGTGACTATTAGCATGCGAATGGATTGAGCAAAGGCCGGTGACCACATAATTCTGGCTGTTAACCCCCCGGTACTTATGCTGTTTTTCCATATTTTTAAATCATAACTTATCCATATTACATTGTAATCAGTTCCTGCTAAAAATCGTATTACATTCCGACCTTGAACCTGGTATTTTATGCGAAAATAGCTTTCACTGGTCATGAAACTTTAGAGAACTCTAAAAACAAACAATTCCAAGAATTTGTTTATTTCTGATAGAATGATGTGTCAGGCATATTTGGCAATACGACAAAATCTTTAAATAAACTCTCGCCAGTTCTTGTGTTGTCTCCTTTTATATTGTTTTGACCGTGGAGTTTGATCGTGTCCGATCGAATGTTTCTGCAGTACTTATTTGGATGTTGTGAAAGAATGTGGTTTTATCAAAAATTTTCTTTGTGTAACGTATATTGATGTGGTTGTGGGAGCTATTGTGTTTGGATCATCATTTGTGCCAGTGTTCCTTCAATGTATTAAGTAATTTTTTTCTTTTATTAGAATCTGTGTAGTGAACCTAAATCCAAATCAATGTCTAGAGAAGAATATTTTTGGGAATCTGATTCAATCTAGAGAATCTTTGTGTGAATCAAGATCAACATAGAGAACTATAGTTTTAGGCAACAAAATCAATGTGCATACAGTGTTAGAATTTATTTACAAAATTAAGTATCAAGAAGGTAAAAGAATGCCTGGTTATGATGATTCATTCCTCTCGGTTCCGGACCGAAGAGTGACTAAATACAAAGTTAGAGAAAGTAAACCTTGTGTGGGTGCTTTGGTGTCTTCTGTCTCTCTCAATTACTTTGGATATGACTTGGATTCTGGTAAGACGCTTTATGATATGTTTATAAAGGTTGATTTCTTTTTAAAAACATTTATATACAAATATAAAAAATTCATTAACATGCACACTAAATTCTCTAGCGTCAATAATAAGCTACATTGACCCCCAGCATAACAATTAGCATATAGTTCATTATATTATTTCGACTTTAAATATTATTGTACTTGGATACTGCTGGTAGTTTTCTCATGCTGCTTTTGGGAAATGTGTAGGCTGTAAAATGTTTGTTTGGCACTGTTGTTAAATTAATTTTTTTATTGTTTTTATGGATTTTTTGAGTTAATTTTAGCCTATAGAGTGTGCATTAATTTTTGCCATAATACCAGAGGATGAATCTATATATTTAATACGCGACATGAAACTTTGTGAACAATAAGGCTTTTTTGTTTTAAGATTTAACCCGACTTATTATATACCAAAATGTACGTCTAGGTGTGTAGATGTGCAAACTGGCTTTAGATTTTTGAAATATATCTTTTTAAGGGTGTGGGCTTCCCTCAAAGTTCATTCCATGAGGATAACATTGTGATCGATTTGAATGTTATTATATTGATATTCTGAAACAGATGTCAATATATTATTAGTTAAAAAAATTAAATCCCAGCTGTTTTGTTTGGTTTTGAAATGTAAATAGTTAGCATATTTTTAAAAATAATTAGAAACCCGGCAAAGAAATGTTACCTATAGGACATGACAAAAAGTTATACATAATATTTTTGTTTAAACATGCCAAGGACCCGACGACAAAAAAATATTGCCGGTCGGACACGGTGAGTCAACATACGGCAAGCAATGCAAAACGTAAGGAGCCCAGACGAGGAGCAGGACCAGTTAGTGGCAACGTGTACTTACAAATTACACTGACAAATATAAGAATTCCGCAGCATTCACTTGGCGAGATGGCATTGAAATGTCAGAAATGTGGTGCGCAACATTTTAAAGAAGAACAAATGGGACGAGGCGAAGGATTTTCATCCTGCTGCCATAAAGGAAAAGTGAATCTATACAACCACCATACCGAGAAATCCATTATATCCAGAGCCTACTTAATGGAGCAAATCATTTGAGCAAAAACTACAAAGAGAACATTAGATCGTTCAACTCGGCGCTCGCAATGGTCAGCAATCGAGCTAAAATTGAAGAACATAACGGTGGAGACATTTCTGTATAAGAAGGTGCACGATACAATTCATCACTCAATTGCCACCTTTCAACCGTCAGAAGGGGAGCATCCAACATGTGCCCAAATTTATATCTACGGACGTCGAAACCGCTGTTCAAGAAAGAATGCCAAACAAAGCTAATGGCTCTTGAAGCACTGAACTCATGCACATTTTCACTCAACATTTGGTTGATAATAATCCATACGCGCAAGTTTTAAGCATGATGAGCTCCATCCTGCAAAATACTCCTACTGAACAGCAAAAAGAACTTAGAATGCATATAGCAAACGATCGAGCTCAAGACCAACGTCGATACAACGACGCATCTTCAACGACGTTGCTATAATATCCTAACTTATTATTCGTGCGAATTCGCACGGGTTCACCTAGTAATGGTTTTTAATTAGATCAAGATCATTTTATTTTGTGAAAATAATCACTAACTGGTGACATAAAAAGAAACATCAAAACAGGCTTTACCATACCTAATGTTATTGCTAATTTATTAAATACCCTCCCCCCTGGCAGCAAACCTACTAAGCTAATTTCAATTGGTCTGATTTGATTTTACTAAAATGTTTCCTTAAACAAGACATAATTTGTTCCACACTGAAATAACTTTAGATTTGATGAGTAGGCCTACTTATATTTGCTGATACGCTGAAATAAACAAATTAACATATATCTATAAAGAAGCTAACTGCAACAGTTTTGTTTTCCTCCACAAGAATAACATGGGAATTTGAATGTACAGCTTTTTAACCATTAATTGTTCAACGACGCTTTAATGTATACAAAATTATTTGATTTTTAAGCTCTACATGTTGGTATTGATAACAATTGGAATTTTCCATGTTTCCAGGCAAAAATTTGGAAAACCCCAATTTTTTGCTTTAAACCCCCAAGTACCCTGTTCCCATGACCCAATTTTGCTGGTTCGCTAACTCATTCAAGTTTCTGCCTTACACCTTCAAGCCAAACCCAAACTTCATCAAAACCAGACAAAAATTACTCAAGTTATTGGGTTCACGGAGACACGCGCATATAAAATATACATATTGTATAAAAATTTGAATGAATCGTGTTTTGGCCACTGAGGACATCAAAATGAAAAAGTAAATCGGTCCCGGGTCTAGGTCTTACCGTGACACCTAACAATGGTTATATATATTTCCCTATTGGGAAATTTGATAATAAAAACACCCTCAAAAATTGGCACAGCTTTGTGTAAAACCTAAGTAACATAACTTTCTTTATTAAAGTAGTCCTCACATCTAAACCATCTGTAGCTAATTTCTACATTAAAACGTACCAGCAATCTGACACATACTTTCTCCCATTAGCTTGACAACATCCAGCTTGTTCCAGATTGTGTTAGCTTGTTCATCATATGATAATTTATAGGGAAAATAATAAAAGTTGCATTAACTTGTGAACTGTAATTTTTACAGCAATTGTTGCACTATTTTTTGTAGAATTTCATGAACCATACCATACTAATTTTAATCAAAACCGGTTTTTTTTTCAAATATCCGGTTTTCCTTAACGCTTATTTCATGGGGTTTTTATGGGGAAATAACATAATTAAAACTCCTTAATATAACTTAATCAAGTCAGTCGTAAATCAGTCGTCCGGGCAGTGAAACGCGTCGTCTGGTCAGTCGGTCAGTCATAACGCATGCGCCGTTGACAATGTCAAATGTGACAGCGAGGGAAAGCGATATATCCAGCTGGCCTTGAAAACAGCTGTTCGCATCAGCTGACGCAACCCGCCAAATATTTCTGGCGAGCCCGCGCCGTGCCGAGTTGTCAGTTGATGTCACTTCGATTCTTGACCTCGGTTTGGTGATCCCTTCAAATACCACTTGCGTGATTTCAAACTAGAGCTGTTTAGTGCGGTGTGCTGTGGCCATCGATGTATAATAACTCCCTCGATGTATAATGTAGAGTATTAATGGTATTATACATCGATGTGCTGTGGCCCAGTGACTCGATCAACTGATATCACTAATAAATGACAAGTCTCTCCGCCGAGGAGAACTTTCTCCACTAAAATCTCAACTTTATTAAACGGCTGAAGACAATTTGAAGCATGTTTCTGTAAGGTCTATGTAGAATGTGTTTTAATGTATACCAACATTAATTCTTGTCATTTAACCGTATTTAATATTATTTTAGATTAATAAAATGCGCTATTATATGACCAAGGAGTCAAACACATCGTAACAGTTTATACCCAAAGATAGAAACATTTAGTCGTCGTGAACACTTTCTAGACTTACCCGATATTTAACACAAAACGAAGCTGCAGATTTTACATTAGTATTCGCCTCAACAGTAGGCTATCCAGAGGAAATGATTCCAGTGGCATTTCACACTCTACTTTCGTGCGTTAATCACTACGCCTGGGTTATTTCACGAACGAGTTCAAAAAGAAATCGGCGTCGCGCCGATCCTAATATAGAAACAATGTCATGCGTCAGACGCAGACTGACGAATGTCGCGTTCTTTATTGTGTCTAGAGATGGTGTAGAATAGCTCACGGCGAGTGACATGACGACATGCGTGTGATTTAATGACGTCATTGGGACTGAGTAAAATGCTGTGTTCAGCTGTACTATTAGTCATCGGTGCGTTGGATAGTGTTGTAGGACAAGAATCAGCTGATGAGGACGTTTGTTTTTGTTCAATGGCGTACTGGATAAAGTGAAATGCTGTGTTCAGATTGGCTGTACACGTCATTCCATCCAGAGAAAGAATCAGTTGAACACTCTTCTACTACGCATCTAGTTTGTGTCTTTGAAAACATTGACTTTGCTTGTTTTCTGTCTCACCTTCACATCTTATGACGCTAGACGCTAGTCTCTAGCCCAGAACTGTTTTACACATTATTATAAGCTTGTCCTAGGGCTTCGGCATTATCACATAGATCAAATTCAATGGTGATTGGCGGGATTTGAACCCGTGATCTCAACATTTACTTTGAATGCTAGAAGACTTCTCGCCTTGCTGTAAAACAGAAGCCGGCTTTGGTTTACGTTTATTAACATTATTATTATTATATATTACATTAAAATGTCGGCCTTATAGACTGGAGGATCGCGCCACTCATCTCTATTCATCCTTCGTATGGTCGCCATTCGAATTAATTAGAAGTATAAATTTGACTTTTTACTGTCTAATCAACTGATACATCGAACTTAGCCTATTTTCCTTAGCTTATTTATTCAACTATTTTTAAGACGACCCTAATACATATAATTTATTGTACATCGACGAATAGCATTTTAAATTATTTTTAACTGTATTAATTAACTAACCATTCGGTTATGTCCAGTTAAAGCGTACATTTTAATCGATATGTCGAACAGTCGAACCATCGATTGTACCCGGTGACGGCCCACGACTAAACCTAAACGTCAGTAACGTCACCCTTGAATGGAACTGTACGTGGGAGGGGCGCGTTTCTTTACTTCAGTCTTGTTTAGTCACTGCCTGTGCCTTCTGTATAGTGGACATACAAGGACAGTCTGTGTGCGTGCGTGCTGTTGTAAAGGCTGTGGCGTGTTTGGCGTCGTTTATATCACGTAGGCCGTGTAGACACGGGGTGAGTTAATTAATTAAAGGGAATATGGTTTGGTTTATCTATGTAAATAAGTAATTATATAAATTAATTTGTTAATGTATTTGGTAATTTTTTGGATGGGTTTCTGAACTTGTCTCTCAGCGAAATTTGAACGTATTTATTTTATATTGATTGTTGTTTTATTTTTATATGAGTTAGTAGGCCTTTTGTATGCAAATTAAAAGATCTTTAGATCCTAAACGTAAATCTTAAATTATATTTTATGAAGTAAAAATCTATGTCCAAAAGGCAGTTTATATATTGTTTTATTTTAGCTCTGTTTGTATTTATTTACGCTGACAAAACAGTATTATATAATTAATATAATTGAGTAGGAATCTTGCAATTGATTTATAACACACTTGCATTATCACTATCATATTATGTTTTATCACAATTTAATCCTCCTTAGACAATACCTATAAACAATAATTGTTTGAATGGATTTTAGATTCAAACATGCATTTTTATAACATTCACTACAATTTATCATGGTACTGTTTTATTTTTTTTACACAAAATACATTAAATTATCAAACTTAATTTAAAGCATAACATGTAGGAAATTGCTATGCTAAGTGGAATTACTGTAAATTTCCTTTTAAATTCATTCTCATAATCATTTTTGTAAAACTGTATGGAATACTCAAAATTATTTTCTAAACATTAGTTTTCAAGTTGCTAGAGTTTGAACTTGTTGGTCTACTATCTTGTTTGTCTCAAGATAAATTCATATAACCAATCTTGTGTTTGCTCTAGGAAATGATTTGTGAGAGACTTCTTGATCATATACTAAACAAAAATTTAAAAACTATTTGTACAATTTAAGAAGAAGAATTTACAGTTTGGATGTAGAACAACTCTTTCTTATAACGATGAAACTTTAAAATACTTAACCATAACTTTAAAGCCGGTTCACCATATTTATCTATTGTTAAATCGCTTGTTTAGTGTTATCACAGTTATCATATTTGAGAAGTTTGGCATTGTCAATGTCATATGCAATGTAAATTGTAATTTGACAATAAAATTCTTAAATCTTGATCAGGGACATCTTTTACTGTACACTATAGTACTGTATGTTATTACAAATCAAATAAATAACATTGATGAATAGCGTTGACGCCTATTCTGTACTCTATGTTCAAGAATAAAGTATTCTGATTCTGATTCTAACAAAGGAAATCGTCTGAACGGAATTGTCTTTAATTTAAAACGTTTTCATATATTGCAAGGTTTTAAAAACAACTTGAAGTAATTAATTATATGAATAAATGCCCTCCCCACAGCAAACCTGTTTACTATTGGAATTTTAATTTGTCTGATTGAAGTTTTAGAAAAATATTTCCTTAAGGAATATATTTAAAATTTCTACCCTACAGTTTTACTATGGACTGTTGTAGGTTTAACAAAGTACAAGAGGGTTTCTGCTGCAAGGAAGGGAGGGTTTTTTATGTTAATGTAGAATAGGATAAATAATTAATTTGATAACAATATATCCATGAACAAACAAAGTTCTCTTTTTCTCCATAAGAACAACATGGGGATTTTAAATGTGCAGTTTAGGATTTTCTCAGCACCCTTTAATTGTACAGCAATGGTTCAATATAAAAGATTATTTGTTTTTGGGAGATCTAGGCTAACAAAACGACTTTGATTTTAGGGTAAAATTAGAAAGAAAAAAAACACTTACAACACAATTACATTTTTGAAAAATTCCAAAATCTCACCACCTTGTTCCCGTTTCCTTATCTTGCTGGTCAGCTAACTTATTGAAGTTTATCCCGCCACTACACATTCATACCAAACTTCATCAAAATCTGACCAAAATTACTCAAATTATTGTGTTTATGGAAACACACATATATATAAATATAGAAGTTGCCGATATAAAATAAAGGTTTCTATCTCATTTACAAACTTAAATCATGTCTCTCAAAGAACCTCTCATTTGCACCTCTGTATTGTTTGTATGCCATCCTTGTATTAACATTTCTATACACCTGTAATACAATACTCAAAACAGAAAGTACAATCATTGTTGTTTTGCTTCCTAACGTCACATTTAGAAAGCATAATTTGTGAATAGTGCAATAACTAATACACTTTATATAGAGTAAATGTTGTGCTTGCCTACAGAATGCAAGATTGCCAGTTACATCCTGAGGGAGTCATTATGTAGCTTTTTAACAGTTTTTTTTTTAAGATTCTTGTAACCAACTACAGCTAAAATATATCATAGGTTTTTTACAAGTCGTGGTCCTGACTTAAGAATCACCGTTTATGTTATTAACAAAATTATCTCGTACTTTCATTACTCATCTTTGCCGGACCACCAATGTGTATCCTGGGGGGTCGTCACAAATCTAATCTAATAATTTGGTACAGAATTAAACCTCAAAATTCAATCACATTTCAGGGCCGAAATTCCTTATATGAAATAATTGAACTCACCAACTTATTTAATGACTAAGTGTTATCTTCATGGTGTAATTTCTTTATTCAATGATTAATTTTACATGTGTTGTAGTTTAATAACCAGGAAGATATTTTTGGCTCATTCGTGACTCAACAATTCCTACATACTGTTATCGTTTTTGTGTTTTAATCCAAAGGGTGAATCAGCACTAGATTTTTTTGGGATGTCTTTTTTATAAGGCGTACCAACTAAAATACATACTGGGTTACCATATTACATGCATAGCACTCTCCACTTTTATCATTTCATTAAAAGAAAAACAACAAAATACCACAATCCCCTTTATGTTGTAGTAATTTAACCATAAAACATTGGTGTAAATCACTTTTAAAGAAGATGTGGTATCGTCCTGTACCTGTATTATGTCTAAGTGTCAGGAATATTGATATAAACAAGATAGAAAATTGACTGAATTTGTATGTTAATAGGTAGGCCGAAGTGAGTTGTTATAGGTTTTTGATACAGTTGACCATAGATTGCCAAAAATACCTTTAGGACACAAAAAATAATTTTTGCCGATCTTTCTCCTTTAAAACCAAAATCATATTAAATCATATAAGTAAAATATAAACGCACATATTTTATGATCTACAACTTAATCTAGGGGTTTCATGCAAGCACTCTAATTACGCTGTTTTTCTCTTCCAGGTGACTCCAACGAGGGCACTCCACGCGCCAAGGGAGGGAAGCTGGCGCGTCGGGCGCGGTCGTTCAAGGAGGACTTCTTGGACATTCTGGCACAGATGCGGTCACCGGCAACTGCACGGGCCGGCTCGCCCAAGCCTAGCCCCAAACATCGGACGACCAGTGGTAGCGAACCTCCGCCCGAGCTGGAGCGTAATCCCCTCCGTGACATGGAGATTCATGTTAGACAGGTGGGTAGGCTCGGGAACGTGACAAGGAGAATGCGTCTATAATCCTTAGATCAGAAAACACCCTTTAGTTTTCAATTATGTGGGATCACAACCTAGGTGTATTTTGAGATGCTTGATCAGTAGACAGTAAAATTCTTGGATCTTGATTAGTGTCATCTTCTATTTTGTACAAAATTCATTGACTTCTGAATACGGAAGTAGAAATCTCATCTACATATAGGCCAGCTGTAGTAGATTTTTTACTAAAAAAGAACATAATAGAATAAGTCACTTAGGAAGTGTGTTACGGTGGACGTCTTGCTCTTATTATTACAATGTCAACCATTTCCGAGTGATCGACAGGCATCTCGTTTTTGTAAATTTTAATCGTCATGTAAGTATTTGTGAGTGTTGTGTGTTTAACTCGCTGCTTCAGCTGAGACCTAGTAAGATGTCTTACGATGGCATTGTGATGCTAAAACAGCTGTAACTAATAGACGGAGGTAAAGCCTACTTTTGCGTTACAGCTTGGGGGCTAAAACATGGTTTTTATTTAACTGAGCCACTGTCACAGTATGCTGATTTAAATTACCGATTCCTGTTTGAAAGGACAACTTTTGTCGCAAAAACTGTCACAGTACAAACAATAATTAAGGAAGGTAAGAATTTTGAATACTACACCATGCGAGTAGCTCATTCAACAATGTTCATTTTTAGTAATAAATTGATTGGTTTCAACTGCAGCTGGTCCATTAGATTAGATATCTAATTCAGTATCCTAAAGTCAATACTTGCAGTAATGTATACATCCAGCCCTGATTCATTCTCGGTCAGGATAATAAATTTAAATTACATATTTAGACAGGAGGACAATATTGCCAACTAGAAGCTACACATGAGTGTAGGATGGGGCGAGATGTCTTGTAGTTGTGATTTATAAGAAATTAGATTTTTCTGTTCATGAACTGAGAGAAGACATGATAGAAATACACAAAATAATAAATCAATAATCTGTTTGAGTCAAAGTGTTGACTGTTGATGGTGAATTAAATCGTTGGTAAGAATAAGCAAGTAGGTCTAATATCTGATATATTTTTAAACTAAAATCATAGACTATTGTCTATGGATTGGATATATCTGAACTTTGTTGACAACAACTTAACAGATAGGTCTATGACTAACAAGCTGATTGGAGTTGATTGGTTGTTTTCCTAGTAATGAGTAAGTTAGAACACAATCTTGAACATAATGCCAAACTCATAATTTTCATAACTCATAATTTTGTTGGTGGTTTTCCTATTAATGCGTAAGTTAGAACACAATTTTGAACATAATGCCAAGCATATAAAGACGTAATATTTCACCTTGTGTAAATAAAACACCGGTCTTGCATGGCCTACACAGGACTTTTTTTGTATTCCAAACCGTAATTGTTTAGCAAAAGTTGATTTTGATTTGATTAATTGTCAGTTTGGTCAAGGATTCATTCCGTAGGTATCCAAAGAGTTTACTCTTTGTCTAAATGTAAGGCCTGTGGCTGGGATTACTAATCTAAGCAAAGCTCAGTCCCCAGTATTCTGTGTGACAGGTCCAGTTTGCCCTGAAGCACTTCAGAGACGTAGTGTCCAGGAACAAGCTGGAGGTTCTCCCTGGCAATGGAACTGTGGTTCTGGAGTCCGTCACTACGATACACAGTGTGTTGAAAACATACGTGTTTGTGGAACAAAGGTACGTCAACATTCTAGTCAAATCTCGCAGATATTCAGTGGACGATAGAGTCTCGATTAGTTTATCTTTGTTTTTGCGACCCTCCTTGCAGACAATCAAATACCAATATATCACCGATCTGTGTCATTAAATCAAATTTTCATCGGGTCAAGAGAAGGAATATCAGTATCATTTTGTAAAAATGAAATAAAGGTTCAGTATTTAAGATAATGATACATTTTTTAAACCATCAAAGAGCTTTTTTATTGGTGCTCCTTGCTGACTTTTTTGTTGAAACTGGAAGTGATAGAGATACTGGTCCCGACAGCCACGTGAAGCTACCCTAATTTCCCTAATTTTAAACATGATTAATCTTCTGTACGATGAAACCAAAAATGTATATCAAGCATAAACTCAAAGTCAGCTAAAACATTACCTAAGACTAAACGACTCTGGCCAAATTAAAAAATCTTCCTCGCTTACTAACATTTTCTTATCACAAATTTAAATGATACCATTTTCTATAAAATATATAAATCTGATAATAAACTAACTACATACAGTTGTAATTAAATAACAGTAGCCTAGGTGTGCTGGGTTATGACCTATCAAGCTAGGAAGTGTGCTGAATGTGTTAGCCACTGAGGGCTTTACAGCAGTTTGGAAGGTATTGTAGTGTAATGTCTGGTCTTGTTGTAGTTCTGCCCTAGTGTCTGCTATGAACCAAGTGTACCAGAGCCTAGCCAAGCTGATACGCCTGTGTGATGATGTCCTACTGTTGGGAGACAAGGCCATCAGCAAGGAGAACGTCACTGAAGTTATACAACAGGTCGAGGAGGCAGTGCAGGTCAGTGATGGCATCATTGATGATTCTTGATTCCTAATACTGGTGGAGGAATCGTTGATTGCTAATAATTTGCTACTTTGAGTTTGATACTGATTCCAGGATATTAGCTTTTTTCAACGGGATTTTAGCATCATTCATCTCACGGCAAAATTTTAGTTATCTTATGTGCTAACTTTTTTTATCATCTCTTGTATTTGCACAATTTTCAGGCGTTTTCCACCATTGTGATTTTATTGCCTATTCTGATCCAAAAATCCCAAACTCTACCATTCAAATTAGTACAAAAACTCTCATAGTATGCATTTACATGTATTTGAATACTCGGGACATATCTATTTGTTTTTGGGATTTTCAAATAACATAAAAACATTAAGACTAGATGACTGAAATATTCTAAAGAGAATTCAGGCTTGTAAAGAGGCTTAATGTTCAATACTAATTTATCATTTTGAACATTCCTATGAGGTTACATCAAAATAGAATAAGTAACCAATCTTTGTGATATGTTCGATTGGCAAGCCAATATTAGAAATAAGTGAAAATACATTGACATACATTTTTCCCCAAAACAATTTAGAATATCAAACGTTATCGTTTTAGAACCTCGTGAGCCTGGCGTCTGCTAAGATCGCAGAACGCAGCAACAAGGCGTTGAACCACTCCAAGCCGACGTTGGACCGCAGCTCTACATATTCAGTGGAGTTCAGCGGCCGCAGCTCTCTCCCCGACATCCCTCTTACTCCCCGGGAACGGCAGATACTGGAGCAGACCAGTCAGACAGTGGTGAGCAGCTTGACATTACATCCATATGTTAATGTTGTCGCCTGATTTAAAATCAAATGAACGTAGTTAGCCTCTGACAAAATGTGCTGATATATTACTGAATATGCAAACCTTTTAACCAAGTCAAACTGATAGAATGACTTATTGTAATCCATGTCATCTTTTGTCACATTTACTATATTAGTAGGCTAACCAACTCATTGAGAAACTGCATTTTAGACTGCAGTGCACTCTTGTGTTTTATTTAACTATATTCTTCCTACAGATGGGATGTCTACTTTAGTATCAAAACGTGTATGTTAAGATGCATCTAGCATTTATCGATTGAGGTAATGCAGAAGATTCTCAGTAAACCGATCCACGTGAGACCAGGTCTCTATTTGATCATAAAATATTTTGTATTACGGTACTGGAATAGTTACAAATATGCAATAAAAGCCACTTTAAATCAGTGTTGCCTCCGAGGATATTTTACTCATTGGGCATGTGACTAATGTTTCAGGTTCCACGTCACGCACCACACCACTCCCTCAGTAGTGAGAGTATACTGCATGACGACGTTCCTCCTCCCAAACCTCCACTGCCTAACAGGTACAGTAGCTGTGGGAGCATATCAGTCACTCCCAGATATCACTTGGGAATCATGGGATGGCTTTAGATCAGAATCCACTGTAAAGTGATGGATTTTTATAGGGAAACATGGGCTTTAGCTAGTAAGTCACTGAAAAGTCAAACAATTAACTAGGGAGTCGTGGGATGTAGCTGGGAGGGGAGTCACTACATTTTGAATGTCACAGATATGACTAGGAAACCCTGGGTTTTAGCTGGAAAGTCAATGAAAAGTCACAGATATTACTATTGGAACAGGGCTTAACCGGAAAGTCATAGTTATTATTAGGGAAAATAGGTTTCACCGAGAAATCACTGAAAATTTACAGATGCTACCAGGAAACAAAGAATTTGGTGGATAAATCGCTTTAAAATCACAGACATTATTGGGGAATCCTGAGTTTTGCTTAGGAAGCAACTTAAGTCATAAATTTTACCAAAGGGTCATAGAAGTAATAGGCTTGTTTTAAACAAAAGATCGCCTGTGTAGAGGGATATCTACCATGACACAAAGATAATTTCATTCTTAGTTTTTTTTTTTTACATGTATTGTGCAGGTCATGGACAAGTGAGTCGCCTCCGCCGCTGCCTCCCAAGCGACGGCCGGCCAACTTCCCCTCACAGTCGATGGAGAGGTTGAGTCTACGAAGCACCAACAGCTCTCTAGGCAGCATGGACTCCATGCTCAACTCTTCACTGAGAGACGATGACGAACTACAGGCTCTAGTGGACGAGGATAGCTCCATCAACATGGACTCTGTGCAACACACTCACGGTGAGAGCAACTAAAACATAGTACAGTTGTGGCGAAATGCGGTTGGATGAATGTTAATTAAGATACCTGGGCCCAATATATCTCCTACCATCCACCGCTAAATCACGCACATTTCATGTCGTTACTCAAACCTTATTCAAACAAACTTATAACCTCCTCAAAGTGCACAATATCATAGCCAGCTTTTATGTTTTAATACATATCATTAATAATTAGCGAACAGAGATTTTAATTATGTATAAATGGACTAATATTGATATATAATTATATCTACAAGTAGCTAGCGTGAATTCAAATATTAATCATAGTAAACTGGAAACTGGACCACGACCGACTGGGCAAACTTAAGATTCTACATAATTAATCTGGGTACATAATTAACTACACATTGCCCTGGTCTACACCCTTCCCCAACCCCTATTATTTTATCTACTCACGCTAGTGATACTCATCGTACAAAGGCAACAACCGCAGGCCTGCTACCACTACACTATTACTGACTACTCGTGGCGCGTGCTTCCTGGCACATCTATCTTCGACTGTCTTGAGACGTCTCCGTGACGTCACACGCCTGTATAAAAGCCTACAACTGCTCCGATTGCAGCGGTGGCACTACACAGTAGAATTTACTTTATTAAAAAAAACTAGCCTATACTACCTAGTATCAGGGAACGAATTGATCTAGTGGAGCGCAGGACTTCAGTCCCTGAGGTCTTGGGATGAATCCCATCAATCACTAATTGATGTTACAACAGTGATAATGCACCAACCCTAAGTAAGTTTGTAAAACATCTCAGAACTAGAGCCTACGAGGACATAAACAAGTAATAAATGAATACATAATACTTTCCAGTACCTGAGTGCTGCGGTAATACAATGAGATCTCACAACAATCGACTCTTAAGCCATAGCTTCACTTTTAGAGGCTAAGCTCTTAGCTCTGCAGAAGAAGTTCCTTTGCTATGTTTTGCCTACATTGTACACAAGCCTTCTTAAAACCCATAAAACACGGAATACGAGTAGCTTTAAAAAAATTTTTTGTATGTTGGTTAAGAATAGGAATCAACTTATTTTTAAGTTTACTTGTTGCCATGAGGTTTTTGATGTTATCCTTATTCATTTCACGCTTCTTCATTTTGATCAAATAAAATGATTACCTTATCCAACGACACTTGTTGGTATGATGACTAGTTTCTTTCCTTATAACTTGGTCACATCATTTTGTATGCAACCACATCATCAAATATTAAAACATTGTGGTATGTCAATATATTCTTAAAAATAAAAATACTGTTACAGTCACAATAATTAAAACTTGTCATGTTGATAAAATAATTAAAATGGAATAAAATTGATAAAACTGATTAAAACTGTACAGGCTGGCCAGCACTGTCTTATCACTGCCACTGACTAAATAAAACTGACTGATTCATGATGTTTCTTCTTCTCTCCAGTGCCACCTGTATTTCAATTTGTGTTCTTCTTATTTTATACTTTTTTGATTTGTAACTTGTCAATACAACTACAAAGCTAGAAAACTTGACTCATATAACATTTTAAATGATTGAACTTCTTTCCAGTCAAATATTATACATACATATTATGATTCAGGATAAACTGTGGTAAATAAAGATCAAATCCCTGCAAAACTGGTTTTCCCAGCGGCTCATTGTGAACTTGTTGTCTAGTACGGATAAGACAGCAAACACAGTTGAAAAAGAATTTAATTGATTCCTATAACTAGTTTATACTTCACACGTTCAGATAATTTGTTTAGAATTTTTATACCAATCTATCTCTTCCACACAGGTATAGGAGGCAGTCTGTTGAACGGGTCAAGTGGGTCGTGTTGCTGCTGGGACAGTTCTTGTAGCAATATCTCTCAAGATCACAGAGACTCTCCTCCCCTTCCCCCGGCCACCCTTACAACAGGTTGGTGAACATTTTAAATTACCTCCAAGCTTACATTCAGTAGAAACCCCCAACATCTTAGCGTCAAACTAAAAGGGTTAAAATTTGTCAGGGTGTCCACCTTACTTGAAAAACTGGATATGTTGGTGAATTTTGATGACCTGGAAATAATCTCTTATTTGTAACATTTTAGAAGAAACGGTAGATTTAAATGTTAAATTAAATCCTCAGGCAGGTGATTTTCTTTACATTTGTTAAACAATTAACACTCACCAAAGTGGCGACAGAAAGGATACCCAAACATAATTTTTGATACTGCATCCTACTTATTGAGAAATAAATTTCAATTTGATCCTAAGTACCATTTTTTCCCACCCCAACAGTGGCAGCGGAGAGAATATCATCTTCGTCGGGGTTTGTGTCGATGCGAAGTTCCACGCAGAGTTACAACTACAGCACAGCGTCGTCTAAGTCAGTGAGCAGTGCAACGTCCACGCAGGTCGCTGTCAGTGAGAACAAGTCGCAGAGTGTCGCGAGCGTGACCCAGAGCGACAACTCTCAGAGTTTAACAGTCACAACGTCGCAAAAGATCACATCCTCGCAGACACAAAGCTTCAGCAATGTGGTGAGTGAAAGCTCTCAGTGTGTTTCAAAGAGCACATAGTATTCATAGGGGGGCTATACCACTGCTCAGTGTCACCATATTGGATGTGTCCAGAACTGGGTCGCTGCATCTATTTAAGCGTCTTAGAGAGCAGATAAAATTTTCAAACTTTGCACAGTTGATGGTTAAATATTACCATTGTATCTGAAGTATTATTTCAAATATTATATAACGATAACTCATATGATGTTTTTGTAATTATAGATTTTAACATCAAAAAGTTATCCGGTGAGGAAGTTTTATTTTTATTTTTGGTCAAGCGAGTTTTAAGGTTAAGGAGTGTCAAGGTTATTAAATAAGTTATTTTTCTTATTTAAAACATTTCTTGTAGGGACCTTCGTCATAGACAAAAAGAATTAAATATACCGTGCTGCGGTTACCATGGTTACAATAGGTTCCGGCGCACACCGCTGTTGTTTACGTAGCGCGTACGCTGTAACTACCGTGGCGCTCCCAGTGGTGTGCGCCAGAACCTATGGTAAACGCAGCACAGCTGACGGTCTATATTTAATTCTTTTTGTCTATGCCTTCGTTTAGCAGTTAATGTTGGTTGAATAACACTAATTTTCCCTCGATTAGTACTGGCCCAGATAGATCTTGATCGGGAATCGGTGAATATATTTAACATGAATACTGTACTTGGAAGTAGCCCTATTGTTAAAAATGATATTAGTTAGTAATGTAACAAATGTTGTTAAGTATTAATACAGTTTTTTTAATACTACAGAATTTTTAGAACTAGATTTGAAAAAATATATTTTTTGCTGCTTGAACAGTTTTTTGCTTGTTTTAATTATGTTTGATTGTTTAATCTGAAACATAATTTTGTTAACTTACTGTCTTACTGTCTTTTGCAAACAAAAGTAGAAATATTTTGATTCTGTTCATTGTATCTGTTTAGTGTTTAGACTACTTAAAGAGATTGTTTGAATTGAATTGAGCTTTAAATTTATTGTCAAAATGGTACATGCCAGAATTACAACAATGTTTGGTTGTGGTTGTATGGCCAAACGCTAGGGGTGACTGAATTCAAATTCAGATTAAAAAATTCATTTGAGTCTACACAGTTGAATCACTAATCTAAAGGGTTTCTTAGGGTTTGGTGGATTTGAGGTTCGACCTTAACCCACCACTAAATGTGAAAAGTTCACTTTTATGATCAACCCACATCTCAATTATAAATTTTTAACGGTTGTGTTTGAATTCACTGAATTCAGTCAATCCTTATGTTTTGACAGCCCCTTTGTTTTGTACGCTAACTGAATCACTTGTAATTGGAACTTTGAAACCAAGTACTCATCCAAATCATTGTTAGTACAATGATAAGTAGTTGTTGTTCACTAGACACAAACAAACTGTACATAAAATGATGCTAGTGCTGACAAAAATATTCTTTCATCAATACAGTCTCAAGGAATCATTGCTAGAACAATAGGCCCCTATATCAGTGTTGTGTATACCTTTATTTTTGTATTGATCATCCCCTGGACTATAACTTCTAAGGTAAGGTAATCTAGCTGAACGCTATATTTTTTTTACATCCCTGTTTTGTTTTGTCTTTATCCAAACAGATGAAAGAAAACATTTTGCGCATTTAGTGCAATTCTTTGATACAATATAATCAGATATCTTTTTGATAATTTTATGATCTAAAATTATGTCCATAGGTTACCGTCACACCACCTGCACTCCCTGTCAAACAGCGGTCACGCCGGGAACGGCAGCCATCACAGTATGACAATGTGCCATCGACCAATCACACGCAAGCTGACCTACTCGGCTCTAGTCCTACCCGACCCCCACCTCTCCCTCTGAAGAAGAAGCACAGTAAGTACATATTATTGCTTACTTATCCGAGCCCGATGATGTACCTACGCTAAGGACAAACATTGACTGTTGAATTACATTTGGAATTTTATGGAATGCAATAAAATGGGTGTTTTTAGTGAATTCTGTGTTTTTGAGCCATTAAGATGCCAAATATATATTTAAGGTGTTTGGAAAATACTAGCTGAACTCTGTCACTATAACAAATTTAAACAGACACTTTACTTAACAGCCACAGCCAATTAATCCTGTAAGCTTCAAACTCCAATGTTTCAGATAGGCCTACAATTGAAATGGGTTGTAGTGAAAACGCCTCTATGTTTTATGGTCATAAGGGTGTTTTTGAATGGGACAGAAGTAACCTCTCAGGTCAGTTTGGCAACGTTCAGGGAGAAACTTGAATGAAAAAATCCCTTATTTTGCTTATCCATCAAAATACCTAACATAAAACTGTTAGAGGCTATGCCAATTTTTAATTTATATCAATTCAATAGCAATGAAGCCAGTAAAAGTTTAGTTCTTAAGAATTGATTTTCCAATCGTTATAGTATTATAATAAAAATTATTATAACAAATAACAATTTATTAATGTAGTACTGCAGTGTCAATTTTTCTGCTTTGTAATAAATGTTCAGTGAACAGCACAAAATTTATAAGAACATAATTTTTCATGGTCCTTCTAAATACATTCACTTCTGCAATTCAGAAATGCTTTTTTGATTGGGCCGGCCAATTAGAAATGTCTCCCGTTTCTCCCTGTTTACCTAGCTAGGCTATTTCACTATTTTCTACATCTCTTTGATTACAATGGCTCTTATACAGAGGGTATGGAAGTGTGTCTTTTTGTCTCTCCCATTTTTTGTTTTTTTGTTCCCATGAGAAACATAACCTGTAAAATAAATGGCCTGACAAGCAGAACTTACTGTCTAATGCAGTATTATCAATTTGAGGTTATGTGACAAGTTTGTTATCGCTATACTGCACTGATTTTAAAAGTTATTTGTTATTTTAAATTGATTTTCAAGAAGTTTTAAGAACACTTTGATCACCTCTTTGACAACCGCAGTATTATTTTCACTTTCACAGCTCAAGCAATGCTTTCAAGTAGTATGAAGCTTTGCAGTTAATTGCTACCTGCCGAATCACTGTTGTGCTATTTCATCGCTTACATTATTGTGAAGGCTATTTGAATAAACAAAGTAGGCTTCTACGGCAGTTTTCTTTTAGTAAAATCAAGTCAAATTTGTTTCGTTCTTCAGGTAACACAAGGTTGAAATAATTTTAGATTTAAATACCAAATTTTTATGAAAAGGCTGAGCAAAAGTAAGGATGTTTAGTTCTATATTAAATAAATTTTGAGTTCAAAATTTTAATATACCAATAATCTGATGAGGTAATATTTTTGCTTATTTAAGTTACTGAAGTACAAACTTTCAGTCAAATTCCTAATCATTACTACTTTGTAATACTGGCTTGTTGAGTTAAAACGTAAAATCATTTTATAACTTTTTGTGGAGAGAAATCTTCAATACAGAGGCAGAGACTTTTTATCAGTAAACCAACAACTCAAGGTCGGTTCTAAACCGACAGGTTATGTCAGTTAACCTCAAAGCCATTCATGATTTTTGAACGTTGGCTTCCAAGTCAGTGCTTAACCACTTTACCTTTAAACCAACCACAATTCACTGTTAAATATTACTAACTAAGAAATAAAAAGTTATTCTAACTGCTGGCACTAAATAATGAGCAATTCATTTCTGCTCTTACAGAATAATTTGTGTATTTTATACAGAGTTCTAAAGCAAGCCTCTTAGATTCTAATGTTTGTGGTTTATTCCTCAGTGTTTCAATCAGTGGCTTATTCTGGTAAGGCTCCTTGCTTATATTTGTCGCTTCTTTTTACATTAAGTTTGAATTTTATCACTGCATATTGCTTTGCACTCTTATTTTGCTGTATGTGTCATTGAATAGGAGAGTTTCCAATCCATATAATGTTTAAGAAATAACTATTATAACATAACAAAACTTGGCATGATTTGTTACAATCTTCTGTTCATGGTACAAACTGTTTGGTTGTGGTACTGATTTAGGAGGAGTCTTTATTTTTTCATCCCCCTGAAAAAGTGTAGGTATGGAGAAAGTACCTATCGTATTTTTTTCAACTTAAGTGTTTTTTTTTTTTTATTTGCTTTGGTAAATATGAAAATTTGTGAAAAACTGTGACTGAGAAAAAGAAAGTATGTTCACTTTGTGATCCATTTTTGGTTGATTAAGGTTATATTATAATTCATATTTTTCAAAATAATGTGTATTTTTCTACGTCTACATGTCTGGTGAACTGTAAAAGCATGATTGTTCGTGTAAGCGTACCTCTAATTTAATAATTTACTAGTTTTACATATCCTTCAATGAGCAAACACAGTCATTGTTTTTTAGTATTCCAGCGCACAAGATATATTATTAATCCAAGTTATCTGTATAGTGTTGATACCGTAAGTCAAGAGTTGTATTTGTGAAGTAAAAGGCTTTGTCATTCAATATATTCGTGCTTGTGGGATGAGTTTTTGTTTAACAATCTGAAAATAAGTAAAGAGGGCAGTTGTCAATGATGTGATCCAGATGCAAATTTATTTTCTTTACAAATACAGGGTAGTTTATTATTCTTTTTTGAGAACATCTTCTGCGGTCACAGCTAAATCGTGAGTACCTCCCGAGGTTACGATGAAATATATAATTTCTTCCACAGTCACCATGAATTTGTAAAAGTCTTGGACAGTCATGGTAAAATCACGAACATCTGCAGTCACGGCAAAATCATGAATGTCTTTTGGGGTCATGGAAAAATCATGAATGCGGTCGCAGCCAAATTGTAAACATCTTTTGGAAATACAAAACATTTTCCGCAGTGACCGCAAATTTGTGAACATCTTCTGTAACGGTGAAATCATGAATATCTTCTGGGGTCATGGTGAAAACGTTAATGTCTTCTGTTATCACGGCACAATCAAGAACATCTTTCGCGGTCATAGCAAAATCATGATTATCTTCTACGGTCAAGGAAAATCGGAAACATCTTCCATAGTCACTTCAATATCGTGATCATCTTCCATGGTCACAGCGATATCAAGAACCTCTGCCATTGTCTCGGCAAAATCGTGAACACTATCCGCAATCAAAGTGTTATTCAAATCAAATCAAATCTTTATTCATCATAACATGATTTACAATAGATTTGGTCAAAATGTATAACGTAAATACCTTAAAGACACCTGAAAACATGACTAGGCCTACAGCATGAAAGACAATTGATTTAAAGGTTTCCAGGCAAAAAAATAAGTAAATAAATATTATAAGTAAGTAAAAAAATCATCTTCTGCAGTCTTGGCAAAATCAAGATCGTCTTTTGTTGTCACGTTTTGACAACATCATCATTGTTACTCAATCATTGCAAAAGCATTAACATCATATGCAATTGCAGAAATATCATCCATGTTCCCTTGTTGATTGATTCTTGTTGCTGATACCGATATCTAGGAATCAATGACATCTAGAATTGAAATAGAGAATTGATGTATCCCTTGTTAGTAGTTACAACTGACAATGTGTTTGAACTGTTGCAGTAATGGCGTACATGGAGATGTTTGGTAACTGCTCGCAGCCCAACACCAGTGAGTATCTGAGACACTCGGTACACACAGCTACGTACAGTCTGATGCAGGCTGAGTGGCAGCAACACCAGGTGACACTCAGTTCTACGCAGTCCTGCTCCTTCAACATGCTGACTCGCCACTCCTCCCCTGCAGCAAGGTAGGCTATGGAACCTACGTCAGGGATTGCTGTAGACTTAGAAGTGTCTTAGCGATCTCTTTTGTCAATCCTACGATGATGGTGTTGTAATTGTTTGTTTTATTTCATTATAATTCCATTATGTATCTATGAAGAGTAGATTAGTTCTTGTATATTGCCTACATGGTCTCCTAAAATTTAGCACATTCATTTACTTCATGGTAGGCTTACAAGTGTTACTAAAACAACACTTTTACTTAATTAATTGCCAACCTCATTCATTGGGTCTATTGCTAATTCTGTTGGGGTTAGGTCTTTGTGTTGATTTCTAACTCAGTTGAATTATTATTATCAGTTCAACCATTGTATATTCAATTAAGATTTACTACAACACCAGTATTACCTTTTAATTAAATGTTCTTCAGGAATGATATGCTACAAGTTTAGTAATAAAGGAATGTTTGTCCACAGCCCCAACCCTCGTTGTGTGTCGCCGCAGTCGTCCACACCAGTGACGGGGGATGATCCGCCTGCATTGCCACCCAAGCAGAGAGATCGTCATGCCTCTGCAGCTAGTCCACCCCCCGCCAGCCCCGTCCCAGCTCTCACACCTACACCACCCCCGCCAAAGTGAGTAGTGTAGTTGAATGTAGATACTCCTTTCTAGTATGGCTAGGGAAAGTTGAGAAAGAATTTGTTTGATTAATAGATGTAAATGTTAAAGGATGGTAGTAATAATTGAAATAATCACGTAATGTGTTTGGGTCGTCAAGATAAATTTCCGATTATGACTTCCATTCTTATCTGTTATAGTTAGCGCTATTTGTAACTTAAACATTAGCTCTGAAAAAAGGAAAAAAAGACTACAATACATTGTGAATCAAAATATAAATGTTTGAATCCAATATTTCAACTAAAACAACGTAATTTCAATAAAATATATCTACAACAAAAAAATTTATTTTAATTTTCCTCCAAAAATTTTAAAATTACACACTTCAATGTATTAATATACTGGCACACTACAATTAGTTAATGAACACAATATTTAACTAACAGTTTGCTCATCCAATTGTGTGAAATAAAACACTTATGTAGAAATTCCAACCACCATTACCACCAATATGTATTACATGGCATTACTGCAGCTATACAATAATACATACATTTAAAAAAAATAGCAACTTTAGCCCATCAATGCATGTATTGAAAACAGCCGTTTTTGTTGATGTGTGAAAATAAATCTTTTAACAAATTGTGTCAATCGGATATAAATTGATGTAACCTATATACTGACACTCCTGCCTTACAGGGAGAAGGAGAAGGAGGTGGTAGAGACACGGCTGGCGCTGCCACTGACCAACGGTGCACAGCTGGCTCCAGACTCGCCTCTAGACATGCTGGACATCACCGGACTGCTGGTGCTGAAGAAGTGTGAGGAGGAGGGGCCAGACGTGAGGGGAGGACATCCTGACGCTCTCATCATACACGCCACCAAGGCCAACAAGAACGGTACACTTCTCGTAAATAGTTAGTTTTTTTTAATATCCCAACTTCACGTCCTAGGTCGCTAGGTTCTAGCCCGGAACTGTTTTACACATTACTTTAGGCTAGTCCTTGATGTTCGCGGCATAATCACATGGATGAAATCTATTGGTGATAGGCGGGATTTGAACCCGAGACCTAGGGCTCCAAAGCCCTTAGGTCTACCCCTAGGCCAGCTCGCTCCCAGTAAATAGTTACAGTAGAGTCTTTACCAAGTGATGTTTGATTGTATAGGACCTTCTTGTTATTTGACTATTTGTGTTAAACCATCGTGGACTGTGAAATAACCTTCTGTCTCCGTGTGGTAAGACTGTACCATAGCAAGTGTGGTAAGACAAACACTATTGTCGCCCCAATCTATACTTATAATATACGTCCCAGTCCTAAGGGACCTGCACTTAATTTCCTTCGCATACCTGTGTATCTTCCTGCTACTCCTCTAGTCTTATATGGGTGAATTGTTAGCTGTGGCTGAAATGGTCAAGAAGGCTATTGTCAACATTTTTTCTGTATAACCATTTTATTCTCCTTTTTTTTGCATTCGTGTATATTTATTACAACTGGTTATACAAAAAGGGGGGTGGAAAGGGGGGGAATCAGTATTACAGTATTTGTTAGAGTATTTTTCTTTTTTAGTATCTTTGTGTTGTTTGTTATAGTAAAACTGTAACTAATTATAATTTCAGTTTAAAATCTGAATTAAAATATTTCTAATTCAAGTTTGTTTTCATGCTAACAGAGGAAAAAGAAACAGGTAAGTTATTGTTTTTGGTAGTCTCTCTGTCAACGTAAACCTTAGTAAATGTCAGTAAAATTTACATAATGAATAAAAGTTAACAAATTTGCTACCAACTGTTATGCAAAACGAGGAAACGAAAAAATCATTTCATGTAACAGATACATTTTCAAACTGTTGTAAAATTTGAGGCCTGACTTGGTGTATGTATATCTTCTATTTTAGGTAAATTTGATATGTTAAGAGTTTTACTGTGTTGTCGGTTCACAAATAAATTACTATATTTGGTTATAATTACATTAACATTTTAAAATTCACTCTTTGAATACCAGACAGAAAGAGAACCTTGATATTGTCTTCAACTGATCTGTAAAGTTAATAAATGCAAGGGAGTTAGCTCAGAAAGAAACCTTGCCTAGTTGAAGGAATCTGTTTCAAGCACCAGAGATGGTTGTGGGCATTTTTTTTAGAGAAGCTATGACCAAATATGGAAGGGAAATTGCGATAGAAAAAGGTCAAGATATATGCCCAAAGAAGAGATGGAAAATAAAGTATCCTAAGCCATGAAAATTTCTCATGGCTTAGGATACCTTATTTTCCATCTCCTCGAGAATGTTAAAAGCTGATAAAAGGAATTGGAGGCTGTTAGTTGGTGAGGCGAAATACCTTCTTGGTAATAAATGGTCATGGGAGTATGTGTGATCTATGTTTCTGCCAAATACGAAAGTTCATCAAAATGGTTTTTCCCCCTTTTGTATGCAGGAATCCCACTACAGGTTATGTCTGTTGCAGACTTCTTGTATCAAGAAGCGTTTCTGACAACGTACAGGACATTCCTGACGCCGCTGGACCTGATTGAGAAGCTGTGCCATCGACATGAGAGGTTCACACGCAGCTCGGACCAGTCCAAGCAGAGGGCGGCACGCGAGGCATTCTCACTTCTAGTCAGGGTCGTCAGCGACCTCACGTACGTGCAATTCAATTTCATGTATCAAATTTGTATAGACCAATGTTTTGTTTGTTCCTTATTCTAGCTTGGCCGCTAATTAGGAATGTTCTATTAATTGGTATTGAAACGGTTTTCAGCTAGGAGAGCTTTCTACTAAACGAAGAACTTATTCCATTAATGTTTTTTATCTAATTTACAATGCTTTATGTTTCAGAATTTCTGATTTGGAAACCACTGTGATACAAACGTTAACGGATTTTGTTTATCAATTGTTGTGCAACGGAGATCTGATAATGGCGAAGGCGCTCAGGGTGAAGATCCTAGAGAAGTATAACATCAAGAGACTTTACCATGCTACCAGTAACCTGCTGCCCTCTCAGAACGTGTACACACGGTAAGGCTCAGACACTTTGCGTGTATTATTCACCCTTACGTCCACTGAAAGGCTAAATAAACTCTCAGTAGTGACCAATTTCTATTGAGTTCAATTTCTCTTGAATTCTGCTGAGAAATGTAATTTTGAACACTAGCCTAGACCTGATCATTACTTCAGAAGCATTCTACAGAAATTCTCTGAAGACTTGGTATCCATCTTTACAGACTGTCCTACGAACAATGGAGGGTAAGTTTCTTGCTCAACACAATCAAATAAAGTAATAACATTAACTTGTCATCCCATAAAAGTAATAATTCAAATGGAAACATAATACTTGGGTTTTTGCTGGAATATTATCTTCCATGTTTTAAATTATTGTTCGGTCAATGCACCCTCTCTGATGTATTTTACCGTGTTGTTTTGCAATGGCAAAGTGAAAACAAATATCATAGAGGGTGTGAGTGGGGAGGCAGCTGGTCTTAGGGTAAAGAGTTTGGCTTAGGTACCCAAAGTCCCGGGTTCAAATCCTACTTATCATCAATGGCTTTAGTTTTATGATAATTTCATGACCTTTGGTCTTGATTCTCTTGGCCTAATCTGAAGTAATGTGTAAAATGGTTACGGGCTGGGCCTAGTGTTCTAAAGGAAAAAAAATAGTGAGGGTAAGATTGTCTACATATAGAACAGTAATAGAGCCAACACCAATACCTGCTCCGAGCCATCTTTGTGGTGCCTAATTTCACTTGAAAGTGTTTTCAGCACGTTCACTAAGCACCGAATTGCCTAGTAGTAACCCTAATCATATTTACAGCCAAGCGTCACTGCTGGACTTCAAGTCTGAACACATTGCTGAGCAGATGACACTCCTGGACTCTGAACTGTTTATGAAGATAGAGATTCCTGAGGTACTCATCTGGGCCCAGGAGCAGAATGAGGAGAGGAGTCCAAACCTCACACGCTTTACTGAACACTTCAACAAGATGTCTTACTGGTGAGAGAGACATAGATTTACTGACGTATCCAACTTGTTTATTGAATTAGTCTCTAATACTTTTATTGGATAGCCACTATTTTTTCCCATTATATTTGACTTTAATTTGTTTACTTCACAAGCTACGATTTGTATACCAAACCTGTCAGAAATTTGTTTATTGAACCAGTCTCTAATTTCTTTACTGTATTAAATCAGTTTCAAAATTGTCTACTTAACCTTTAATTTTTTTTTTCTTGAACCTATTTCAAATTAGTTTACCGTTTCTGAATTCTTTATTTTATACGTGTACAATTGTTTACAGTACAGTTTGAGAGTCAAAAATCCGAACCAATTGGGACCGTAGGTAGAGGTCGTACGGAACGAGGTGAAGCTTGGAGGGGAACAGTGGTGTGGTGGGGGAAGTGTCGCTATGTGAGGCGACGATCGGCTCGTCTCCTACCCCCACCATGGATTTCCCCGCTTTAGACCGTTCCCGCCGAAAATCTCAGGCTTCACCTCGTTCCGCACGACCTCTAGTTCAGATTATTACCGATTTGTTCGGATTTTCAAACATAGCCTAGAAATGCCTAATACAGACACATAATTGGGCCTACAGTATTAAAAATACAGTTCTAGGATATAGTGAATGATATAGTGAATGAAATGAAAACAATGATTTTTGTACTTAGGTATTTTCATTACATTACTGTAGGTAAATTGTTTCTTTAAAAAATGTGTACATCGGAAACGAACAAAACACACACTGGCTCAGCCCGTTCACATTTCCCTGCCGAGCGTCGACTGTTCTGCCTGCAAAATTTTAAAACATCTGTTGCCTCTGTGCTAATTCAATATATTAAAAACTCTCAGGAGCGGTTCGGATGTTTGACGTTCAGATTTTTGATTCTCTACTGTATTTAAATTCCTCAAATGTTGTGAAACTGACAATGAGAGTCACCCACCAATATTTGATTATTTGTTAACTGAATCTATTTCCAAGTTTATTTCATTGTCTCATTCAGGTGTAATTTCATTCAACGTGAAGCCGCCAAGGACAGTAACGCATGACCACACCACAAATTCTTCTGTAATATTATTTCTACTTTACATTTCTCCTCACGTCCGCAGGGCTCGGTCGAGGATCCTGGAACAGCCGGACGCCAAGGAGCGGGAGAAGTACGTGGTGAAGTTTATCAAGATCATGAAGCACCTGCGGAAGATCAACAACTTCAACTCGTACCTGGCGCTGCTGTCGGCGCTGGACTCGGCGCCCATACGACGGCTGGAGTGGCAGAAACACATCACCGAGGGACTGAAAGAGTATTGCGCACTGATAGACAGCTCGAGTAGCTTCCGAGCTTACAGGCAGGCTCTAGCGGAGACACAACCACCGTGTATACCTTACATGTGAGTAGAGAGATCTTTGATACAAAGAGAGTTTTCTTTGCTTAAAATGAAATCAAATTGTAAATTCTAGGTAGTAACATAACATAAAGCACAAGGGCCTAGAATTTAAGGATTTTTGTTGGGCTGCTGGCTTCCCTGAATGAGAAAGAGTTCACTCACGCATCATCATGAATATCTAGTAATATTTTTAACATGAAAGATATTGAATTGATTTCAGTAGCTTACCCAAGAAAAGTAGTCCAGGGGTCTATCTCCTCTTTCACCTATTCACCTCTTTTGATCAATATTTCTTGTAAGAAGGTAAATTAAATTTCTCCTGTGGCTAATGGTTTATTGTTTTTCAGTGGTTTGGTGCTTCAAGACTTAACTTTTGTACACATTGGTAACAGCGACTACTTGACTGACGGTGTTATCAATTTCTCCAAACGTTGGCAACAGTTCAACATTGTAGAGAACATGAAACGCTTCAAGAAAGGGTGAGTTGACAACTTTAAATCCAAATAGACACTTTATGATTCTTTTAAAATTCGACCTAGTTTTAAGGGCAAACGCTATGGGCATCTATTTTGATTGTGGTAATACTGCATAGTGCTTACAGAAAGAGGCCTAAATTATCTCACTATGCCAAAAAAGTAGATTTACCCTTTCTTCAAAAAATACTAAAATTATTGAATTTCTGGATGTTCATTGCCTTGAACAAACCTATGGGCATGGGCAAATGATGAGTAGATCTAAATATGAAATTTGAATCTAGAACCATTTAATAAAATCTCTTATTCTAAAGGCGGGTTTACTTGCTACAATAAAACATAATGACTTGTCTGCAACGACTAATCGTTATGTTTTGTTGGAGGTTGGGCGGGCCATTTACATGGTCCGTCTTTTCCTCCAACTTTGGCTGAAACCACTTCCAAATGTCTCTTGTTGTGAAGTAGTTATAGGCTACCTGTATATTTGACGATGGATGAGTTACTGTTGTGGTCTGTTTACGTTATTTGTTTAACGTTTCAAGAGGAAAAGCTCATTCTTGTTCCTGTCGGAATAGTCTTTATTTTTTACTTGCCATAAGCAAGGGAAACTCTTGTACAGTTCAATAAAGTCTATGAGAAAATCAGGAGAGGCTTGACGGATGTCTGACATTTTAAGTGACAAATGAATGTTACACTGACACAAAACAGTAAAACAACAATGCTAAAACTACACTACAACAGTCAAAATATACCATCAACAGTAAACACAACAATACAACATATAATAAAATACAGTAAACTGGACCACAAAAAACGTTGCGACATTGGCAAGTGAGGGTCTACAGGCTGCAACGATGACTTAGTCGCCGTTTACACGCAGCAACTTGTCGCTACGATCTACAGAAATTGGTGGAGATTTCCTGCCACCAACCTTCCAAAATTCACTCCAACTCACCCAAAACGTAACGACTTCCAGTTTACATGTTCCGTCTTGCATGCAACGTTTGTTGTTTTGTCGTTGCAGACAAATCGTTACGTTTTATCGTAGCGTGTAAACCGGGCTTAATGTGATTCCTTAAGGTGGATTGGAGATTTTGATTTGATACATCTCTAATTCAATCTTACTACTTTACATGTACATGTACTTACATGTACTTTACATGTTTTACTTTAGTATGTATTGTGTTTACATATACTTAGGTTATATTAATGTTTTTAGACATTGCATTTAAAGACATTATATTTAATCTTTTCACGTTTACAGGACCTACGTTTTCAAGAAGAGTGAACGAATCATAGCTTTCTTCAGCAACTTTGACGAGTTTCTGTGTGAGGAAGCGATGTGGCAGATCTCAGAGAGCATCAAACCTCGAGGATCCAAGAAACCTGTCCAATAGTGTTGGAACCTCCGTTAGTTTAAGTTGGTGGTCTGAGTGAGTTCATATTTTCTGGTCTTTACTTTCAACTTTTAATAAACGATGTAACTTTATTTATGTTTTGAAAATGTAATCAAACTGATTGCTTAGAAAAGGAAAACCATTTTTTACAGGTTATAGCTTTATAATAGTTGATTTAATGATTGTAATTACAGTGAATCAAATCAAAATCAGAGACCAGATTGTGACGCTTCCTTGGACCAGTATAGTTACCATCCTTGTTTACTTTACTTTTAACAAATTTACTTTAAATACATGGAACACTGTATCAACACCGCTACCTTTACGTTAGTTGTCTAAGTTTTACAAGTAGGCTAACAGTATTACACGCAGAGGTCTGCCCAATCGAACCCTTAGGTTAATGTAACGGTAACAATGCTTTAATTATCAGAGTTAACGTAAGGTTTAACGGCACAATGAAACAGAGCAACGAAGCGAAGTACGGAAAGGTGCAACTTTAGGCCTAATAGTGAAGTGAGTGTTCATTCGTGTGATCGTACGTACGTGTGCATGTGATTCGATTACGCAATAAAATATATGTAAGATTTTTATTATATGTGATACGATTTTATTTGTTTTGAACGGTCCACAGTGTCGTGGCTGTTTGTAAATATTTTCACAATATTTGTGGCATGTGCTAAGTGTAACATACGAATATATTTTTTAAAAAGTAATATTATTTTGTATTATTTTTTTAAATGTACGTAGGTCCAGTGTAAAGTGAATGGTCGTAAACAGTTTTTATCAACCGTTTGTCTCTTCGTCGTGTTGTTTTGTTATTATGTTCGATATAAACTCAATGTAATACGGTTTATACGTGTTGTTTTTGTTATTTTATGCGTATATTTATTTATATTAGTTCTTATGATTGTTGAGTCATGTTTATGATTGTTTTTTATATTATTTTTACCATGGAACTAAGAGGTTGGACTAGTATCTTCAACAGAAATACCTAATTGTTGAATTTACATTGGTGAAAAAGTTTAAGATATGGTACCACAGCTTTTTCTGCTTAGTAAAATCCAATCCAATCCAATCTGGGGGAAAACCTCAAGTCATTAGAATTCTAGATACCAAGCCATTGAAATCCAGCTTTGTTAATACCTTGAAGAGTAACCAATCCACCGGGTAGAGCCAGCAGAGGACAAACATTGACTTTATGATTCATTACACCATGGCTGCTCGACAGATCTTCTGTCATTTTCTTCTACTCACCACAGTGCAAAAGCGTTAGCGTCCACTGCTTACACAGAAGTCCATTTTACAATAAATATTAGGGGTAAAAATTTAGTTTAAAGAATTTTCAAAACAATTATGTATAATATAAATTAACTGACATGGGGAACTAGACCTACCTCTTAGTTTGGTTTTCTACTTTATAATTCCGCATGATTTGCGTTTTTATATGTTCTAACAATAGTCAAATTCAATTATTAGTGTAGCACATCCTTAAAACACTTATATACCAGGTTGTTTTCAGAAACAGTTGTCATTTGAATATCCAACTCCAACGGTGCATTCAGCTTCATTATATCCAGCTATAAACATATCAGTACTGAAAGACCATTGTATCAAAATATTCTTCAATTTTTACACCGAATGTTCGTAGTTTTGTCAATTTTCAATTTAGAGATTCGACCTCTGATCACGATTATCAAATTTTAGCTAAGTTGACCGAGAAATATCATGAAACGAACTGACTCTACTAAGCATCATTTAGCTCTACACTTATAGAATAAATATCGATAACTAAATGTGATATTAGTAATTGTTCCCAGTGAATTTATAGCTTGGAATATTCGGTAGACTGTTTGAACTCTCTGTGTAGTACGATGGAATAGTTCCACATCCAAAATAGTTGTCCTGATAGTTGAAACTGTGAGACTGGTATTATTGTTTGATAGTTTGTCAATAGTTTCCGCCTACGCTGCTCTTTATACCATACAATGTCTTGGGAATTGAAAATGTGAGTGCTTGAAAAACCATCCATTTAGACTATTATTTAGTTACGGTGGAATCCAACCATCCTTGTGTAGTAAATATATCAGGTCATATTTTACAAAAATTAGTCTTATATATCGGACACAAGAGTAACATTAATTCTTTCCATTTTTATCCATGTGAGTAGAACTAGTAAAACTGATTACATACTATGTCTGACATATGGCTGCTGCCTAGGAATTGCTACACTTTTGGTTGATAGTGTTTTTGGGCAGTAGAGAGCCGGGTCTGAGCAGTCTAAGGCACGAGACTGTTCATGGAGGACAGTTCCCCCCCCTGACCCCCACCACCGCGCCTGGGACAGCGTATCGGAACGGAACACGGAACATCCGAACTGCACTCGTCAAAATGTTGTTGTTATCTATGACTGTCGTCTTCTGTCAAAACGTCAACGTCCTTGTTTACATTATGATCAGCTGGATAATTCAATTGCTATTGCTGTTAATATGTATTTTTGCAATTCAATCTAAAGATTTACTGATTTGGTGGAAATTAAATACTTACTATTAGAATTTGGGTTTGCGTACATATTACAAAGAAAAATAGACGTATTACTAAAGAAAAAAATCGAAAAAAGCCTACACAATTTGACATATTTCACCAAATAGGAAAAATGAATTGACACAGAGCTGTTTTATTTCTTGAGCAATCCTTGAAAGAACCGATTTTCAAACTATGGAAACATAGAAAAGTCATAGAACGCCACCAATTAGAGAAGAAATGGGGGATAGTTTTTTTTTAGGTTATTAGCCTATATTAAAGAATGCCCATAAGATGAGGGCATTCATACAATCGAAGAGAATGTTAGCCGAAGGGCTACCATTTTTAGCAGGAAACTTCTACTGTATTAACTTTGTGATGATTGCAGCGGAAACTCTTCTTAGGACAAGTAAAATTTGTACAACAAGGACATTAATGATATGTTTTCTTTTCATCAAAGTCAAGTGGTTTTAGAAGTATATTACTAGCTACACCCAAAAAACTTTTCCTTTTTTGATAAAACTTTATTGAAGCGTTCAATTATTATTCACAGTTAAAGGGAAACAAAAAAATCATCTGAACAGCGTCAGGCCTTTTAACTCTGCATTTTCTCAGGTAAATACAATTGACAGTATTAAAACAACTAAATTGTGGCAGACAGGTTAAATGCAGGAATTCAGGTAGTTCTTTAGTAATAATGTGAACAAATTATATCATTATTTAAGTAAAATACCCCCGCCGCAGCAAACCTGCAGACTAAGCGAATTTCCATTAACCTGATTGGATTTACACTAAAATGCCTCCATAAAAATAGCACATTTATTTCCTACTTAAATAGAATTAGTTTAACGAGTAGGCCTACTTAGGTTTGCTGCAACAGGGAGGGTAAAAAAGATTTTTTTTATAAAATGATAATAGTTTATTAAGAAATAAAAGTATTTTCCAAAATAAATCAAAATATGTTCATAAACAAGCAAACTACAACAGTTGACTTATTCTCCATAAGAATAACATGGGAATCTTAAAATTACAATTTTTTAAAATTTTCTCCGTAACAATTAGGCGCATAATAACGCTTCAATATACTAAATTATTTGTTTTTTAAGCTCTACAAAATGGTTTAAAAAGAAATTGTGAAATTTTGTGTTTTTAGGGTCAAAAATGGGAAAAACCTATTTTTACCCCATAAAACCCCCCATAAACCCCCATTCCCATAGTCCGATCATGCTGGTTCGCGAACTCATTCAAGTTTATCCCGCCTTACACCTTCAAACCAAATTTTATCAAAATCGGACAAAAATTACTCAATTTATCGTGCGGATGGACACATATATATATATATATATATAGATATATAAAAATTTGAACAAATCGTGTTTTTGGCCTCTGGGGACATCAAAATGAAAAAGTAAATCAGTCCCGGGCTTAGGTCTTACCATGAGACCTACGGTAATAGCTACTTCCCTATAGGGAAATTCGCTAAAAGTAAAATAATTATTTGTAAAGATATACTGGTAACAATTACGAATATAATCATGAACAATCTAATTCAGCCGAGTGGAAAATATTTGTAGAAAACAATAAATAAATAAATATCAGCCTTTGAAAAATTATAAAATAGTGAGAATTTCCATTGGTTACATAGGCCTCTAAATCTTTGAATAACTCCGGAAAAAATACTTTGGTTTAATGAGCAACTTAGTTTAAATACAAACAACAAACTACTTTGTTCCTATCGACTATTCGGTTCTTATGAGGAGGCTTGGTTTTGAAGAAGAAGAAACCGCTCCGACCGACGGACCGTTTCGATTCCGCTGTCCCACGGCGCGGTGGTGGGGGGTCGGGGTCCTCCATGAACGGTCTTGTGTCTAAGGCAAGCCATAAGACATAGATTGAGGTCGGTGGGAGAGGCTCAGCTAAAATAAACAGTGGACAGCTCAGGATGAATTCATTGTATGTTGCACCTCAAATCAGGAATGTTGATACTTTAGCCTATCCTTGCTATGAGTGTCCACCAAAATTCAAACATTTGATTTTTTCGATTTCATAAAGAGGGTAATACTGATAAACTTATAGTAACTAAAAATCTCTGAATACTTTATGGAATCTATACGGTTAACTTTAGAGAATTTAAATTTGTTTCTTTCGTTTTATTTTGAAGGAGAGAGTGCAAAAGCATGTAAATCATAGGACAATTAAAATGTTCTTTCCAGTAACTCTCAAACTTTATCACGGCAATTCAAAAGAAATGTTCAGGTTAAATATCTTATTTTTCTTCCAAGCATTTGTATAGAACATAAACGGATAATTGCTATTGGGATTGTTGGATTTCTACTGGAAAAATAAATTACAAAATATATTTTTTACTCAAAGAGTCAGGAAGAATTAATTGTGCCTGATAGAGAAACTGTTTATTTTTACTATTACATGCAAGAAGCAAATTTTGAGGATAATCGGTAAGAGGTAAAGCCTGATATTTTGAAATAACCCTAACTTAGGGCTTTATCTTTTTCCAAAGGACCTATAAAATTCAATTTAATTAATCCTACAAATGATCAATTTAAGATAATAGTATCTGAAAGCATAACTATTGATCTAATTAAAATTAAGTAACAAAATTACACAAACCATTGGGTGCAAAATTATATTTTAAAGCTAGAATAATGAAAAGCCTGTTTAATCACAATTAATTATAGCAATGGATGTGTGAGTTTTGTTTATAACAAAGTATAATTTATTAGAACAAATTAATCGTTAGCTCTCTGATAAAAATTTTTGTACGCGCTTGTGCTTTCAAACAAAATAATGTTTTGTTAACCAAATTAAGCCAATTATGGGTTTATAAAAAACGTATGTTAGAAAATGTAAAGAAATTGGTTGAACCACTAGATACAGTTAAACTGGTTTCATTTAAGTATATGAACAATATTTACTGTATGTTTGAAATTATTTTCAAAATTAATGTTTCTACGTATTTTGTCTCGACTATTGTACATATTTTCCGCCATATCGAACTTGCTTTCAGCTACCATCTTCAATAAAGATGAACTTGAGAAAAAATCTTAAACTTATTTACCTAATTCTTGTAGAATAATATCTTGTTAGTTTTACAATTGTTTGAACATATATTGCATGTTTTTTTCTATATTAAGTCACCATATGGAGGAAATTGGTGGAAATCGCAGGTGCCATACTCGAGATATTCCGGAGGTCTTCAACATCCAATACGTCCATAAGTCTTGCATGCTGTCAATGCAGTTAATGCTACTCCTACAACTTGCCGCTTCAATAAATACAGAGCCATCACATTACACTTTGAAAACTTAAAAAAAACTTTATAGCATGACATTCTTCAACGAAGGAAAACAACACACTGAGCTCAGATTGGGCGCGGAGAACAGTTTGTGTAAATACAACGCTCTGTCGAGCAGGCAGGAGAACATTGACAGGGCAGCCGGGATCAGGAACGGAAAGGGGCAGTCGGGAAAGGGTTGTTTAAACCTGGCTTTAATATTGTCTAAAGGGATATTTTATTAAGTTACTTTTGTATTTTTTGGAGGCAGTAAAGTGTGAAATATAATTTAAATGTTTTGGCTTTATTGAATGCAAATAATTTTTTAGGTATTAGCATAGACAAATAGAGTAAATATAGACTGTCAAAGGAAGGTTCCTTGATGTGCCGCTAGAGCGTGCTAAGTGTTTATCGATTCCCTGCCGTCGTTGACTCACCGTCTCCTACCAGCACTACCACCCTTACAAACAAAATGCTACCAACGTATGCAATATGGGTAAATCAAAATATTCTGAAATCACGTAATTTTAACAGAAAGGAAAAATAACGGAATAAACTCCTACTCCCCGGATTCCAGGGAATTCAACAGAAGTTGGCAACCCTGGCTCCAACTACAACTTATCATGGCAACTGCAGCACCTCTATACAGCAGCTGGTCTATATGAAATTATTTTATCTATGGTATTGGTTAAGATAATAAAATAACGATGACCTTATGATAAACATTATTTTCTTTTAATAGAAGTAGACATTCCATTTCCAAAAGCTGGGATTGGTTATCTCTCTAATGGATCGGCGGATGAAACCCATTTTAAGTTTAACAGAATGGGTTTAAATGACTGAGGTTATTTCACCCATTCCCATTCTGTGTGTGTATATGTAGATACTGTACAGTAGTTTATTTGACAACTTATCCTGTTGCCTATGAGAAGAAGGTAACAAAAACAATTTTAAATATTTACAAATTTATAATAAGCGTAAAAATATTAACAAATTAATATTAACAAGTTTTGTAATGGTATAAAATGGTATGCTTCAGCCTAGCTTTGGTATATAAATATATCACAACCCTGTATCATAAAACTAATTTTTACATCTTTTTGTTTTTCTTTCCAAGTATCTTCATCAGTTGTTTTGACATAAAGTACGGCTTCTCCACTGATCCGTCGTTTCTTTCGCAGTCTTCCACTGAAAAAATCAGATTATCTTAGTATGATGTATTTGTTTGAACGTAGTATACCAGGTGTGTATCATTGGGTATGTTTTGTTTTGTTTTGCTTAATGTTTTGTAACTTAAATTGTTCAAAAAGTAATTATATATTACCTTTCATTGACATGTGTCTGGGTGGATAGTGTTGTTCATTTGATATTTTTTCTAGGTTATAAGGTAAAGTGGAGACTTTATAACTTCATCTTTCGCCAGTTAAAAATTTACTAGAACTGCAATGGGATTGTGTCTGTCAGTATTAGTCTTCTTGGTATATTAGTCAACTTGTCTACTATGGATAAAATTCACTCTCTATTTATGTAAATTTCATTCGTTAAGGGAGCAAGCTGCACCACTAAATTGGTAATTACTATCCCTTGTTATAAACGTTACCAAACAATCCAGAACCTATGACTTTACTTACAGAAACAAAGGAAGAGTGTGTCGACCGCAACAGAGTAAACGGTGAAGAACAGAGTGACTATGAGGTAAGTCATGACTCCGACGATGGCCATCGGTACCCAGGGGTACGCCAGAGTGACGTCTTGTCCGGAGTCATCCAGCTTGCGTACCGGACCAGTAAACACTAGTCCTGCCATCACAACCAGGACAGACGTGACCAGCACCTTGCCCAGGAAAAATAGGAAGTCTGTTACCTGCGGACAGAACAGAGTGGTGAGCCACTATGAGGCTTTTGTAACCATTTTGTTTCACCAACAACCGTGTTATTAGACTAAATTAAACTTATGTGGATTTTAGAACTGTACAAAATTAAAATCTGATTTAAACATTGACTCATCTTCTGCCGGCTTCACCACACAAGTGACACGACCACTTTTCAGTATTACAATTTGGTTAAAATTTCGTTAAATGTGTGAGCCAAATCAAATTTTGATTTGTGTTAAATGTAATTGACAACCCTTCACAACACCAGGGATGAAGAGGATTTTTTCAACCACTTGGTAGACAACTTTAAAATGAACCTTTATCTTTGAAACCTCGTTGGCAGAAAAAAATATCATTGACAGTACAACAGGTATTTAACCTTTTACCGTATTTATTATACAAAAACTCATACCTTATCAACAAAAATGACGCGGAGTGCGTTTCGCATGAGCAGCTCAAAAGCATCTTTGGCCGAAGTGCAGAAATTTCTGCCGTGAATAGCACACATGATGTATGCATTACGATTGATAAAACATAGGAACTTTTCTAGGCACCAGAAAAAGCATTTGCAACAGCAAAATATTGCTTTTGTTATTGGGTTATCATATTTCTTGACTTTCTTCTCAGCAATTTCAATCAATGCTCGAATAAAACTACAGATTGCTACGATCAAAGAACCGAAAGCAACTGTCCCCATGTGGTACCTGAAACATTAAAAGAATTAAGATGAAGGTTACGTAGGAAATTTAGTTAGTGTTAGCATTATACTTTTCAAAAGTACACACAAATAAATATAATTTACATCCATTAATGTAATCCTGTACAATCACAGCTACAGAAACCAACTACAGAATTATAATACAATAAGAGAATCAAATTTGAATCTTCCTTTCTGCAGACCGAGCAAGGAAAAAGACTGTCCTTGGCATTAAGATCTACAACCACCTAGACTCTCAAAAATGTTAAAAAGAAATTGAAACTTGCTAACTGAAAGAAACTGACTGTGTTGAGGAACTACTGAAGGCACAACCTCTATACTCCATCAAAGAATATTTCACAGAAGAAAGTGATGAATGGGCCTCATGAACTACAACCATGTCACATCAACTTTTTCAGAATCAAAAATTAAGGCAGAAAATCAAATTTTATACTTTGGCACAATTTTTGAGTGGTCCATTCAACTACTGTAGCTTCCATGGGGATGAGAAAATCAGGTACAGCTGGTCCATACAGAATACAGATGGGAGTTTTCTTCAGTATCTAACAGTCAATGGTAATACTCACCACAAGGTTCGAAAGATTGACCGTGTAAGCACAAAGAATGGAACGTTGCGTTTGTGAAATGTCCAGTACCAGGTAGCAAACGTTCCTGCTAGAATCATCTGTGACAGTCCACTGATGAACCAGGCGCCCCAGAAGAAGCCAAACAAGTTGTAAAGCTGAAAACAAAACATAACAAGTGTTATTTAGCACTTGGTCAAGTGTGTTAAATCAAATCTAAATAACTACAATGATTTTAAAATTCAACATTTATTTTCAACTTAGCAATTCTACAAAGCCTTTAATCAAAAAATCCCTGCATCAGCTCATGGACAAATTCTCAACAATTTTTCTTTTAGGAGTACAGTGCAATTTCAATTATTATTTTACAAAATCATTGTAATGGGAGAATCAATCAAAATATAAAAATGTTGTCGTGCATTTAAAAAGTTCATCATCATTGGATCATTTGAAGAGAATTTTAAGATAGGTTTCTGTCCTACATAAAACTTTTAAAATGCTTGCCTCTAGTATCACCTAACATTATTTAGCTTTGACAATGTCTACTCCTAGAAGTGTATCTATAGACGGGGAGCGAGCTGGTTTTGTAATAGTGTGGGGCTTCGGTTCAAGAGTTCCTTAGTTAAAATCTCTCCAATCACCAATAGATTTTAGCTATGATGAATGGTGTGGTACTCTAAGCCTAGCCTGAAGTAATATGTAAGAAGTTTCAGGCTACTATAAAAGCCTATAGAGTCCTCGGATGTGAAAAAAAAAATAAAAAATTGTATCTAGTTAATGATTTTAGCCTCTTTTACCTGCATATAGGTGACGATGTTGCTGGAGTTGAGACCGTTAATGGCACACCCTGCAGTGTAGCAGTGTGAAGTAGGCTCCCCTTTCTGGTGACAGAATCTGTTGAACTCCGCGTAAGTACATGTGTCGTTGTTCTTAATGTTCTGCAACAACACAATCATTTTGTATGTTGTACGTACATCATTTGTCATACAAGAAACTGTAAAGTTGACTTAGTTCTGTTTAACAATGCTAACCCCTTGGCTGAAATCTACTGTCACAAATTAGGTCAATTACGATTGTGTAAATCTTGATTTAGGATAAGTCCCTTATTGGCTAATACGATACTATGTACCGGTACACTCATTCGGGTGGTTAAGATAGTCACCTGGGTATGCGAATGAAACACACACTAGTAGCTTCGTTAGCGAAATAGTCAGGATATCTTCTTATAGCACTGATTGGTACATGGATACAGGTACAGTATTACTTTATTGTTTTGTATACAGTACAGTGTGTAAATTAAGTCTTGAAACAAATCTGTATTTTTAAAACCGAAACAGATATAAATATTCTGTTTGTAGCATTGACTCTTAACAAAGGTTCTGTAATTTTTCACACAAAAAAATTTGTTTAACCCATTGGCGCCGACTTACGAGCGTTACTCGTACGGCCGCTGCAGGCCAGGCGGCCGACTTACGAGTGCCGCTCGTGTCACCGCTAGGCAGCGCCATTAGTTATTTAGTTATTATTATTTTTCACCCTTTTTGTTTCTTCTTACTATTATAATGTTTATAAATATATTGCTTCTTGATTTGCGTATTTACTCATTTATTTTAGCGAATAACAAACAATTTTGTGTTGCCATGGAAACCACATATCACCAAAAATCAGCTGCGGTAAGGTAAACAAACAATAAAAAAAAAATGTTATTACTTATAAAAGTACACAACTTTTAATTTTTCTACGTAGGGAATCAATTGAACTTTTTAATAGTAGTGTTATTTGGTGTCTGGTTTAATCTTGGAATTTGTATATGAAGTTTACTTTCAAAATATTGTTTTTAAAATTTTTATTTTTATACCGGTAATCTTTATATATATATATTTTTTTTTTAGTTTAGAACTTTGACTATCCAATTACCACTTTTCTGTAAACAATTTTACTGTGAACAAAATGGTGAAAGAATTATTAATTTATTACCTAAGGTTTTCTTTCTATAGCAGTTAGAGTAAAAGTCTACAAATTCGGTAAAATTAATTGCCGCCAGAGGGTGCTGCATTAATTCCTTCCCCAATGGGTTAACCCCCCTAACAGGGTAGGGGTTGACTTATTTTTTTCAAATAGCAACCCCTATTGAGTGAAGGACCCCCTCATTTTGAAGGACTTGTCAAAAGAAACATAATGACGCAAACCCAAGGTCAATATCTCACCCCTAGCCTAAATGGCAGGTATTCCGAAAAGGGGTGCTTTTCACATAAATCAAATGTTGGAATACCCGCCATTTAGGCTAGAGATAAAATATCTACCTCGGGTTTGTGTCATTGTATTTCGTTTTACAAACCATTCAAAATGAGGGGACACTCAATAGGGGTTGTTATTTTTAAAATATATCACCCCCACCCCCTACCATGTTAAAGGGGTTAAAAAAAAATTGTTGATGTAAACAATTGCGGAACGTATGTTAACAATCAATTCCACAAACAGAATATTTCGGTTTTAAAAATACAGATTTGTTTCCATATTTGTGAAATAGGTGCTTTTTCACATACAGTAAATCAAATTTTGGAATTTCTGCCATTTTGGCTAGGGGTGAAATATCCACCTTGGGTTTGCGTCATTGTGTTTCTTTTGACAAATCCTTTAAAATGAGGGGTCACTCAATAGGGGTTGCTATTTGAAAAAAATAAGTCACCCCCTACCCACTACCCTGTTAGGGAGGTTAAAAAATATTTTTGATGTAAAAAGTTACAAAACCTTTGTTAGCAATCAACGTCTTAAACAGAATATTTCTATCTATTCCGGTTTAAAAAATACAGATTTGTTTCAACACTTAATTTACACACTGTAGTTTACTAATTTTGAACTTTGATGTGAATCATATCCATTAAACTTGTTATTTACTCAGATGCTTTCGGTATCTTTGTATTCTGTTTCAGAAAGTTCACCAATGTTTATTTAACTTAAAACTGGCTACAAACTTTACCATGGGAATGATATGACTACTTCATAGTACAACTTCAAAGCCACTTGTTTACCTGGTAAGCTCCTGTACAATTGCAGGAATCGTCCAGCCCTTCGATTCTGTACATGTTGGAGCCCATGGAGTACAAAAAGAGGAAGACCGTAACAGAGTATAGCAGCACACTTAACTGCAATGCCCACGGCACCAATGGGAAGAATAGTGAGAGAATTGAGCTGCATACAGCCCTGTAACAAGTCAAGCGATGGTAATTGTTTCATTTTGTGTTATATTAATGCTTTTAAAATTGTATACTTTTTTCAAAGGAACAGATCAAGCTCTTTGCTACCATCCAATGTTAAACTAGATATATTTAGTTTTTATAATCAATAGTAATTGTGAAACTTTTTTATACAATGGATTTTAAAACTAATATTATATTCTCTCCTACTACTTAACCTCATTTGGAAGCACAGGTAAAGAAACTAGTGTTTAATACACCATAGGGTTTTTCTAATCTGAACTTAAACAGGAACCTGTTTGTATTACCTGGAAATAAAAACTTGTACTAAAATTGCATAACAAAATCAAACAAATGTATTTTTAAGACTGTAAATGGTCATATATTGCTTTCGTAACTGTGGCATCACCCATGGCCATCTCTAGTATCAGGTATTCTTACTACAGGAAAACCTGAAGAAGAGAACTGATGGAATGCCGTTAATGACTGGTTATTTGGCTATCTGCGATCATTCTTAACTTAACAATTAATTTCAGCATTAAACAAAGTAATTTCAAAAGCAAGTTATTAAGTCATGGTATAATTTTGAGAAGAATATTTTCCTAACCTGCTGCCTTCCTTGATCAGAGCTGTTGCAATGTAGATCCTGCTTCTGAGGAAAGTTATGATGATCAGAATAAGAAGAAGGAACACAGAGCAGACTCCGAGCAACAGAGCCCAGAACTCCCATCTGTTAAACAGCTGATTGACTTTACCCTCCAAAGTGTTACTGTCTGGTACCAGCCGTCCTGTAGGGTGGGCTTTTAAAAACCTGTAGTTGATATAGCTGTAGTATATACCTGCAAAAATGAACAGATATACTGTATCATTAGCTAAACTGTTTCATTTTATAAATAATAGAAGTTTTAGTTTTGTTTTTGAAATGTAGAGAAATAAACCAAAGACATTATTTTTTACTATAAAAAACTATTTTTTACCAGTCGTACAAATTACTTTTTTTTTTATTTATTAATATTTAATAACGGGGAGTTTTTTGGTGTGAAGGATGATAGAAAATTGTTCATCATGGATTATAAAAGAGAAGTTTTACGTTTCAGATACAGGGTAAGCCTACCTATCCTAATAAAACTGGACTATGGGGAGGAATATGACCCCTCTTAGGTTGTACAATTTAGTATTCAACCTGTTGGATTGTTTGCATGGATTTATTAACTTCCTTTTTACCCTTTGGATTAATAATATAGATTGGTACAGCTTCCATCCAACATTTTGGGTTATTAGTTGAGATTAATGACTTGTTAATGATGAAAACTGTCTTGTCTTTGGTTCAAATAACTTGTTTTCGGATTCCGTTGCGTCATATTTTACATCATAGAAGTATATTAGTTACAAATCTTATATCATACACTTCATTTCCAGCATAAAAGTTTTAAATTTTAAATCTTTACTTTGTATATATCAAAAAATAAATTTAGGATTGGCTTTAAAAAGATAAAACTGTTAAAGGAAACCATGCTTAACTTTTTAATACTTTGACTCTCTAAAAGAATATTTGTCTTGTTTAAGATAAATGCTAGAATCAGGCAGACAGGTAAATTTCACATCTTACCTGTGGTAAACAGTACAACCAATGCTAAGATGGAGGCCCACACAACGAATCCGGAGATAAATCGTAGTAATACAATGTAAAACAAACTAATGACTAAGGCAGCGAGGCTGAAAATCACTAAATACTGCCAAACATTGGTCAAGTCGTTTAACACATCTTGGTAGAACTGAAACAAAAATTAAAATTAGAAACTTTCCAAACACCCATCTTGATAACTTAACATGCCTGGAGTGAAGCTCAAATACAAATATCAACAAATAAATAAGCTTGTTACTCAGATGTCTAGCACAAAGACAATTTTATGTTAATAGCTTACTTCAGATATAGAAATTTGCCAAAAAAATGTTATGTTAACAAGAAATTACATTAGTCTTCAGGATGTGGGTCAACAACAATATCAAGTTTGTTTATAAATTAACAGAACAAGAATGTCCCTCTAAAAGTCCACCTACCATTTTCATTCAATTTGCTTGTTTGAGAGGCTATATCCATTTTTTTTTTTATTTACTCTCTTCACTAACATAGTGCATGATTTGTTTATGTATTTGAAAACCCAATTTGGAAAAGGGTGAGTGAACCTGTTGTTACTGATCAGCTGTTCATTTACTCGAGACCATTTACCAGCCCAATGATCAAGAACAGCTGGGTCCAGTTTAAAACCATCCAAAAGCTACTGACTTTTTCAAGATCTAAGCGGCGACCATTTCAAGGCAAGCGCTGCGAATACTCCCAGCTGTTTTATTTTTCCAAACAATAAAAAGTTGGTCAAATATAATAATAATAGGTTAAAAACCTTGTTTACGTCCTCAATCCAAGTTGTCTTTTATAATGACTATAGTTTCGGGGCCAACATTGTCAAATGTTCTGTCTTGTTAATTACTGTTGATAGCATTGGTCACCGTTAAAGTTCACATATATACATACACTGACACACGAAACATTTATATTTACACGTAACATTGAGAATTTATACTCTTGGCCGGCCTACACAAAAGTGATTATATCGTTGTGCCAAGAGTATAAGTTCTCAATGTTACGTGTAAATATAAATGTTTCGTGTGTCAGTGTATGTATATATGTGAACTTCAACGGTGACCAATGCTACCAACAGTAATTAACAAGACAGATAATTTGACAATGGGGCTGTTGGCCCCGAAACTATAGTCATTATAAAAGACGACTTGGATTGAAAACGTAAACAAGGTATTTAACCATTATCCTACTAATATTATAAATGAGAAAGTTTGGATGTATGGATGTATGTTTGTGACAAGTGAACGCAAAAAATACTGGTCGGATTGGGCTGAAATTTGGCATGATGATAGCTCACATTCCCGATTAACATATAGGCATATTCTTGAGCAAAAGGTGAGTGAGCGTAGCGAACGAACTTCAACCTGGAGGCGAGTTAGCGTAGCGAACAAGCTAACCTGAAGGCAAGTGAGCGCAGCGAACGAGCTCCAACCTAAAGGTGAGTGAGCGTAGCGAACAAACTAAAACTAGGACGTGATTGAGCCATGCGAATGAGATAATCTTGAAAATTAAGAAGTTAAACGGGGCAAAGCCCGCGGGTTACAGCTAGTTATCTATATATTAATTTGAAACTGTTTTTCTTTGTCATAGCTATTTTGAGAGAACGGCTGGGTGTAGAAACTCGGTAGAGGTGTCTAAAGAAAGGTCTTGGTCTGTAGATGAGCCATCAAAAGAGAAACATGGTGAATTCCCTTGGGGTTCTGCCCCAGTGGCCTTTAAATTCCCATCCCATGTTATTCTTATGGAGGAAAACGGGGTTTTTATCACAGCTAACTTGAGAGAACGGCTGGGCGTAGAAACTTGGTAGGGGTCTCTAAAGAAAGGTCTTGGTCTGTAGATGAGCCATCAAAAGAGGAACGAGGTATATTCCCATGGGGCTCTGCCCCAGAAACCTTTAAAGTTGCCTCTTCAGATTTGTTTACATTACGACCATATGCATAATTCTACACTACTTTTTAATGAAACAGCTGTTAATATTTAAATTGTGATTTATTGAATTTGTCAAAATGAAGTACAGTATTTGCAATGGGTTTTTCTGATTTTAAATTGGATTTTCTTCTGCATCGTGTCATGTTTTGCAATATAATGTTCTATTACCAAAACAGTGGAAAATCCTAATATCACAGTAACTCTTAAAATTATTTCTTTTGGAGTTAACTTATATCTATTGAATGGGTTGGTTTCTGCCTTTTTTACCACTTCTTGGAGATTGTACGTAGGTGATATTCGTTGGCATATTGCATCTGTAGACGAACTTGGGTTGGTGTAATTATTACAATGGAAAAGAGCGAGAAATCCTGGACAATTTGATATGGGCTAAAAATAAAACTGAATTAACACTGTTCTACATTTCTTGAGCAATCATTGAAATAATCGATTTGCAAACAATGGAAACATAGAAAAAGTCATAGAACACAACCAAGTAGAAGAAATATAAATGATTTTTTGTTTCATTTCTAATCGTTGTCATAGACAACCTAATGCAGCTGTGAGAGGGAAAAATTTGTAGAAAACACTAAAAAAAACAAGATAAGCTTTTTGAAAAAAGATATGATATTTACAAAAGATTTTGATTATATCTAACTGTTGTGTAGATCGTGAGTATTTCCATAATCTTTGAGTCGCCTGTAATGCTTCGCAATTGCTCGAATTCGAGCAACAGGTACACTAGTTATTATTACTCATTATCAATCCAGGAGGCAAACATGGACAAATATAATAATTATGACTTAAAAAACTAACCTGCTTGAATTCGTCAATAGACATCAAGGCTTCATATGACTTCTTCACTACTTCATTGTTGAATGTTACGTTAATATTTTGCCTTGTGTATGTGTCTGCTAGTGCAGTGTAGTTTAGGCCAAGATTAGGAATGCATCGGTGATAAGCTGAAAAAAACATGGATAAAATCACATCAGATGTCCAAATAAGTCATCATCTGAAACATCATATATCTGTATTCACTTTAGATAATTTAACACACAAATAAATAAAGCAATGATATGTTCAACTTTCTTAAGCATTGGCGAATAGTTTGTGGCTGGTTTTGATTTTGTTGACTGTTGTTTTTGTACATATTGGGACATAAGCAGGGTAATCTGAACTATCCAAAGTTAAAACCAAATTGGTCCAAAAGAAAGGGATTCTACTCTGTAATTCTACTACAGTACGGTAATCCAGGAGTTTTCCTACAACAATGATTTGAATAAAACCGCATGTTACAAGTGGACTTATACTCCCACTTTGTAATTGTCAATTACATCATTTGGATTCAAAAATAGTAAACTTTTTCATTTAGCTATGCTTAACAAAATGATCGGTTGCTCCTCATCCGAACATTGTGAATTCCACAACAAATAGAATATCTCACCCGACTGGCTAGGGATGTACCAACTAGCACACGCCTGCTTGTCTATCACATCTTTGAGCTTGTCACGGTTGGTGACGGTGGACGGAATGCTGCTATCGATGCAGATCAGATGCTTCTGTACGTCTGCTCTGTCAAACGGAGCCCCACCCGACAAATACTTCTCAGCCACCCACGTCTCGCTGGGACATGACTGTACACAGATCTGTAACAAAACTGACTAAATATCAAACCTCAGTAGCAGCTGTTGAAGTAAAATATTGTTTTCGCCAAACTATGAATTAAACTGGCTTTTGGTGTGTTTGTAGGCAAGAGAGTCGTGAACAAAGCTACATAGGTCATCTTATTTTTTTCTACACAACCCTGCATTTATATTGAAATTAAAATATACACTTTGGTGTTGGTGTTATGTATATCTAATCTTATTAAAAAGTTACTCTCAAACAAACCCTATTGAAAAATTCATAGCAGTAAGAATCGGTATACATTTCTCCATCATCATTCACTCCCTTCTGAACAACTATTCATGATACGACACACGACAGTGTATCCAAATGAATTGTTAAATCATAATAATTACTGAAAGATTGTATCTTTTGGCTTGAACCTGTTTTTCCTAGACAAGACAGTATGCTGATGTTTGAATTCCCTGCTTTTTATGCTTCTAGATTTCTGATTTCGACTGAAGGGACTGAAGAGTTATAGTGGGATGGCATGGGATATTCCGAGTCATGGAGTATTTATGGGTCCCTCAATAACAAGCATTTCCATTCCTCATGTTCACCTGATTTGTTACATTTGCACTAAAGAGCATGATTATACCTGGGGTGTTTTGCAGCCACTCCATAACGACTCTGCGTTGATGCAGGCCTTGATGTCGAAGAAGAATAACTCTGGCTTGTCGGCTCTATCTGTCTCTCCACAGCGATGTCCATACAGATCCACCGGCTTGAAAAGCTTATAAGGGTCTCCATTGTTGAATGCTGCTCAAACAAATCGATTAAGGTACGATCTCAAAACGCAAATGGAACATTCTATGTGGTAAGTAATTATTTTTATATTCTGATTTCATCTCCATTTTGCAGGTGGTACCATTGACTATGAAGAGATCTAGTAAATTTAGGTACTTTTGTAGTTTCTATTTTCAATGATTAAAGCTTTTCAGAATACGATTTGTTTGATAGAAAGGGGCAACATTTAATAAAGTTTTAATTGCCAAGTTCAATGGCTACGTTGGTAATATATTTGTCAAACTGGCAAATAAAGTGAAATATAAAGTAAAGATAAATAGCCCAGGTTGAAAAACCTTTAGGAAAATGGAAACAGCTATAGAAAGCTTTTGACACCCATCCTCGAATCGTGATTGGGTTATAATAGGCTACTCCGAGTTAATCCAGGAAAGGTGGTTCCCAGGGTAACAACAACGAGGAAAAGATCTCAAAGGATGAACCTTAGAGAAAAAGGAAGATCCTGAGGGAAATTGAAAGAATTCTCAGAAAAGATCTTAATTATCAATATTTTACCAATCTTCACGAGAAGATACAGGCAAGAAATTAATTGACTGATTTCCTAAATGGGAAATTTGAAGTAAGAAATCTTAGAAATTTGTTGGTTGCAAAATTATCACGCAAAATTAGCTTTATGTCTTTTACTGTTTTATTACCACTATAATTATTGATTATGAAATAAAACTTGATAAGTTGAAATAAATGTCTTGCAAATCTAACAAAGATGACGATATATTTTTGCTGCTAAGCTACTAATTTGTACTAAACAGCAGATCGGTGTTACTTCCAGTCAGCGATTGCATTGTTCATGAACTCAACAAAGTGTTAATTGAACAAAAATACACTGTTTATAATCTTTAATATGATCTGTTATATATATCAAAGAAGTTATGAAAGACCTATATCTGCAACAGACCATGGCATTATCTGCTTCTTCCTGTTAGATTAACCAGCTCAACTGATTACGTAGTTTTGGCATAACACATTATGACAACAAACAACAGATCGTGTATGGCATAGTACTCTGTTGACTCATGCTCGTAAAATTCATAACACTTTTAACTGACAAAATATTAACATTCAGTTTTGAGACCTTTGATTGTGAAAAGTTACCTACCTAGTCAATAATTCAGAAATAATTTTGAAATGTGTTTAAAAGTTTGATGGACTTTGATCAATTATTTTAATTTTATATTGTTTTCCATTTTTTCAACGGGAATAATTTATTATTCTTATCTTCAAGTCTTTCTTGTGTGTTTTGATTTTTTTATAAATTCCATTTTTCAAATGAGATCTATTTTTATTTCAATGTTTTTCACCAAAATCATCTTAAAAAAGCTAAATTAAACTTGAATAAATTAATCTATTAATGCATTCCAAATTCACTATTTTAATTTTTCAGTGTTGTGTTTTCAGGTTTGATTCTTTGTAATTTTGCACAAATTGTCAGCAAGTGTATTTTCCACCAGAAGTTAGGATGTTCATATTTATATAAATTTAAGTTTTAATGTCAACAAGGAAGAGATTCTTTAGCTATTAATAGAAATAGAGAAAAAACTGAGCAAATTTCATCAAATGACTGCTCCTTTGGCCTACAACAAAAACTTGAGCTTGCACTTTTGATTGAGTCTGTGTCAAGATTAATCAAGGTTCATGGTCAAGACTATAGACTGCAACCAATGTCTACTTTGTTGTGTTGTTAGTCTACTTAAACATCGTAAAATTACTAGTTTTATCAAATTCAGCTGATGACCTAAGCCTGAAAATTAGGAACAATGTTGTTAAGCTATGAATCATTAACCAGACTGCCTTGATTGCTTATCAACACCTGATAACACCTACGGTTAAATGAAACACTTCAGTATGAAACAAAACCATGAAATGCTATTTTGCAAATAAATTACTTTACAGAAAAAGGTTTTTACTCACCAAATAGTGCTAAGAAGCCCCAAGCTGCTATGAAAGCGATGAATAGAAAAAGGCAGATAACGTCTGTACAGGAACGGTGTTTCTGGGGACCGCAGAACCCAGGATCATGCCTTAATGGAGACCCTGTATGCAAGAGAGGAAAACAAATTGAAAACATATTTAGGCAAACTTAATCTATCTGTAAGAAAACAAATAGGGAAAAAATTCAGTTTAAGGGAGTGTTAAGTACAGATTTTATCTACCAAGTATTATCTATTGGTATAGTGTTGTATATGTATATAGTTAGTTGTATCAATATTTTAAACTTAGTAACGCAATGCCTCATGAAAAAAGTTTCTTAGGTATAGTCACACAATAAAATAAGCAAAAGGTCAATAAAGAATGCATCCACCCTGTTAACTGTTATCTGTGCCCTTATTTATTTTGGCTGATCCTTTCCGTTCAAGCTCTGTGGTAAGCGTGTCATGAATTTCATACAAGACATGGCTGGTTGACACAGAATTTTAACCCTCAATTTACAATGCTGCCTCCTAACCGGGGAGAAAATACCTTCGACAACACCGTTAATGTTCAAACTTAGCAAGATAACACTAGCAATCCTGGTAAACCCAAACCCCTAGTATAGTCCGCAGGAATGGCGACACTCATTGAGTATCGATTTATGCGGAAATGGCATTGTCTTCACCTTGTAAACCATCCTCTAGAGAGAGGACACCTGCCACCGCTTCAAAGGTTTTGTTCCGTCCATAGTTTGAGCGAAGTGGTCAATCTTGATCAGCCTTAAATTACTTGTATATCCAATTGTGGAAAGTCCTATTGGCATAATTTTAAGGTCTAGTCTGAAGTAATCTGAGGAATGCCTATTAGATGAGATGAGGGGTGAGTTTAGACGTTAGGGCTTCAGCGAGTACTGCACTCCGTATGTAAAGGATTTCCACATCCTCCCACATAAAAGACAGTACCGTAACCATTGTAGATAGCGGCTTAGTATAAAGGCTGTTGTGCATGTCAAAGTTGCTTTCCGTTTGCTGGTTTCCGTTAATTTAAGGTCACATAAACAGTAAAAAAAAATCATTTGTAATTTTACTCATGGTGCCCAATAAATGAGGGCTAAATGATAAACTGGTGAAATGATCAAACTTTGATCATGTTATCCCATGTTTGAGAGTATCACAGAACTTTTAATACGTTTGTAGATAACTGATCATAGGGTGGGTTGCAGGAACAACTATCACCACAAGTCCAAAATATTAATGACCAACAGTTTTCTAAGAAAATAAGTAAAATTTGTACTCTGGAAATCCTGTTTTTGTAACATACTTTGCAGTGGCGATTGTTAAAATAAAACACAAATAAATTAACACTGAGTCAAAAATAATGTTACAAGTACTTTTGAATGGGGCAGAATCAATTTATTAAAATTCAAAGTATTTAGTTTTGTAGTTATTTGTTTATCAAACTCGTAATCCAACAACGTACTTATGTAACCATGCCACATAATTACAATGAATACATATTATGTGACATCTAAAGCAATGTCACTATTATGTTTTGGTTTCCTGGTCGTGTAATCTGTTCTTAACATTACTTTCATTGATGTCACAAGTTAAAGTACAAGAAACAAAGGTCATCCTTGTGAACCAAGATGATTCACAATGTATAACAAGTGTGATCAAACCAAAATTCTGGTTTTAAAAGCATAACAAAATTTAGTGAAAAATATATTCTGTGAACAATTTTTACTTGTCCTCCCTATTAGTTTAAACGAGCTCACTAAGATATTATTAATATTTATAATATATGTTATTTATCTAGTTTTAGTTTTTTATTGATAGTAAAACACTTTTTCAGCAAATAAAGTTTAAATACACGTTTCAACTTGTATAGATGGTTTGCTGTCATTACCTAAAGTTTTTCACATATTTCACCCAATGAATTTGCGAATAGCATTATATGGCACAAAAAATTGTCCCTTTTATAAGAAATTTGGCAGATTATTATTATGTACTTAATAAAAAAAGGTTTTTCCTGTGACATCCCTTTTCCAGCTGTCCTAATTAACCAAATTTTACAATTGAAGTGTCATTTTAAAGCTTGATATAGCACATCTGTGAATGGTAATGAAAAAGGTAATTTCCTTCAGGCTTTAACCCCCCCAACGTTTTATTGAATGAACGAAGTGAATTCTCATACATGACAAAATGCATCTCGTTGAAACGCAAAAGCCTTTAGAAATACTATGTATATCAACTTGAAGTGTTGCACAAAGATTTTATAGCATAATATCTTGAGAATATCAGTTGTTGAAGAATATTTATTCTGTAATAATTATAAAATCCTTAAAAAACCATTTTAATTTTCGCCCATAAGAATAACATTAAGAGCTACCTTCTTCTTCTTTTTTTGTTTACATTTTACAAGCAACAATTTTGTCGTATATTTGAGACACAGAGAACGACCAAAGTCTCTTGTTTCTTCTGTCCATGGAGTATACAGGTTTGCTTAAGAAATCTTTCATTCTACGGGTTCTAAAAAAATAACAATTGGTCTACTAAAAGAAATAGGGAATTTAAAATATGTCCACATAAGTTTATTGAAATCGATGAAAATATATAATTATTTTTTTTTAGTTTTACAAGTTGAAGTTGTTACAGTGTCGTCACTCGTCAGTCGTCAGTGTCAGTGTCAGTGTCAGTAGCCTATGGTATGGTTGTTTTGTAGGTTATGTTATTGTTTTGTTATGTAAGACAAGACCAGTGACCGCAGACGTTGGGTTCATGGGTTGCTCGTTAATAATATTATACTTTTGTAGTGTACTGTTATCTTAACCTCGCCCAACATTTTAATTGAGTTGGAGCTATTCATTATGTTAATTTTCAATATTAACATTATCGCACACTAGGCCTATTATTGCCTTTTAAACATTTTTCTTATTGTCGTCGGATCTTGGTTGTCAGCTGTTATCCTGTAGGTAGGTAGGTAAGAGCTCTGTGAGTGATTGATGAAGTTTTAGGGGTTTGTTTTACTTTGAAGTCCATCTAGACCTACTCAGCCTCCCTAAGACTGTTGCACTAGGTTAGGTAGTCGTTAGGTAGGGTACCGGCAGTAGCAGTAACAACCTGTGTAGGCTTAGGCTAATTGACAGGGTGTTCCCTTGGCCCATGTCAAGTTCATAGATTCAAAAGATTCAAAAAGATTCAAAAGCTTTATTTGCCATTCAATACAAAATGTACAATAGGCATTGTCTCATACATTAAATAACTTAACTGCTAAAATAAATAAATTACAACTTACAACTTACAAATACATATCAGCTACATCAATGGTAATACCCTACCTAGGCTAATTCTACAGTCTAAATGAAGGTAATGATATTTCCTCTAGCTAGGTTTTAACTTTTATACATCTACTTGGCCTTAGTAGGCCTAGGTAGGGAAAGTTAAATGCCTACCTGTAAGTATAGCCTGCAGTCAAGTCTTAGGGGAAATCATCCAATTTAAAACTAATATCAGCATTAGGCCTACGGCATAGTAAAATTCTCTTTGGGTAGGGTTTATTTCTCAAGTTAACTTACAGTTCCGCAGAGGACCTGCGAATGCAATTTATATCTTAATAGGTTGAAATACATGAGTTAGTTTAAAACTCTCTTTAGGTAGGGTAAGTTAAGTTAACTTACAGTTCCGCAAAGGACCTACGAATGCAATTTATATCTTAATCGGTTTAACTGCATAAGTTAGTTTAAGATAAAACTCTTTGGGTGGGTAAGTTAACTTTAAGTTCCGCAGAGGACCTACGAATGCAATTTATATATTAATCGGTTGAAATGGATAAGTTAGTTTAAAACTCTCTTTGGGTAGGGTAAGTTAACTTTAAGTTCCGCAAAGGACCTAACTTACAAATACAATTTATATTTAATCGGTTGAAATGCACAAGTTAGTTTAAAACTCTTTGGTTAGGGTGAGTTAACTTACAGTTCCGCAGAGGACCGTGATTTATATCTTATTCGGTTGAAATATTGATAACTTTTGTACCTAGCGATTATTATTCGGTTTAAAAACTTATATCGCTAAGTACTAAAAATTGTTGCTGCACTTAAATACCTAAGTTAAAACATCTGTCCTACACTCCTTCAAATGAATATATCAATTATTTCTTACGTACCGGTAGTTCATTTGATATATCAATCTTGGTTAGCCTAACCTAATTAACCGAATAAAATAATCGATATAGGCCTATTGATAGTTTGCATTCGAATGAGTGTAGGACAGATGCTAACTTAAAGTGCAGCCAAAAATGTTCCCAATATAAACATTGAATTGAGTTATAAACTGTTAAAGTTTGTATTGCTGTTAAATTCATGTAAAAAACTATCTGAGTTAAGTTAAAATTAAAGTTAAAGTTAAAGTTAAGTTAAAGTTAAGTGAATTAGAGTTTTTATTGATGTTTTGTAAATAAAACTAGGCCTAACTTCACTAAGTAAGTTATTGAATCAAAAACAAAATATATTTTATGAAAGTTAAAGGGGGGTCTACACGCAAGGATTTCGCAAACGTTTTATCTGCGCTGGTAAAACGTTGCAGTCAAGTCGTTGCAAAGAAATGCAACCACACGGTACAGGTTTCAGCACCAACTTTTAGTGTAGTTTTGCGATAACTTTCAGTGTATGTGCATGTAATATCATGGAAGATGTGTTACTGTGGTCGATTTTTGCAGCCAGTGTTACAAGAAAGCAAAGAAATAAGTCTGAGCGACGACGGCGCTCACCATGGTCAAGACGTTGGTTACTAAAAAGACAACCAATTTCATAATAGTTTCTCTGTTCACGTTTGAATCTGATGCTTTGTATTTTTCAAAAGTAAGTCTTTTTCTTATCACAGTCACTATGTTCCTTACTTATGTAGGCTACAGTTCTATGAATTCAACAATAAAATCACGGGAACATTGGTGAAGATCTGCAATCGTAATTAAAAAACACACTTATACCTCTGACAGCACGTGTAGACAACACTGCATACTGGGGTTTTGAGCGTGAAGACGGAGTTGAAACGGATGACAGTGTAGGCCTACACACGCAACAACTTGTCTGAAAACGTTGTCAAAACTATGCTCTCCGCAATAGTTTT